TAAAGAGTTAGATAAATGATGATGATGATGATGATGATATATGATACGATAGCGAACTTTTCACATACATATTTTTCATTCTCTTCATCAACGGTATCTAAAGTGCGCCAACGGTGCGCATAGCCATGTCCTACGCCTCCCTCAGCGTCAAGGACCTGACCAGCCTTGTTTCAAGATCCGGAAACGGTTCGTCCTCTACCGCCAAGCCTCCGGGTCATACCCGACCCGTCAAGGTCATTCCGCTCCAGCATCCCGACACCTCCAACGACGCTCGTCCTCCCTCGATCCCTTTCGACGACATCTTCTCCGGATGGACGGCGAAGATCAAGCGCATGAGCCTCGTCGATTGGATTGATACTCTCTTTCCTTGCTTCCGATGGATTCGAACTTACCGATGGAACGAGTATTTTAAGCTCGATCTCATGGCCGGTATCACCGTCGGCATAATGCTTGTTCCCCAGGTATTATCTAAGCTCTCTCTTTTTTTTTTTAGTTTTTCGTTTCTATCTTTCCCTCAATTCATATATCTTAATCAACTCTGAAGCTTAAGGAAGCTGGAATTATCAAACAACTTTCCTTGTTATTGCTGGAGAATTGACGAAATATGCGAAAAATATGAGTTGATGCATAAGCTTAAGAGATTACAAAATTGAATTTTCCAGTAAACAAATGCACTGTTCATTTTGACTTTAACGTTTAACGGATTTGACCAGGCAATGTCGTATGCAAAACTCGCTGGCCTCCCACCAATATACGGTCTATGTGAGTTTTTATTGTGACACAAACTCTTGAGGTCTTGATTTTAAGAGATGCCTATTTGTGTCAGCTTTAACTCAGTTCTTTTATAACTTTTGATGCAGACTCATCATTTGTGCCCATATTTGTGTACGCCATATTCGGCTCATCTCGTCAGCTTGCAATTGGACCTGTAGCATTGGTCTCTCTTCTTGTCTCTAATGCTCTGGGCGGAATCGCTGACTCTTCCGGGGAATTACACATTGAACTTGCCATTTTGTTGGCGCTTTTGGTTGGAATCTTGGAGTGCATCATGGGGCTCTTAAGGTAATAAGATTAGTCTCTTTGGAAATCAGAGAAGGGAACCGTTTATCATCTTGGCCTGATACGCGTTTAAACTTTCTTGTGCGGTTAATGTTATTCGTTACACCAAAAGTCATGTATTTATTGCTGTGTCGTGAGCATGTCCCTTGTTTGTGTTCTCAATCCAGGCTTGGATGGCTTATTCGTTTCATAAGTCACTCGGTCATATCTGGATTTACAAGTGCTTCGGCCATTGTAATTGGATTATCTCAAGTGAAATATTTCCTGGGGTATAGCATCGCCAGGAGCAGCAAGATTGTGCCACTAGTAGAGAGTATTATTGCTGGAGCTGATAAGGTGAGACTTCTATTTTCAGCTTTGAACAGTGAGAAAAAAATACCTTCCTCTTTTGCTAAGGTCTTTTAATCGGGAATTTTAACTATGATCTAGACTGAGAATTTTAGTACATCTGGTTCTCCCTATTTCCTCATGCAGCTTAGACTGTATTGTGGATCATCATGCTATTGATGAGTTTTCTTGTGTATCATGGCTTTCATTGGTGGATCAGTTTGTTTAATAGGGTCTTTTTTTTCTTTCTATTTTGTAGTTTCAGTGGCCACCTTTCTTGATGGGATCTCTCATTCTAGTGATCCTTCAAGTGATGAAGCATGTGGTAAGAGCTTTGTTCATTCCAGTGTTACCAGGGAAACGGTACTTTCCTTTATTAGTGTGATACTAAGGTCATGGTGTTTCATGGCAGGGAAAAGTAAGGAAGGAACTTCAGTTCTTACGAGCAGCAGCGCCACTCACAGGGATCGTGCTTGGTACAACCATTGCAAAAGTGTTCCATCCACCTTCCATCTCGCTGGTCAGATCGCTTAAGAACATAATTATATATACTGTAGTTCCTTGATGAGCTACATAGTGGTTCAGTGTTTGCAGCAATAATAAAATCTAGTATGTTTCAGGTGGGAGAAATACCTCAGGGTCTTCCAACATTTTCTTTCCCAAGAAGTTTTGATCATGCAAAAACATTGCTTCCAACATCAGCTCTCATTACTGGTGTTGCCATCTTGGTGAGACATCAATATCATTACTTTGATCCGAGTGGGCATATGGGAACTGCAGATGAAACTAATCATTAGAAACTATAAATGGATAGAGATGGCTAGCTGACTTCCTGAGGGGGAAAAGAAGAGAAATTTTTGTTTAGATTCGGATACAGTAACACATGTCAATTGATTTATGTTTTGCTCTTCCCTAATGAATAAATTGTACATTTTCTATCCAGGAATCTGTCGGAATTGCCAAAGCACTTGCAGCAAAAAACAGATATGAGTTGGATTCAAATTCAGAGGTATTCTGCTTGACTAGATTAAATTGAGTAGTATTCCAATTATTCCAGGCAATATTGCTGTTCTTTTTTTTTTTGTTTTGCGGCCGTTTTCATTGGGCTCAACTGTTTCTTCCCTCCTTGACAGTTGTTTGGTCTTGGTGTTGCAAATATACTGGGGTCATTATTTTCCGCATACCCATCTACAGGTACGTTATTGTGAGATGATAAAAGCCATTAACAATTGACGACTAAGTATATACTTTTTCAATATATATAATTGTCAAACAGTTCGTCTTTTTGTTAATAACTTGAATTTGACGAATCTGTGAATTTAGGATCCTTTTCTAGGTCAGCTGTGAATAATGAAAGTGAAGCTAAGACTGGCCTTTCAGGACTTATAACAGGAATCATCATTGGATGTTCTCTACTGTTTTTGACACCGGTGTTCAAATACATACCACAGGTCTGTCTGCCTGTGATGTATATTTCAGTTTCCAATACTTGCTGCTCTTTCTGAAATTTTGAAAAATTGCGAAACTAGATTCTGGTTTCTAACTTTCACTCTGTTGCTTATCTCTCTCGAATTCACAGTGTGCTTTGGCAGCAATAGTGATCTCTGCTGTTAGTGGCTTGGTAAGTTCAAACCCATCTGCTAAGGAGCGAAGATGAATTTTGCATTCTTGCTTCTGGTTTCTCATTAACACATTCCTATAGGTGGACTATGATGAAGCTATCTTCCTGTGGCGTGTGGACAAGAGGGATTTTACTCTTTGGACCATCACTAGCACCACGACTTTGTTCTTCGGAATAGAGATCGGTGTCCTTGTTGGTGTGAGTATTTAGAGACTCTTAGTATGTTTAGATTCACCTAACTAATGTGTATATATATGTGAGTTCTGCAAAGCCTTCTAAGGACTCACGCAGTTGCAATACTTTCAATTTTAGGTTGGTTTTTCACTAGCATTCGTTATCCACGAGTCTGCAAACCCTCATATTGGTAAGGGGAATTCTGTTCAAATGCCTCTCGGTCACATGCCTTTTGACTTTAAGAGTGCCTATTTTTCTAACTTGGTTTTCATTTCTTATCTTGATTGTTCTCCTGGTAGCTGTCTTGGGGCGTCTTCCAGGCACCACAGTGTACAGAAACATAAAGCAGTATCCAGAGGCTTACACATACAATGGGATTGTGATTGTCCGAATCGATTCTCCTATTTACTTTGCCAACATAAGCTACATTAAGGACAGGTGAGAGTGGCATTTTTATTCCTTGTGGTGTGAATGAATCTACAGAAAGAATAACAAGCCGTTTATTGTTAAGTGCAGACTTCGAGAATATGAAGTTGCTGTTGACAAATACACAACCCGAGGACCTGAGGTGGAGAGAATCTCTTTTGTTATCCTGGAAATGTCTCGTAAGGCCCTGTATTTTACTGTTGAATCTCAATTATTTATGTCTTAGAGAACAGAATCTCTAAACAAATACAAACAATTTGCAGCTGTTACACACATAGACTCGAGCGCGGTGGAAGCCTTGAAAGAACTGTATCAGGAGTACAAAACAAGGGACATTCAGCTGGCGATTTCAAATCCAAACAAAGATGTTCACATGACAATAGCAAGATCAGGAATGGTGGAGCTTGTTGGCAAAGAATGGTACTTTGTGAGAGTACACGACGCGGTACAGGTGTGTCTTAATTACGTACAGAGCTCTAACTCGGAAGACAAGAAACCAAGTTTCTTGAGAAGGTATGGGAATAATGAGAGCAACATCAAGAACAGTTCATCATACACTGATCTTCAATCGTCCAACACTCTGTTGAAGGAGCCATTGTTGTCACTCGAGAAATAAGGCTATCATGTAATGTAAGTAGCTCTCTGTGTATAGTTGTTGCAATTTTGTAAACATGACCATCTTCATTGTATCACCTGAACACATTCTTACACTACTATTACCGGATAAAACAAATTATCCAAATAAATATAGACCTTGGTGACATTGATACAGAGCTTCTCTAAGGAACTCGATCAATATTCTTAATGCAACCGTCTGCTACTAATCTACTGTAAACACTGACAAATGAGTTTTGAGTTTTGAAGCGTTTTACAACAAAACTATTTCTCTCAGTTAGATAATGAAGAATGTGAAATCACATTGCTTCTCATACAATTGAAGATTTACTTGAGAGTGGTGGAAGACGTTTTAAGAACGAGAGAGTCTCTTTTGCACATCCGACTTAGTTCCTCGTACAATAATAATTTAGGCTAAGCCATTGAAAAGATTTGTTAATAACTAAAGAAAGCAGTCCGTACATGAATTTCATTATTTTATACAAACAGAAAAACATATAAACGAGAATATAAACAAAAAGAGATGTGAGATTTGTGAAAGTGTCTTGTCTAGACATAATTGATGATACACCCTAAATATCTCCTACCACTCTATAGTTTAACTTTATTAACAAAAATATTAATAAATCATCATGAGGGAGACAAAGAGACACATAGATAGATAGATTACCTGTTGGCACAAGGGCTTAGAGAGCTTTATGACTTTGTGATGCACAGATCAGCCCTCATGCATAGCCTAATGATCAATCTTCCAGTTTCAAAACATAATCATACAACACTAGGAGATAGGTTCATCTAGAACGATATCAGCAGGATCACCGATCCATGGCCGCCCTTCTCTCCAGAGGAATTTTATTCTCAATTTCCCATTTGCATCCACTCCCACAACATGTCCTTTACTTGCATGTGTCTCCATTCCCCAACCCCACCGAGGTGTAACCAGTCCGTTCTTTATCTTAACCCGGTCTCCAATCCCGAACGGCCTTATACGTTCCATTTCCCCGCCTTTACAAAGCCATAGCCTATCTAGAAAACAGAAAGACACCCATAAGTCTCCATCCTCCATTCTGTGAACCACCCCTACGCTTGAAGGGTTCACCTCTCCCCACTGGTACGTTGGTGTTGTGATGCTCGGCTTTACCCTAACCCAGTCCCCAATCTTGAGCTCTTCTTCTTCTATGGTTTCCACTTCCGACGGGTCTAGCATCCACGTTTTAGACCCGGCTGGTGTGTATATCCGTAGCTTACCATCCGCATCGATAGCTGCTATGGTTCCTACACTCCCGTGGCTATGACCTGACCACCCAAACCTAGGCTGTTTCACTGCCAGTTTGACCCGAGTTTTTTGTCCGACTGCAAGCTTCTTTGCTTTCTCTAGATGCGAAGAGGAACCTGCCCATCTTTCTTGCTCGCCACAAAATGAAACGGAAGTGGTTCCGTCCCACTCGTCTCCCTCATATCCTACTCCATGCACTACACCAACACTCCCTGGTCCAATGGACTTCCAACAAGGAACGCCTTCTTTGAGTCTTACCCATTCTCCAACCTCAAACGTACGCTCCACCTCTAAGTCTGCTGGATCCCCTCTCCACAAACCAGGCAATCCGAAGAAAGCAACCCTTACCTCTCCATCAGCATGAACAGTTGTTATGATGCCTCGAGAATCGGGCTTCGCTCCTCTCCAGCCCCATCTTGGTTCTGTTAGGCCCTTCTGGAAATGCACAAACTGGCCAACTTTCAAAGCTGGAATCTTCTCTAAATCTGTGTAGTGAGTACTCCATCTTCCTTTCCGGAAACAACAAGCCAGCTCCAAGTAACCTGTTTCCTGTATGCTATGAACAACGGCAATACTCTCCCTTCCTACATTAAACCAATCATAGCTTGGTCTGTTTCCTAGGCTTGGCTTTGAGCGCACCCAGTCACCAACTTCAAAACCTGAGAGTAGCTCTGCATCACCAGGAGAGACTCTCCACAATGTCTGTCTACCAGTCACCTGCGCCTACAGGAGAACAAAAACAATCCAACCCTCGATTGTGAATTACTGGTGAAAACGAAAAGCCGAGGACAGCCCAATCAATTTGGGAAATGATCTGTTTCAGAAACTTACGCTCAGAGTCCCATCCATGTCGATTCTCATGATTTTACCAATAGTTGCTGGACTCTCATTTGACCATCCAAGCCGTGGTTGGGTGATAGATGGTATCATATGAATCTCTTGCCCCACATGAAAGGGTTCAACCTTTTCAACATCTGTCACCGAACATGAAAACGGCTTGCTCCTGAAACAAAAAGCTAGGCCCACATCACCATCTTCTTCTAAGCTGTGCATCACGCCAATACTGTTTCGAGTAATGTCTTCCCATCCATATTTCGGGGACGACACTGACGCCTTCACTCTGACCCAGTCACCAACCTGCTCGTTGTACAAATGCTCAGTGTTAAAAGAATCAAAGCTCTTGAGATGCTGCGGATCTAACTGAGATGCATTTTAAGAAACGACAACCAAACTTTCTCATACTTGTGACTCCATGAGAAAACCAGCTTTTACCTTGAAATCATCAATCTTTTCCATGTCGGAAGGATCTGCTTGCCACGGTATAGGTCGGCTTGGTATTTCAATTATAAGGAGACCATCATTCTCTATTTCACTAATTTTGCCAACACTGTGGTGGGTCTCACCACCCCAAGCATAACGAGGTTCGGCAACTGACCTCTTTACGCACACCCGATCACCAATCTATAATATAAAGAAAATTGTTGGATTGAACTTCTGATATGAAGTAAGAAATGTTTTACAGAAATCTAAACAAAAGTATATTACCCTAAAGGGAGCAACAGGTTCAACTTCCTCAGGTTCACAGTGCCAGGGATTTGGAAGATAACTTAACTCCACAAGGAGGCTGCTATCTGGCCTTACACAATAAACAATCCCCATACTCCCTGGGACAACAGATCCAAAGCCATGTTTTGCTGAAGTCAGATTTTGACGGATACGGACCCAGTCCCCGACTTTGAACTCTTCCACACGTTCCATTTCCGCAGGATCAGCTTTCCAGCCTCGAGATGCTCCAGGAAACCCAACTCGTAAGATCCCATCCTCATCAACACATAAAACAGTACCGACGCTATCACGTGATTGGCCACGCCAACCAAACCTACAATAAATTCAATCAACACCATATATGGTTATGACTTCGGTAAATGAATTACGCCATAATTTCTAACAGCTTTTGTAGCTCCAATTTGATAGTTTTGGCTGATTTAGAACCGAAGCTTGATTATTCAGGACCAGAAAGACAGACAGGACAAAAAGGAAGCTTTTACAAGTCAGAAAAATTCACGGTAGAAAATGTTTCATCTAAGATTCCGGGGCTAGATAATGTGCATACTACAAGGAAGCACTTACAAACCTTGGTTCTTTGACGTCTGCTCTGAGCCTTACATGCTGGCCCCTGTCCAATGGAATCAACTTAACAACTTCATTTGCCAACACACGAGCTTCACCAGAACAAAATGCGACAATCATGTCCTCCTTCTCAAGAATGGTTTGCACAAACCCAACACTCTTAGGCTTAGCACCTTGCCATCCATGTACGGGTGTTGTTATGCCTCTCTTAAACTTCACCCAATCTCCTACCTCATAGCTGAGAATTTGAAACAAGCGTCAGTTAACTGAGTACAGCTGTACAGGTGCATATCAGTAGAAAGATTTCAGAAGAAGTCCTCACATTGTAGGTGACAGATGAACTCCCCTTTTTGATAATGCCTCCATCAGATCCTCTGAGATCCATTCTCTTGGAAGGGCTTCTAAGAAGTCGCGTACTGTCTTGCCACTGTTATTCAATAGTTATAAATTATGATCGTAAGGAAACGGCAATGGCAATTCAAAATGCTAGCTTCTGAGTAAAATTTATATGCGAGTAGATTTCACAACCACTGACAGGCTGCTAACATTACCCTTCATTTCAATTATATAATACTTTTATAGCATCAAATTAGTGCTTGCCTGTGGTTTCTGACGTCCACAGCAGCATCAGGACTCCTAAGCATCACAATTAACCAATCAAGGTTTTCACGTATCATCTTTGCTGCGTCTGCTGCTATATGGAATGCATTGTCGCCTTCATCATCCTTGTAATAAAGAAAACAGAAGAATACAAGTCAAGTGACAAGGTAAAAACAGCACATATTGAAAGCCAGCTATGACTGCATGAGGACCTTACACAATGTGGAACTTACAAACATCATATGCACACAGCCTAGCCACTATTTATGCAGAGAACATATTTAGTAAACCATGATATTCATATCAAACGCTAGCTAAACACATACAAGAAACTGATCGTGTTTTGAATACCCAATGCCTCCAAGATAAGAATGTTTAGTCTTGGCGTTAAAGGAGTCTTGGCATTAAAGGAGATTGTCGGCAACAAATAACTCAAAAAACCTTACGAAGCCTGCAATATTACCTGTATATTGCAGTCCGAACCAGAGTCTAGAAGTAGGCTAACACAGGTATTCGCCCCTCTGGCCAAAGCCATGTGAAGGGGGATTGTATTGTGGACATTCCGAATGTTCGCATTCACACCAGCATCGAGAATAACCTACCAAATTAGACAAATGTGGTTGGCTGTAATATAGAAATTCAAATGAAAGATATGAGAGAAATGTACGAAGGCCTATCAACGCTGAGAAAATTTGGCACTGTGCATTCTGCGTCTTTTCCCTCAATAACTACCACTACCATTTCCATTCCCACCATATATCATTTACTTCATTGATAGGTGAAGCGTTGAATGAACTCATAGATTTAAGAAATGTATGGTGAAATGTATGGTGCTCCGCAACAGCATAACTATCAACAGTTCAGCACTGACAGAACATAATACTATTCTTCATCTTTAAAACATCAACTTTAATACGTTATTGGTAGGAAAGCATCTTACTCTCACAAGTTCCACATTGTTAGCCATAGCAGCAGTATGCAACGCTGTTCGACCATGCTGAGCATCTTGCGCAGTCGGATCTGCCCCAGCCGCAAGCAATATCTGGACTAGCTCTCTACCTTCTGCAGCAATATACATCCTAAGTAAACTGATTTATATAACAAATAGAATAAATATATATCATCCAATAAATTCAACTTTGACACGACACAGTAGTAGGAAAAAGTGCATATAACATCCTTTTTCGAAGTTTATAAAACTATAAGTGAATGGTCTTTTAGATTTAGTACACAAAAAACCATTGGAAAAGTAATTTAAAATACATTATTATCGTATAGGGATGATAGTAACTTCCTGTCTAGCCAATAAAAGATAAAACTTCGTACACGTTCACACAGAAAAGATCAGATATTCAGAAAACAAAGTCTTGCTAGCTAAAATTGACATTGCAAAAAAGCACAGGACTCGAATAGACAACATAGAAATCGTCATACTTGAAATATACTAACCCAAAGATACTATGATTTTATCATTACCCTTTTCATGATCTTTTCTTATAGCAGCAGCCATACAAAGAGCAGTGGCAACTGGACTTGAGATATTAATTGCCTGAGAAATTTCTTCTGGACTGGAAACTTCCACCCATCTCTTGATAACAGGAACATTCCATGTTGATACACACATATGTAACGGTCTGAAAACAACCATAAAAGTCTAAATATATATAGCATCAACAACAGAAACATATCGTTATTAATGGAATATGTTTAAAAAAAGATCCAATGAATAATAACACCTCTCACTTTAAGGAGTAATGGACATGTTTTAGCAGGTATAATACTACTAATTAAGAACTGACTATAAGAAGGCCTAGTAGTGACCTAGTCAGTGCCAGATCTTATGGTGGCTTATACCTAGCATACAAGAAAGGTTCTGTACTTACGTCAGGCGCTTTGCATTTGAAACGGCCATTGATTTAGATCCCCCATTTTCCAATATAACAATGGCACAATCTGTGTATTTCTTGGTAACAGCTCGATGAAGCACAGTTTCACCTTCATCATCCACTGCATTTGGATCAGCTCCAGCTATCAGCAATTCCTATTAATGTATCAACAAGCAGAGAGTAATAATTAACATGATAACAGACACAAGACTAGCCTGAGTTCCAATATGTACTTCAGATATGTGGAAAAATTGTAAACATGTGATGGAAGCTTCAACGTGACTAATAACTTCCTCGGGAGTAGAGACTTACACGCATACAGTCAGGTTGGCCATGGTACGAACACACATGAGCAACAGATGGGCCTGATCCTTCCCGCAGTTTGGACCTAACATTAGCCCCTTTTTTTATGAGAACACGAACACATTGTGGAGATCCAGCTGCTAAAGCAAAGACGAGAGGAGGATCCCCATCTTTATCCACAATATCTACATCCGCCTCCTCATACTCCAATATAGTCTCCACAAGTTCAGCACTGCCACGTCTGCAAGCTAAGTGAAGAGCGGATTGACCATCAGCGTTTTGCGCCTCTAATAGAGATCGCACAGCGCTTCCACCGCCTCCAGCTGCAGCCTTTGCTAGTATATTTCTACTCCAAAACAAAAATCACACCAATGTATAGTTGAGAAAAAGTTGTTTATAGCTAGGCAAATCCAAAGGATCTAACTAAAAATTCCTAACAGATACTAACCTTACACCCTCAAAATCTCCCTCCAAAACAACCCGATGTAGGTTGCTAGGGTTATCATGTAAGACCCCTATGTTGGTGGTGGGGAGAGTTTCTTCTACAACGTTTACTCCACATATTTTGGTAAACCCACTACATCATACACGATTTATAAAACTGTTAGGCGACAGAATATAGGTATGATGAGGCAAGCAATCTTAGCCACTGATGCTATATTAATATACGATTGTTTAACACAAATGAAAAGGGTCTTCTTTTACTGAGAAGCACTGAAAACAGAGTCCATTGTATAAGTAAACTTTGAGATTTGTAACTCTTACTTATCAGGGCTTGCTGAAGGGCTACGAGGTATCTCTTGTAGATGACGAAGAAATGTAGCGAGCATTGCATTAAAAGTCGGTCTTTTCGACGGTTTAAACTGAAGACATTCACCAATCATTTTCCATAATTCTCGGGGAATTCCCACACCCACTATACGTTCATACTGTGGTGGCACTTTCCGGGCTTTCACAACAGCTTGAAAGATTTCTTCTCTACTAAGACCATCCCACCTGCAAAATCAAGAGATAGTTATAGCACAAAAGCGGACACAAAACATCAATGAAATATGCAGTAGGAAGAGGCATCACATACGGAGTGGAGCCAGTGCACATCTCGACCAACGTACAACCAAAACTCCATGCATCCGACTCTGGAGATACACCACTTGCATCCTCCCAAAAAAGTTTTTTCACTGGCCCCCAAGCCTCTGGCGCAGTGTAGTGTGGACTGAGTGTGATACAGTCCGTGCATAGAGTGAGTTTCGATGAATCCAACTCTGGTCGAGCTTTCTGGCATGTTGGCTTCTTCAGGATGGGAGCGAGCCCATAATCAGAAACCACAGCATTGCCGCTTGCATCCAAAAGAAGATTCGAAGGTTTTATATTCATACATATAACACCTGCTGCATGGAGTTCTGCAACCCCTCGAGCAACATCAGCCCCATATCTACAGTTGGTAACACATAGCTTGGTCACTGGAGGAGTTTTTCAAAAGTTAAAAAACTAGAGCAACATGAACACCATGTGAAAGGAGAATACAAAAGACATTCATTTACTCTCTAGTGGTTTCATTTAACAGTCCCAAAATGACGATATACAATCAAAAACAGAAAATGTCGAAAAACCTTAATAGCTGCTCCAAAGTGATGAAAGTGAAGCAAGAGATTGGGCATAAACTATAAGAGAAGCAAAAGAGTAACCTTAATATCTGCTCCAAAGTGAGTCTGCCTTCATTGCGTTGCATCTCAGACTGAACAGACCCATAGCATCTATCCATCAATAGACAAAGAGATCCCTCCATCTTCACAACCCCATGGAAAGTGCAAACATTCCGACACCACATCGATGCCTTTCTCAAGCTCTCAAGCTGTCCCTGCATCCAATCTACATCCATTTCCTCCGTCAAAGACATCTTCTTCACCGCCACGCGGTGCTTACACCTTCCACCACCGCCTGCAACGGTCGCGTCCCACATCTCAACTCCACCGGGAGCACTGCCCTCTTCCCCAATCTGCCTCACCAGCTTCATATCCGGGTGAGCTCCGACCTCGATCACCGGACCACATGAGCTATTACGCGAGCTGGAGGCGTGGAATCCGCGGGCGGAACGAGCAGCTTCGTCATCGTCGCTTCCGTCTTCTTCGCCGTCTTCGTCCTCGTCGTCCGTGTAATCACAATCGAAGTTTCCGCCGCCGGAAGCGGCGTGGATGAGGGCGAGCATAGCGAAGTTCTTCCGCAGGCCCTGGACGGAGTTCCCGACCACGGACACGTGGCGGCAGCGGGGACAAGTGAGGGTGGTGTCGGAAGAGGTGGAGAACATCTTGGACAAGCAATCCTTGCAGAAGCCATGGCCGCATTGGAGCAATAGCGGAACTCTCTCGTCCTCGTTATACCGCGTGTGGCACACGGAACAACAAGGCACCTTCATTCTCCCCACCATTAGAGCTCAAAAGAGAAAGCCCTAAAAAAAAAAAATTCGGCGAGATCAGAGAGTAGAAAGAGTGTGAAAGGCAATCACTTGAAGCGAAGGAGATAGATAGAGAGAGAGAGAGAGAGAGAGAGAGTTGGTCAGAACATATCCTGGAAACCCACCAACAAAGTCGATCCAGATCAAGACGAGAAGAAGAGATCCATGGAGTAGAAAAGGGGAATTTGAAAGGTAGATCAAAAATTTGCTGGGAAATCAGACACGTTGAGTCGAACAAGAAAAAAAAAATTGTAAGAAAATGTGAAAAAGGTTCTTCTTCAGGGTTTTATACTATTAGGATATTTATTTATTTACTTTTCTTTTAGTTTTGGGGGACGAAGGTTTAGTTGGTGAGTCGAGCTCTCTGGTTCATCGGTTTTGACGGGTTGGTGCCTTTGGTGTTGAACCAGAGGAGCCATTAGATATTATTACATGAACCATAAACTCCCTGAGATTATTAATTATTACGGAACTCTTTTTTACTTTCAGAATCATCATTTTCTTGTCTTCCAGTAGAAAACTCTCCCTTGGAGTTTTTAACTTTAAAAAAAAAAAGTAATATAATAATCCAATTTCGGCTGAGGTTAATTGCACTTGATCGAAGTCTTGTTCATGTGTTGTCTTCCATTGAGAGATTGATTTTCTTGACTTTTCCTGATATATCTCTTCTTTGCCTATATAGTAATATATATTTTGTAAAATTGTGTCTTCACGTAAGAAACCATCACAACTGATTACAAACTTCATTTATTCATCACATCATTCTAGATTTTGGAATCTTTAACCTATTTGCGGGCAATCCATGAAGATCTCTTGCTTAGTAATTGGGTTCAACTTTCCTTATGTTTTTTTTGTTTTTGCATCTAATTCACAATCAGTTAGATCGAGCTCAGTGATAAAACAGAGCCCAGAGCTGCTATTACAAAATTAAGAGCATAAATGGGCCTTCGATGGGCCTTATGCAAATGCACTCCCAAGTCCCAACACCAGTTCAAAAAATGAGTCATACAATCAATAGGGAGGAGACTCTGTGACGATAATTGAGTTTGACTCTGCCCCGAAAAGATTCAACTAGTTATTATGCAGTTGTGGCTTAGTATGATGTTTATTTGTGTGCTTAGTATGATGTTTGCAGTGATGATCAAACATATTAGAATAAACTTCGACATTAAGCTTGCTAAGATACTTTCCGTCGAAACAGAATCAAATCAACTACTACTAATCACACTTTACATATTTTGATCACCGTTTAGTCTGTTAATTGTCTAACGGTATCCTGAAAGCTCCCACTTTATGCTCCCATGATTCTCCATTAACCACATTATTCCTAATATAATTGTTTTTTTTTTTGCTGAAAATGTTCGATTGAACAGCAAAAGGAACATTTATTAATTTCTCTTTTCTCCCGCTTTATGCTCTCTCTCTTCTTCACTTCTCCTCTTCTCCCAACTGTCCCTTTTCCTCTCAAACCCTAAGCGTGAATCCAACTTTGCTCTTTCGATTTTTCCAATTATCACTCAGCTATGGCTCCCATTGATCCCCACTCTTTCACCCAAGTCTCTCATCCTCTCACCACCCATGTCGCTCTCTCCCTTTACCTCGATTTCAACACCTCCATCATCCATGGCTCCGCTCTCCTCTCTCTCTCCTCCGCCTTCTCCGGCAACCTGTCCCTCGATTCCCGCTGCATTTCCATCGATACGGTCCTGGATCCCCAAACTCTCGAGCCACTCCCTTACACCGTCTCCGCTAACCCGGATCCAATCCGAGGCACCGAAATAGTCGTTGCCCTCTCTGGTCAGTCTTCACTGCTTCTCGTCTACTCCACCTCGCCTTCCGCCTCCGCTCTCCAGTGGCTATCTCCTCTCCAAACCTTCTCCAAGACGCATCCCTATGTCTACACGCAGTGCCAAGCGATTCACGCCAGATCCATTTTCCCTTGCCAGGACACTCCCGCCGCGAGGATCCGCTACGACGTCGTCATGAACATTCCGGCTTCGCTCTCCGCCGTCATGTCGGCCCGCCACGTCCGCCGTAGGCTTCCGGTTCTCGAGGAGGCCAAACACCTCCAGGCGGGGTCGTCGCTGTGGTGTGCCGAGGACAGGGTCGTGGAAGAGTTCGTAATGGAACAGCCTATACCGCCGTATCTATTCGCGTTCGCCGTAGGCGAGTTAGGGTTTCGGGAAGTCGGGCCTAGGACTCGGGTATACACAGAGTCAGCTGCCACCGAAGTTCTCGATGCGGCGGCCCTGGAGTTTGCAGGAACGGAGGAGATGATCAGGCAAGGAGAGAAGCTGTTTGGCGATTACGAGTGGGAGCGATTTGACTTGCTGGTGCTGCCTCCGAGTTTTCCATATGGAGGGATGGAGAACCCAAGAATGGTTTTCCTGACGCCCACTGTGATCAAAGGGGACGCCTCTGGGGCTCAGGTTGTAGCGCACGAGCTCGCACATAGCTGGACTGGGAATCTGATCACCAACATCAACAACGAACATTTCTGGTTGAACGAGGTATTCCCCAAGCTACTCTACCTCAGTTTATGCTTCAAGATTGTTTTTTTTGGAATACATGGGTATGGATTAGTGATGTGTAACTGTGTGATCATGTTCATGGCAACACAGGGATTTACAACTTACGCTGAGAGGAGAATTGTGGAGGTTGTTCAAGGGGCGGATAGAGCTACTTTGAACATTGGCATTGGTTGGAGGGGTTTAACTGATGAAATGGAACGTTTTAAAGACAACTTGGAGTGCACAAAACTGAAGAACAATCAAGAAGGTGTTGATCCAGATGATGTTTATTCTCAGGTCCCATATGAAAAAGGCTTCCAATTTGTGTTTCGAATTGAACGCCAGGTTAGTTGAGTTAGCCCCACCTTGACCTGCTTAGGTGTTTTCTTATGTAATGTTTACCAATAATGGTCATCTATTTACTGGAAACCTTTCAGGTTGGAAGGACTGCTTTTGACGATTTCCTCAAGAAGTACATTGCTACTTTCAAGTTCAAGTCGATCGATACAGATACATTTCTTGAGTTCCTAAAAGCAAACATCCCTGGCATAGAGAAAGAGATCAACCTGCAACTGTGGACTGAGGGAGTTGGTATACCGGAAGATGCATATGAACCAGTCTCAACCATTTACACAAAGATCATCTCCCTCGCAAAAGAGTTTAAGGAAGGAAAGATGCCAAGTGAGGATGAGGTTGCTGAGTGGAACGGACAGGAGTGGGAGCTCTACTTGGAGAATCTTCCTAAAACATGTGAACCTTCTCAGGTACTCTTTATACTTCCTCTCTTCCTCTGAGATAATGGGAAGTAGTTAGGTGCATTGAAAAGAGAAAGAGATTCATAAGTCCACGCGAGCCTAAAAGTGAGTCTTGGATTAGTACAAGTAGAGGAGAAACAAGCTGTGTGGGTAGAAAAAGCCTCTTAGCTTTGGGAAAGTTAACGGATGTGGAAGGCATCTTAGCCTAGGAAGAGTTAAGAGATCTGTTCAACAATTTCTTAGGATGTTATCTTGTCTCCTTGTTTGTAATCGATAGTGGAAGATCAAAAAAAAGGAAAGATAAGATTTTACTAACAGCCCCTTTCGATTATTGGTGAATCAGGTCATGGCCTTGGACAAGCGGTACAAGCTGGCAGAATCGAAGGACTACGAAGTGAAGGTGTCGTTTCTGCAACTCGCAATCTCATCCAAGTGCAGAGAGTACCATGGGGAAGTGGAGAAAATGCTAAAAGCGGTTGGAAGGATGAAGTACCTGCGTCCACTCTTCACTGCACTTGCACAAACTGGTGGAACCGAAGAGAAGCAGCTGGCGAAACAGGTGTTTGCAGAAGCTCGAGAAACTTACCACCCCATAGCTCAGGGAGTGGTCGAGTCTATCCTCTCTAAGTACATCTAAACAAGACCACACCTTGTAGCTTGAGAGCAAGCACTTTAATAAAAACAGCATTTCAATAAAACCCAATGGCTTGTAATAATTGGTGATTTGCGTCAGTCATAAACAAAAAAATTGAATTGCTTTTGCGGGTACATTACATTCTCTCTGAGATTTAGTACAGCTTACTTAAACTATGCATTACTCTCATCTTCCAACTTCTTGACATAAGCCTTGAGCACCATTATAACCTCAATCGCTGGTGCTTGTAAAGTAGAGACGAGATTAATGGCCGGGCTTTGCAGAGCGCCGAGCATCTTAGCGTAAACCTCAGCGCGAGTGGGCATGGTCTCGAGAGCCTTGAAATTGTCGGGAGCGTAGAACTTACCTTCGAAGACGGCGCCGGCGAAGTCATTGTCGTCGAGCTTGCGCTCCTTCTGGAAACTCCGGTAGGGTTTAATGGCGGAAGGGATTTCGTCGGTTTGGACGAAGAGCCAGGCGTTCATGCCTTTCATACAAGGCTTGAGAGCTTCCCATTTGGTGCCTTCGATGGCCTTGAAGACCAAAGTGTTCTTGGCGACGATGAGCTTCGTGGTCTCGGGGAGAGTTCTACGGAGGTCTTGGAACTGCTTGACGGTGAGGCCTTTGTAGTTGATGGCGGCGAGGAGGTGGCAGTTCTCGAGGTGGGTTTTGACGGTCTCGACAGTCTCTTCCTTTTTGGTACGAGACACGGCGGATCTGATGACCGGGAGGCGGGGGTAGTTTGGGGATTTCGACGAGGTTCTGGGATTTAGGGTTGAGGTTCGGCTGTGGCAGAGAGGAGACAAGGAGGAGGAGAAGGAGAGAAGACCGGCTTCCATTTTTGCTCAAAGAAGATGAGGAGAAGTGTGGGGTTGAGGGAGGAGGAGATAGAAGATGATCAAACAAACACTCTCTCTCTCTCTCTCTTTTTTTTCTTTTTTAAAAATTTATTAAAAGGAAAATCATGGACAAATAAAATATATTAATTGACGGAACCATTAACTCCGTCGTCTAGTTGGACACATTTCTCTTTTTAGTTTGGTTATGAAGAAGTCTGTGACTGTATGTAACATTTTGTCCTGCTTTATCACATTATTGTAGGATTGTAAAATTAAAGATCAATAACTAGAACCAAAAGAAATAGTTGTACAATTTTTTTCTAGGGATTATGGAAGATGTGTCTTCGCCATCTAACTATCACCTAACGGTTTCTTGAACATCGTCCCAAACCAGATCTCATAATTTACTCTTGAGTTCATCATTTAACTGAAAGAAAAGGAAGTATAAAGGGAAAAAATAAAACTGTTCAGTCGGCAAAACATGCTGTATAGATTCGTTGTAGTCCCTATGATTTGAAGTTCGTGTCTTGTGGTTGTTGACGTGAGTTAGAGATTGTCCCAATTAGGGATATTGGCAGTAGCTTCATTCACCATCTTCACAAGAGTCACCTGCATCACCAACACCCAATCTATTTAGGCAAGTCATTCACAATTTGGCTTCTCACTTTCACACTTCTTGTCAATGATTCACAGACTAATGCATACAAACTCTTGGAAATTAACAAACTACATCAGACTTAGGATTAGCATTTGCCAATGTAATATTTAGTCTCAATGGGGCCTATGAGCCATGGATGGACCTTACTTACTATCTCGTTCTACATATGGATTAGATTAAGTGGTAAGTATACAACATACCACACTTTCCGGAGCACCACGAGGCGGCATGGAAATGTTCCTCGGAGGAGGACCTCGCAGATGTGATCTCTTATCGAATCGCCACTCTCCTATTTTTCCATACGTCAACTCACCCTGTAATTATAGAACACTTATGAAACTGATATAATTAAAACTAACAAATGCAGTTCTGATGGCGGATCACCGAAACTTTGTATAAGGTTGTAACAACAAAACTTTGTAATAAGAAAACTTAAACAAACTAAGCAAAACCGAATGAACACAAGATTGCATAAGTATTGAGAGAATACTTGAAAAAAATGACTCAAGATGTAAATTCTGTTATCTAATCTATCTGCCAAGAATAAGATTAAACAAGTGTCAAAGAGAAATAACCTTCAGGTTGTAGTCGCACCCATAAGTGTAATGGATGATAAACTTCCCCTTAGTAGACATATCCCACGGAGGCTGAAAGATTTGGTAAGAGAACTTAGGAATACGGAGCACAGAAACAAAAAAAAATTGTAACTCTGTCGAGACAAATCAACAAAAATAAGCTCGACATGGAAAAGGATATCATTAACAGTAATCAGAACATGGTTGATTCCTACCTGAAGCATGAAATCCTTCCGAAGTATGTGCCGCACCCCATGCACAGCAGATGCAATCGCGTAGCCGTACCTTGTCAAACAGAAAAGAGAAGAGGCAAAGCTGTCAGAAAAAAAATGATGAGATTCAAAAGGCAGGTAGCTAAGTCATGAATAGAGATTTTCTGTTTCAGGTGCTAACATTTCAAGCACCCATCCAAATGCCTTATCAGTTTCTGGGTCGTTTTTCATAGTCATAGAGATATTCATCCATGTAGGAGCAATCTTTTCAAGTGATTCCTGCACAAGAAAGAAAATGCATGTCAAACATCAATTCAAATGCACAAAGAGAACAAACTAACATAATCCTGGACACCAGCACATCACATCTAGCTGGGGGTTCAAGTCACAGAATCATTACAGCACAGATAAACAAATCTCACCTTTTTAATAATAACAGGAGAATTGCCAATGGGGTCGATATTTGTAACCGGGCCCATCTCCAGAGGATAGTACTTTCTGACAATGTTTTCGTACTTTTCAGGTGTAATATAGAAAAACGGAAAAGCGGCAGGGTATCCTCCAACAGCCAAATTGGGAAGAGGGTTAACAAAAATATGATCAGGCTCTGCCATCAGTACATAGCTGCACCAACATTAAGATGCATGAGATTTAGCAAACAAGTAAAACGTTTCTTGTTGGAATGAAGGGAGACACGAAACTTACTCTTCCTTTATGGTAGCTCTTTCAAGCCACTGCACGAATGCCCATGGTCTGTTCAAGACAACATACCCCTAAACACAATAACAAAAGGTAATTCCATTATAAAAATAGCACAAAACTTCAGATCAAGTGAAGAGAAAGGAATATAAAAAATACTCACCCGATCAAGACCTGGAGGAAGAGGATCGACCACAAACGTAGGAATCTCGTCCATCAAGTTATCGGGATTACCCGAATGCAAAATGCGGGTAAAGCCACCCATATCAGAACCAGGGAGAGCTTTCTTCTGCTTATACCAATAGTACATAATACGACACTGCCATTTGTTGTAAGGAGCGTCTGTGGCTGTTAAGGCAACATGAAAGGGTGCTGGAGAGTTCTTGGCCTTTCTGTGAGGCATCTGAACAACAGGATCTAGAAGTGGAGATCCATCTGGATTGCTCAGTCCAGATCTATTGTGGACTATAAGGGTCAGAAGATTGTATGTGACAACAAAGAACCCAAAACCCAGCAGAAACAGAAGCAGTGTCGATGCTTTTCCCATTCTCGATCAAAACTCGAAATTTACAAAAGCAAACTTATCCTCAGATATTGGTGATTTTATCAGCAAAAATTCACCACATACATGGAAGTGGACCCCCTTTCACTCACAGTTTCATTCCTGCAAAATACAATTGAGGTACGAAAAGTGAATCGGTAGAAAACAAAGCTAATGGGATGAAATCGGCTAAGTTCCTGAAACGCATCAATTTCACCCAAACAAATAGCAATTGGAGAAATTCAACAATTATCCGGAAAGAAAGTTACATAAAAAAAACAAATTGAAAGATCTGAAGAAGCAGAGACCTAGAAGCGAAATTCGGAATATGACATAAGAAAGGGAGTAAAATTCGAAGCTTACGGATTCGTGGAGTTACCCAAGGAGGAGAAGACAGGGAAGTCGCCGGAGAGGAATAAGCGATCGGACAAGTAATTAATGCGAAGCGGAGTTGACTAACCAATTTATTTTTTTAGTTACACATGCCAAATGGTGTTAGGGACGTGCCAACGAAATCAATTAGATACAAAAGAAAACAAATTATTGTCGATGCACAAACAATTATAATAGAGAACCTGTGTTAAGAATAAAATGAGGTTGGAGAAGTGCATGCACGTCGATGCGAAAAACAACTTTAAAACATGATTCAAATTCATGAAGAGATGAACATTCACGAGGAAAAATGATGATTTACAGCAGAATTGGAATTTTTACTGTCGTCGTCGTCAAAGTAACTGGTGTGCTTCGATTTTACAGCCTATTTATCTTCACATCTCATTCTGCTTTAAGTACTTTTGGAAACGTGCTCCTCGCTATCGAACTCGTCTGCATCTGACTGTAGCTATCACTTTACGCTATTCACTCAAAATATACGTTATAAAGATATTTCACTCGGTTTAATTGAACTATTCAATGAATTTAGTTTTCGTGACCAGTATTCAGAAAGCTACAGAAGCTTCAAATTTACGGACCCAACAAAAGTATGTAATGTCCACATTATGACGTTTCCTTCTTCATCACAGGTAAAAAAATTCCAAATCATGAAGAGAACTCATAAAAAAGATATCCTCATCATATAAAAAGCGGTAACAAAGTAGTAGTAAAACAACAAAAAATGGTAAAATGGTTCGAAGGAGTCAATCCCCTTCCCATACAAAATTTATTCCAATAAGAAAAAATTTATCGTCGAAATGATAAATCTTCCCTCACTCCTCTCTAGTTTTATGGCAAAAGATTTCATCAACATCTTTGTTTTTTAAGTCTGAAACTGCAATAAATCGGGAAAAAAAAAGAAGAAGCCGAAGCTTAATGGTGGTGACGAGGTGGTTAGTACTTAGGCACCTCCAGATCCGAACTTCTTTCCGAGAAGAAGTAACTGAAGCTTGTCGTATCCAGAAAGCACACCAGCACCTGCAATGGCACGAAGGATGTTGGCACCAGCACCCTTGAACAGAGACTTGGCTCCTTCCTTCTTGAGGATCTGTTGGAAGGCATCCATCGAACTCTTGTACTTGACGGCTTCACCTGATGTCATCATCATTCTTCTACGAACAGTGTCAATGGGGTAGGATGCGAGACCAGCTCCATTGGTGATGAGCCATCCAAGAGCAAAGCTAGCGAAGAAACTGTCCTGAAATGTCCATAAAGGAAAGAGAGATAACCACATTAGAAACAAACTTAAGGCAGGAAAGGATAACAATTTATGGACATAAGATGTGGATCAAAAACAAACCTGCAAGTTTCCAGGAAGAAGAGGCTTCAAAGAGTCGTACAGTCCAAAGTAGAGACCACGGTAGACAATGATACCAACACAAGAGATGTTGAATCCACGGTAAAGTCCAGCAATACCATCAGTCTTGAGGGTCTTCTTGTAAACATCAACAAGACCATTGAACTGCCTTTCACCTCCCTTCTTGGCAGCCTTAGAGTCGTTGGCAAGACGGGTACGAGCATAGTCAAGAGAGTACACAAAGAGAAGGGAAGAGGCACCAGCGGCACCACCGGATGCCAAGTTACCAGCAAACCACTTCCAGTAGCCATTGTCTTTCTTGAAGTTGAACAGACTCTTGAAGTAATCTTTGAATGCAAAGTTCAAAGCCTGACAAGTAAGAGATATATATCAGTAACCAATGCATCACAAAGTAGTAGACTGTAATTTTATGAGCAAAGGAGTGAAGAAACATAACCAACCTGAGTGGGGAAATAACGGATAACATTAGCAGTGTTTCCTCTCCATAGAGAACCGAACCCCTCATCCTTAATGGTCCTGCCGAAACACTCACCAATACCCTTGTAGGGCTCAGAGAGCCTCCCAGCCTTGAGCATCTCATCCTGGTTTTGAATCAAAAGCTTGACACGCTCAATGGGAGCAGCAGCGGTCTTTGACACAGCGGCGGAAACACCTCCCATCAGGAAATCAATAGCAAAGTTTGTCAAACCTTTCTCACCAGGTGCCTGGACAAACACGGGAGAAGCAGCTGCTGGAATCATAGATGAGGCCGCAAGAGGGTACTGGAATGCAGCATTGGAGTAGTTCCCGTAAGTTGCACGCCTTTGGTATGTGGAAGGCCTCTGAAAAGCGGAAGCGTAAATGTCCTGAGAAACACATGAACGCGAGAATTGGCCGGAAGCCTTCTGCATGATCGTGGGGTACTGAGTCTGATCAACCATTTTGACCTCTGCAAAAGTAAACAAGCCAAGTTAACTTTAAGAAACGGATAATTCTACAGCAAAAGGATTTGTGTATAAACATAAGTGAAGCTAAAGAAGAAACATATATAAACAAACAAAAGTAGTGAAAAGCCATGACCGAAAACATTGGATTTGTACTTCACGATTCGAATGAACAAACTATACACATACGACTATCACGTATGAGCTCTAACTGAGATCTAGTAACATCTTGATCCAGTATTTACACTGAGAAATGATGCGACGCATAAACAAAAACAGGATTATAACATGATTATATTCAGAAGCAGAAAATGTTCGCTAACGAGGTCCGCACAACAGATCCATACATCAGTAAGAAAATGGCATGAAATAAAAGTAACACAGACGAATCATTTCGAGATTTACAAAAGCAGATCCAGAAAAACGTAAAACAGATCTGTTCTATCAAAACTCTCATTCCGCGATCTAGATTCAATCCAACGCAGGAAAAACCATCAGATCTACAACTCTAAACAATATCATTTCACCTTTTCGATATGTAAGACTGTGAAGCAGATCAATAAAATAAGATGAACAAATGCGAGAAACAACGAGATTTAAAGCGATCACAGATCTGAGGGGAGCCTAAACTTACCAAAGGGAATCGATGGCTAAGCGAAACTCAAGGAGCGGGATTCTTCGCCCTTTCTTCTCGGAGCTGAGCGAAGAAGAAGAAGAATGAGAGAATTTTCTTTGTGGCGAGGAGGCGAGTGTTTTTATGGCCTTTTATTGGCTCGAGAAATAGGGCCGCAAGTAGTGAACAGAAAGAATCAGGTGTAACGCTCCCTGTATGCGCCCAAATTTTTTATGTCCGTTAGATCGTCGAGATTGGAACATAGATGGATTAACAACCGTTGATTATGATTACTAAAGGGAACAATAGGTTTAATATGGAAATGCACGACTGCGTTATTGGCCCTAGATCTTGCCAGCTTTTTTCACGCCGGAAATCTGGAATGTTATTGGCAATTGCCGGATTTGTTTAGTCAAATGTCAACACGGCGACGTTTAAGCATTTATGAAATATACTAATTTATTTAGAAAAAAATAATTGTTAAAAACTAGAATAATAACTTTTGATTATGCTCACTTTCAATTGCGATTAACTTTTAAAAACGAATAGTTTCAAGGAACCAATTTACGAAGTCCACACACTGGAAGCATCATAGGCCGGCCAAAACTATTTTCAAATCAGAATGTTTCATATGTTCCATTGTTATATTTTCGGTTCTTTACAGATGGCAAATTGAATAATAACTAGATTATTGAATAATAATATAACTGCTATGCGTCTGACATTAATCTACTTGGTTTATAATCGTTGATATTAAACCAAGCTGTATGAACCGGTTTGTTTAGAAATTAAAATCCAAATAAAACCGGCCGGCGAACCGATCGATACTTTCTTCAAGGCTTGCCGAGAAAAAAAAACCCTAACCTTTCGACTTATCGTTGCTTCTTGTCTGCGCTTGGTTCTCTCAATTCTCCTCAAATCCCCGATTGATAGGCGACGAGGCCCACCCTCGTTGCAACATAACCTCAACATTCAGCCACACTTTCCCAGCTTCCTTCGATTCGTATAAATCACTCTCCGTGGGCAATAATGTACGGCGACGCGATGCATCAGCTCCCGCCGGTACATAATCAACACCTGGTGGTCGCCGGCGGCGATTTGCACAGGGGTCCACCGATGCAGCCCCCGCCGATGATGCGTCAGCCTTCAGCTTCTTCTTCTAATATCAATCCCGACTACCACCATTCCTTAGCCCCAAATCACTTCGACTGTAAGTAGTAGTAGTAGTATCTGTTCGAAAAGAGTTGACCTTTTTTTTCAGTTAGTGATGACTGTGAGATCTGATGTCTATCGTTCGACGTTGCAGCACATGTTGACAATTTCGGTGCGAAACGAATGAGAAAGCATACACAGAGAAGGGCTGTTGATTACACGAGTACCGTTGTGAGATACATTCAGGTATTGTGTCGCTGTATTTCTTAGTTAAGGCCCTTCTTTGACTGATCCGATATCTATACTCAATAGCCTCTCCTTCGCCAGTTAGATTATCCGGTCCCTTTGATCTCAACGTTCATTAGATAGCATGGTCTTTATGTCATGTAACTGATTTGGATATGTGGTTGAAAGAGCTCACAGTTCATGTGGAAACAAAAGTACAGAGTGTATTAACTTCATATATGTTCTTGTTCAGGCTCGAACATGGCAGCGTGACTCGAGGGATAGGACCTCTTTGCAACCAACCCCAGCTGCAGCAGTTGATGTTTGATTTCTTTGTTTTTCTGGATTATGCAATAGTTTCTTAACATCTCTCTTTCCAGTTTTTGAATTGTTTTACTGCTCTAACTTTTCATATCAATGTTTCAGATGCTTCCCCCAGTTGCCTATTCAGATAATCCTTCTACAAGCTTTGCTGCGAAGTTTGTTCACACATCTCTGAACAAGAACCGTTGTTCAATCAACTGTGTATTGGTATATTCCTCCAACGGCTCGCTTTTATCTATGCAATAAAACAACGTTGTTCTTTTCTTTTTTTGATTCTGCTGTGCCAACTTTATGCGGTCATTGCTGATTTGGTTTCTTGTATTTAGTGGACACCTTCAGGAAGGCGTCTTATCACGGGCTCCCAAAGTGGGGAGTTTACTCTTTGGAATGGGCAATCTTTCAATTTTGAAATGATTCTTCAGGTTCGCTTTTCAGATTGTGTATTTTAATCATTGGGGACTTTTGTTGTGTTTCCTCTATAGTTGTTGCTCCTGTTACTGACTGTTGAAATTTGCTGTCAATGCCAGGCACATGATCAACCTATAAGGTCGATGGTATGGAGCCACAATGACAGTTATATGGTTTCTGGTGATGATGGAGGCACGATAAAGTATATTGTTTCTTCCACGTAAATGAGAAGCTCGGAATTCTATGATTCGAATTCTGTTTTTGCTGTGATATCAAGATCAATTGTTTCTTATGTATCAGGTATTGGCAAAACAATATGAACAATGTGAAAGCCAATAGAACTGCTCACAAGGAATCCATTCGTGGTCTAAGGTAAAAAGAGTTTGATATGTTAAACTGCATCAAATGAATCTCTTCAAATATGTAACATTGTGTACCAAACAGTTTCTGTAAAACAGATTTGAAGTTCTGCTCGTGCTCTGATGATAAGACTGTTAAAGTTTGGGATTTTGCCAAGTGCCAAGAAGAAAGTTCATTAACCGGTAACGTGATTTGAACAGATTGGCTGCACGTAATGAACTTCTTAGTCGCTTGCTCTTCTATTACTGATTCGGAGGCCAATCTAGATGTGTATTAGCTGTATGATATTAGAATTTGACCCCTGGCTACATAGACAAATTGTGATTGAGATTCTCTCTGGTGTCATGCCATGTAAAAAATAGTTGGTTTTGGAGCCTCCATATTGGTGCTTAAGACAAGTTTCCTATCCATTTGAAGGCCTGCTTTCACTGTTTTTTCCTTCTTCATATTTGTATTTCTGATAATTATTGAAATGACCAAAGGGTTCTCTATATTTTGAACTCAGGCAGGCCATGGTTGGGATGTCAAGAGCGTTGACTGGCACCCCACAAAGTCCCTACTAGTTTCTGGTACATCATCTATGGACTTCTGATTTCCGAATAATGCTTAGAGCTTCTCTCTGTGACTTATCAATACACTAAAAACCGTTTTAATTATTGTTGTCAGGTGGATCAGACCATATTGTCAAACTTTGGGATACTAGAACTGGGAGAGAGCTTTGCTCACTGTAAGTGATACAAAACGCAATCGATATCTTGTTAATAATTTCAAGTTCAAGGCTTTGACGAATTCGATGGTCTTTTCTCACTTTTGCAGTCATGGTCACAAAAACATTGTGTTTAGTGTGAAGTGGAACCAAAATGGCAATTGGCTTTTAACAGCCTCGAAAGATCAAATAATCAAGGTAAGGCTCATTTTCCTTATTGATTTGCAAGCAATTTTTTTTCTGTGTATTATGGAAGCATTTGTATGACATCTATGCATGTAATCTACAGCTGTATGATATAAGGACTATGAAGGAGCTTGAATCCTTCCGTGGGCACAAGAAAGATGTAACATGTAAGCTGTCAAATTCTGTTATGATCATCTTCAATCACGTGATAGCAGACAAACTGCCTGTAAAAAATGCTTTTCTGGACATTGGCTAGGACTCTATTAGAGTATATGCCTTCAAATGATTATCATTGTACCCAATCTTTTATTATTATACCATGATGGTTATGAATTGGTTTCATATGCAACTATTCTTATCAAAAGTTGTCGAACTTTTTTGAAGCTGTGGCATGGCATCCCTTCCATGAAGAATACTTTGTCAGTGGGAGCTCTGACGGATCCATTTGTCATTGGATTGTGGGGTATGTAGTGTTGTGAAGCAACATGTTATTATATTTATTCGTATTGCTTTAGTCACTTATAAGGATTTGTCGAATCATGTTTCTTGTCTACAATATTTTTATCAAGGCATGACGCATGTACATACTAGTAGGATTGTACTCTACCTTTAATTTTGTGGTTTTGTTTGAGGTGTGTCTAACTATGAAACTTTTCTTAATTTTCAGGCATGAAAACCCACAGATTGAAATCCCAAATGCTCATGAGAACAGTGTTTGGGATCTTTCATGGCATCCTATTGGATATCTTCTTTGCAGGTAGCAATTAAGATAATCTGGTGCTAGATTTCTTTAAGAGTTTTATTTCATGATGGTCTGTGGTTAGCTATGTTCTTGGATATATAATGCTTTAGATATTGATATCTTACACTAATATCTGCAGTGGTAGCAATGATCACTCAACCAAGTTTTGGTGCAGAAACAGACCTGCAGAGCCAGATAACCCTCGAGATGTCCTTACTATGCAGAACCAAGGTATTTTTTGGTCTAGCAATATCTGATATATTTTTAGTAGGCATGGGCGTGGGTAGTGCTACTGCTTATTATTATGCCCTTATCAATATAGAGTAAGTAGTAAGGATGTTTGTGTGTAGTAATTAGTTTGATATGTATCAGGCTATAATGAACAAGGTTTTGGCAATCGCTTGACTGATAGTTTCCAACCATCCGAGGCATCACCAACTCCTGGAGCATTTGTTCCTGGGCTGACACGGACCGAGGGGACCATCCCAGGAATCGGAATAGCAAGGCCATTCGATGGATCCTCTCAAGGGGAACATAAACAGCCTCTTGCAGGTACAGGGGCTCCTCCGCTGCCACCTGGTCCCCACCCATCGCTTATCGGAAGTAGCCAGCAGCAAGGGTATCAGCAACAACAGCACCACCAAGGTCATCCCCAGCAAATGCCCCCAATGAACAATATGGGTCATCTTCAGCTACCACCGTCATCTCATATGCCGTTGCACCCTCATCCTCATCATCCCCGGCCTATGCAAATGCCTCCTCACGGTCACATGCCACCTTCCTCAATGCCTCATCAGATGCCCGGATCAATGGTATGGCTCTCAGATCCCTTGTAATTGTCCTTTGTGGCAACCTCTATGTTTGAGTGATATTTGTGTGTTTCATACTGTTGTACTGATTATGGGGAGGTACTTTAATGACTTGACTTAATCCATTAGATTAATAAATCTTGTCACTTGTTGTTCGAGCAGGTAATGCAAGGGGGCATGAATCCTCAGATGTCGCAAAGTCATTATATGGGTGCTCCTTCGGGAGTATATCAAGGACCACCAAGCAGTGGTGGACCACAAATGTATCCCCATGCACGTGGCTTCAACCGTCCACAGATGATGCCAGGGCCAGGCTACAACAACCCTTTCCAGCAGCAGCAGCAGCCACAACCGCCTTTACCCTCGGGCCCTCCACCCAACACCAGTCAGCAGCATCAGTAGACCAACGTTGTGACAGTACATATTCTGTTTGTTAGACTTGGCCAATGCTTACAAGGAGTTGGTTTTGAGATTATTTAACTCTGTGAAATGGTTTTGTTGCTTTAGCAGAACGATTTACTGTAATGAGGTTTTTGTGGCTTCACATGTTAAAACCTCCAGTTCGTTTTCGTTAACAAGATTGATGTTTTATGTTTTCATGCAACATTCTCTTTGTTAAATTTAGTCGTTGACATTTGTAAGTGATCCCAAGAATTCAAAAAGCCTTTGGTTTCTTAGAGATAAACGATGTGCCATCTTCTGGAGTGTTGGGAAGCCTTTAGTTCTCAATTACGCTTTTTTTATTCACAAGTTAAAGCTATGATCACAAAATGAATTTTAACTTTGATAAAATATATCATCTGTTCTATTTCCCCCTGATAAGATACCACGATTAGGTCTTCAACCAAATGTATATGTATTACGAAATTAGTCAGAGAAACAAAACCATTGGAATTTGACGAAACTATTCCTGATCTGGAGATTTTGCATTGGACGACTCTTGCCGCTTTTTCACAAAAAGCCTGCTCATATCTTCTGTGGCAACATTGCTCCTGCAAATATATATATACAGTCTCACGTTATGCCATCATAAGTGTTTTTAGAAAGAAGATATTAGCATCTAATTTCGGAGCTAGTTTCTAATGAAGATGCCCGGAACGTCAACAATTCTTAACTGTCTAGAACACATATTCATGTGCAAAAATCCCATTTCAAGGCGCATTTATTCGTTCCTAAACAACTTTTGAACCATTTGTTAACAACACTCATTCATAGCCTTCTCTCCATCGTTTAGTAAGTTTGAGAAATAAAAGTGATAAGAGAGATGAAAACAAGCCGTAAAATCGACTAACCTTCCTTTGAGCTGAGGAGGCAGGAGCACATTACCCAAAGTTTCTGGGATATTCTTGGAATGAGGCATATTACCCCTTGGAAGCTTGGGACGGCGAGGAAGAGAAGAAGATTTGCCATTAAAGTCTCTTTTCCGTAACGCACTCTCGGCCATTGCAGCTGCAACAACGGAAGCATGGTCACCGCCGCCGCTCACCTGTGTCAGCATCGGTGACTCCAGAAGACTCAAAGCATCTGGTAGCTGAGGAAGTTCATCACTCTCTTCCTCCTCATTCAAACGAGGTCTCCTACACACACGAAGAATCAACTAAAACTCAACCAACCTGGACTGTAATACCCCAAACAGAACTTGAGTGAGATCGGAATCAACAAAAGGAATTCACTTTTGGAAAACAATTACTCTGCTTCAACAAACATAATCAAAAGACGAGGCATGAGAAACTAAGCTATATGAATCAAATCGTCATAGGTGTTTGAGATTGGTTCTCCAGAAACTCTACCTATACAATTAAGAGCGCTTTAATTTGCAATTATGAAACAGATTATTTCATCCACAATCCAAGATTGGAAAAAAAGCCCTAAAATCACTCACTGTGTATTTGGACGAGGAGATTGAGCTGCAGAGGGTTTTCGTTGCGGTTGCGGAAGTGATTCCTTCTGATCGGCGGCTAAGACATCGTCGTCGGATGAAGAATCGTCGTAGTCTACCAGTGACATCTCTTCTCCCACCCTTTGCGCTTTCTTCCTTCCTTAAAACGGTGTCGCTCGAGCCGTCGTGCTGGTCTCTTTCTAACAAGTAAGAACGTCTACCAAACCATTGTGTAATATATATATTATGCTGTAAAAATCATACTATATTTTATTTTTTGGGAGAGAAAACACAATATTCTATGTTGATTATCAATATCGATCCCTTTGTTTTATACTTGTCCTTGAGCAATTAATCCAATGAAATTTGATTGAAACAAACAAAAGTGTAGAAGACAAAGGAAGAAAAAAGACGAAAGAAGATTTTGATGATAGACATGTGAGTGTGACCGATGACTCTCGAACAAGAAAACATTTGGAACGTATGGAGTATAAGTATATATACAGAGTTCAAAATCCAAACCCCACACTCATCTCAAGCTGCTCTGCTTGTTCCAGCTGGGTAGAGATCGTTCCGAGTTAATGCTGAGATCGTTCAACAGAGTACTATTATTGCATGATTTCAATGGGCCTATGCTAAATCCCCTTAACCCTGGAGACCGTTGCTGCTGATACGCACTCGCCCTACTGTTACTCCCATTACTAATACCAACCCTCACTCTGCTCGGTGCCTCACTCATCACCGAAGTCGTCAAGCACAGCTTGTTCTTGTACGGCGAGTAACTCTCCGACTGTGTGTCGAAACTTCTCGGTCTTATCCTTGGTGAGCTCAAAGATCTCGACTTTGCCTTCGCTGACTCTGTTGCAACCATGTAAGTTGGTGTGGTTACGACCGCTCCCGCGGGGTTCTGTTGCTCCTCTTCGCTTATCGAAGCTTGTCTTCTATGGTTATTCGCCGGTCTTCTCGGCGATGAGTTCCTCGGAGTTCTGTTCAAAGTTTCGTCTTTAGGTCTCGTTTTCAAAGACAAGTCGAGGTCTTCGAGCTCCTTGCTCTTGGTTCGTTGTGTATCTACCCATTCGTCTAACCAGTACTTCCATTTCGTGTTGCTACGTTTCTGGTACGACTCAGCGGATTTCTGATGTTCGTTCACAAAAAAAAAACAGTTTTTCTCAGGTCATTATGAAACTTTGTAGTAAATGCAAATATATAAAATGTTCGAATCAAAAAAACAATACCCTGTGGGTGACTGCATATTCTTTTATCCTTTCTCTTCTTAGCGAAGCTTCTTTCTTGCTCATGACCACAGCTTTAGCCTCTTCTTTTGTTAAAAGACTATCGTCCCATCTCTTCTGACCGTTTGTCTCCACCTGAAAACGTAACACTTTATTTTTCTTACATATACTTATAAAAGTACTGCAACGGTTTCAAAGAGTTTAACCTTTTTATTGAATCAGATTATGTTACCTTAAGTATGTTATTATCGCTGAGCATCTGAAATTTATTGTTCTCTTCGTAATCTCTGTGAGCACCTCCGGGGATTTGTGTTCTCTTACCGCAAACCTGTGACTGAATGTTCACAACAGATTGCAAACATTTCAGTGTAGTCATTGCTTGGCGTCTCACTGCACGACCTCTGATATATGCTTGCAGCTTCACTATTCCCTTCAACGCACGTAGAGCTTTTCTTGCCTGCAATCAAGATCAGCGACTTAATCAACCAGATATGTTTCTAACTCTAAACCATTACACAACAAAAGATCTTAGACTCATCCAGAATCCTCAACCCTTTCTGCCTAATCATCATTGTAACATGTTAGCTCTCTAGCTCCAGTACTAGACTAACACTAGGCTTTCTGAATCACATAAGAGAAAGGGTACAGAATCTTACAAGATGACCCCGAAAAGCTGTCTGAATCCGAGTAGCAGCAAGAACTTCTTCTTCTCTGTTTAGATACACTTGATATTGGGATACTAGATCAGCAGTTTCTGGGGATGTTGAACCTTCTAACTTTTCTATGGAATCTAATTGTCGACTACAAGATACTTGGCTGATCTCACCCACATCTGACACGCTTTCCTCCTTTTGTTCCTCATGCGATTCGTTTCTTGTCCCGTTCTCTGGAGGTGCTGTAATGGAAGGTAGCCTCTTCTTAACCTTAAGCTTCCAAAATGTCCATCTTCTTCTCTTCTCTTTCTGCAGAAAAAAATATTACAAGAATCAAAAACAGTCACCAGCACAAGACTGAGAATTTTCTATTTTTCTTCACCTTTTCTGAGTTAGCTTCTGAAATAAAAATCCTTTTCAATATAGTGAACAAGCCTTTCTTCTTTGTCATTGTTGCACAACCATCACCTGATCTGATAATTCTCCAACTATCAGGAACCCAAATCTGAACGAGAATTGAACTAATTATTCAAACAATGAGCAAATCAAAATCAAATCACTTCAGATACATCATACTGCCTGGAAACCTTAATGCAAATCTCTCATAATCATTTTTGCTGAAAACTAAAGATTTCATGAATCATACTCCAGATCAATACTCTACAATAATTTGATTCTAGGAAAAATCAAAGCCGCAAAAATTTCCTGAAAAAACTGATAAAGATCTCCCTAGAAAACTGGATCACACAAGTACACCAAAACCGAAACAAAGTAATTAATTAAAAGAAAATAAGGCACAGTAAATTGAAGTCTGTCACCAAGATTTAAAACAAAACATATTAAAGAAACAGGAAGATTAAAAAAAAAAAAGACTTACTTGGTAGTGTCACAGGTTTCTTGAAGCGTTTTGTAAACTGGAATCAGAAGCAAGATTCAGACAGGGGGATTTGTTCAACAGCGAAGATGACTGTTCATCAAATTATGTATGTGAACAAGAGAGAAGGCTGTTGTCTTCTCCACTGTGCCGACAAGTTAACGTGCCACTTCATTTGCACTCGAAATTATTCTTTTACCCCTCCCACTCCTCCATACTCCTAATTTTTTGAAAATTGTTTATATTAAGGTTTTAAACTGCAGCTTTTTAATAGCGTAAATATGTTTGAGATCTGCATCGCTATCGATTTGTCTTTAAATGTCACTCACAAGTTCTGTAGTATAAAATATCCTCAGACAGATCTGCTTCATAAAGGTCAAGATCAGATAGTGACCATCCAAGAATAGCTACATCTTTTTTAATAAACTTTAAACATAACAAAAAGTTAGTTTCGCTATAAGTGAATGTATTAACAAAATCAAGACAATCATGTTTCTCTTAAAAACTACTAATCTTTGCCTTTTTTTGTCTTTCGACACTGCTTTATAAGTCAACATTGAAGACTTATTTGCAAGTTTATAATTAGGTATATGATAATGAAATAAAAATTGGTCAAATGACAGTGACAACGCACTGCATATTTGTTCATATGGCAAAACAACAAATTATCCAACTGTTATCGCTCTCCAGATCCTTCAGTACAAATCTTTTTCTATTTTTTTTTTTTTTGGGTTCAAACCTTTAGTTCAAAAACTACAAAGCTAATTGCATATATATTTCCTTTTTAGTATATTAACACTTAAATAAAAACTACTGATATAAAGCATTAACAAACAATAAAATAAAAAATGAATAAAGAATAGACTATCGAAAAGAAAAGAAAATACCATAACAAAATATTTAGGGTTCATCAAATGCAATATAATTTTTTGTTTTTTTCGTATATTTTTTTGGTCAATAGCTTATTTTATCCCATAAAACCCGCACATATAAGTTTAATCCCAATGTGTAATACGACAACATAATACACATTACTAAACTATAAAATCTGCTCTACATATAGAAAAATATAAGTTGTAACGATATCTCATTCTGAAAACCATAGTACATTACCAAATTCTGTTCATGAGCAAAATTAATGTTATATGTTTTTTCCACTATTTAGTATTTTACCCTAAAAACAGCATCATTGTTTTGTTCTTGTTCTTAAAAAACGGGAGCAAGTAGTAGTAAGCCCAATAAAAAAGCGTCAGCCCATTGAAGCCCAATTCACTAAGTGACTTTCCTCCTCTGACCAGTTTCTTCCCTTTGTTCGACAAAGCAGCTGATCGGCTTCTATCATTTTCTAGGGTTCCAATCTATCTGTCTGCAACAAAATGGCTTTGGCTGGTCGTATCAGATCGGGGATCTCCTTCTTCAAGAACATCTCCATTTCAGATTCCGTCTCCTCTGCTAGATCCCATCCCCGTTCAGGGTCGCTCATCCCTGCGGTAATCGTTTTTCTTACGAATCGAATCTCAAGTCCAATGTTTTATTAGGAATCGATTTTTACAAGATTAGTCGATCCAATCGTCTGATTGGCTTGATATCAAGAGATAGGGGATTTATCTTATTCTCGCGTTTTCATTTGTTATTGTCCTGAGGTTTTCCAGAGAATCGTATCAGTTAATATTTACTTTGAATTGCTTTTCGCAGGTGAGAGATTATGCAACAGCTTCGGCTCAAAAAACCGGCAATGTTAAGGTACACACCATTATATGTTTCTCAGTTTTTACTGTTTTTGGGATGATTACTCTTTTTTCTTAGCTAGTTTTTGTGCTAAGGGGGGATTGCATCCATGTTTATCAAACTATTTCATATATATGTGAGAATCGCCGCAATGTGCATGAAATGAACCGATTGAATAGCTGGATTTTGTAGTAATGTGCATTAGTATATCCCTGGAGGTGTATTGGTGTTTGTGTTCTGACATTGCGTATGTTGTTTCAGGTGCCTATTGCTTTAGTTGGTGAATCTGGCAACTTTGCTTCGTGGCTGTACATTGCAGCTGTGAAGATGAATTCCTTGGAAAAGATTGAGTCGGATCTATCTGAGTTGATGGAGGCAATGAAGACAAGCCCTACTTTTGCACAGTTCACAAAGGATCCCACTGTTCCTAAAGGAACAAGACTGGCTGCTATTGGTGATGTTTGTGACAAAGCAAAGTTTGCCGAACCCACCAAGAACTTCCTCTGTATGTAAATGATTTTTTTTTTGTGTGTGTGAAAGTGTCTTGTCTATGATTTTGGTTGACCGTGTTGTTGTTGTATTGATCAAATGTGGGTTTTGCTTTCATCTTAAACAGCCTTGTTAGCTGAGAATGGAAAGCTGAAGAACCTAGACGTGATTGTGAAGAAATTCATGCAGCTGACAACAGCACATAGGGGAGACGTCAAAGTTTTGGTTACCACAGTCATGGTAAGCTAAAGCTTTAATACTGTTGTCTCTCAAGAATCGTAACTCAAAGCATTGTAGATTTAAACGAATGTTTATGGACAAACAAACAGCCGCTTCCCCCTGCCGAGGAGAAGGAACTTAGGGAGACACTTCAAGAGATCATTGGAGAAGGGAAGAAAGTAACTGTGGAACAGAAGGTATGTAATTGTAACGTGATGGCTCTTCACATACTTGTGGTTATCAAAGTCGGAATCTAAGCGTCGTTGTCTACTGTGGCAGATTGATCCGAGTATCTATGGTGGGCTAATAGTAGAGTTTGAACAAAAGGTGTTGGACATGTCTATCAGGACAAGAGCACAGCAGATGGAGAGGCTCCTCCGTGAACCTGTTGACCTCAACAGCCTCTGAGAATTCTGAGAATCACCCCTAAAAAACATGTTTGTGATGCTGCCACCAATTGACAAATAAATATCACCCTCTCTGGGGAAACAATATAAATAGCATCTTTGTCGTTTTTGAGTTTGTCATTTGCATTTACAATTGTTGTTTTGCTTCGAAATAAGCTTTTCGAGACATATAAAATTTCATTGAGATTATTTTGTCCTAGTTTTGTGTTAAATCTGAATTAATGCGAAATTTGGTGAAGATGAGTCACCAAGTATGAAGTTGGGAGAGCCACGAAACAAAGACGAGTTCATTAAGGTGCCACGAAGCTGCATAATTATTATCAAGCGAGAACTTCGTCACTTTTTTTTTAGTATATATAGAATTGGGTTAAAAAAAAAAAAAAAAGGAGAAATAGTAAAACCAAATTGATTGACGTTTTCTCGAGCACTATTTTTTTAAAAGGACTAATCTTTTTCGTTGCATCGGCCTTCCCTAACCTTAGGATTCTGATCTCGCTTAAGCGAAACCCTAGAATCGGCCATTACCCATTGAGCTAAGATGCTGCGAGTTGCAGGGAGGAGGCTTTTCTCTGTTTCGCAGAGATCTTCGTCTGCGACCTCCTTCGTCCTTTCCCGAGATCATACCCTCTCCGATGGCGGCGACTCCTCTCCCGCCCCCAGATCTGTCCCCTCGGCGGATCTCTCATGTTTCAATTCTTACCACCGGAGCCTTATAAGAGGTGTGCCGATCTACAACCCTTTCTCTTCGCTAGATTGATTTCAGTTTTCATTTCAGGTGTTGATTGAAAGTTTTTTTTCTTAAAAATCATTTCTTTTATTCTGGTATGAGTCCCGGAATAATGGAGATTCCAGTTTGTCGTATATACGCGAACGTCCGTGGGGAGAAACTTCTTATCTGTTCTGAATTTCATGAACTAGACGGTTTAATAGACTATTTCGTTTCATTCTTTTAATCCTTGCAGCTCCTTTCTGGAATAGTTTTGCCTTCCATGATTAATTCTTTGGTTCAAAAGGAAATGGACATTTTATTTGATTAATCGGATATGAATTGACCACTTCTTAGATAATCCTTTGTTTGTTAAGAAAAGCTTCATTTTTTGTAAAATCCTTGGTGTGCATTATCCATAGCATTTACATCTGTGGACACATCATGTTACATCTGCAATGGAATCTGGAATTAACTTTGTTAACCAAAATAGCTATGTTTGCAATCTTAGGTTTGGGATTTTTGTTTGTCTTGTAAGCATTTCTGTAATCCACAGCATCTGATTGTTGAATATGTTTTCTTTATTTCTGCGTTGATTAGAGTACTTTAGTTCTTACTGAATTTGATATCATGGTAAAATTGTTTGGATGAATCTGTTACATTTCTGAAGCATTCTTTTACCTCATGGATTACGTTTTTATATACTTGTGTTTTCCTTCAGAAGCTTTTACATTTATGTCAAATCTTGATAGTGGTAGTAGTCCTCTCGTCATTGTCATTTGTTGAACATTTTGTGAATCAAATACTTATTGCTGTAGAACACTTGACCGGAAAAACTTTGCCTTGATGTGAGTATATCAATGTTTCATGCTATTTTCAGGTTTCTCTTCGCAAGTCCTTACTCAAGGAAACGAGATAGGTTTTGGTTCGGAAGTCCCAGCGACTGTCGAGGCAGTCAAAACACCTAACTCAAAGATTGTGTATGATGACCATAACCATGAGCGTTACCCACCTGGTGACCCTAGCAAGCGTGCATTCGCCTATTTTGTCTTGTCTGGTGGGAGGTTTGTGTATGCTTCCGTTCTCCGCCTTCTTGTCCTGAAACTCATCGTGAGCATGTCTGCAAGTAAAGATGTCCTTGCTCTTGCATCCCTGGAAGTTGACCTCGGGAGCATCGAACCAGGAACCACTGTTACAGTCAAGTGGCGTGGAAAGCCCGTCTTCATCAGGCGAAGAACAGAAGACGACATCAAGCTGGCCAATAGTGTGGATCTTGGATCCCTGAGGGACCCGCAAGAAGACTCGGTTAGGGTCAAGAATCCGGAATGGTTAATCGTGGTTGGAGTCTGCACTCACTTGGGATGCATCCCGTTGCCTAATGCTGGTGATTATGGCGGTTGGTTTTGCCCGTGCCATGGTTCACATTACGATATCTCCGGAAGGATCAGGAAAGGTCCGGCGCCGTACAACCTGGAAGTACCAACCTACAGCTTCTTGGAAGAGAATAAGTTACTCATTGGTTGATGACGAATAAAAAGCACAGCAGACAGTGTCTGTGTCTCAAAGATCTTCTTCATATGTTTTTTGTTTTTTATATCTTCCGTCTAATATTTTAGCGTGCAAGCTCGCTTTCCTCACACTTTGGTCTCTCAGCAAGATTTGTCTTGTTTTGCTGAATAATACAAACTTGTCATTGTATGACTTAGCATCTGTCTCATCTGTGGTGAAAAACAATGTTCATAGTCTTGTGTTTATTGTTTGAGAAGAATTTTGGATTTTGAATAGTTTCAGCTCCCAACCTGACTCTTATCCTCAAATCTTATCGGGAGTGTGAACCTTTAGATGATGCTTGTGAATACAATGATGGTAATACTATAGAGTAGAGATATACTCATGGAACAATATATCTTGTCTCAACGAAAAAGAATTTGCTAAATAATTATCGGTTTACATCTGGTAAAATCTCGCTAAAATATCCCAGCCTCCTACGGTTATATACTACTTCATAGGAAAGTACATCCAACTAATTTAATCTAATTTCTAATCATTGAAAAGGGATTAAATATATGTATCTTCTTGGTATTTACTTCTTTTTATTATAAGCCGGGTAAAATTTAATTTATCTTAGCTATACCTGGAAAAATAATTAAACCAAAATATATCGCAAAAAAAAAAAAAAAAACTCAACTAGGAAAGATCAAACTGAAAATTTTAATTTTTTTGGTCACGATGTATAAATATTAATAGTAAAACGAAATTGACCTTTTCTTTTCTGGAAGACTAAAATTAAGGGAGTATTCTTGTGTGTTGCATCGGCGTCCCTAACCTTAGGACTCTGTTCTTGCTCGAGCCAAACCCTAGTTTCGGTCATTACCCATTGAGCGAAGATGCTGCGAGTAGCAGGGAGGAGGCTTTTGTCTGTTTCGCAGAGATCTTCCACTGCGACCTCCTTCTCCCTTTCCCGAGTCCAAACCCTCTTCGATGGCGGCGACTCCTCTTCCTCCCGCAGATCCGTCGCCTCTACAGATCTGTCATCTTTCTATTCTGACCACCGGAACCTTATTAGAGGTCTGCCGATCTACAACTCTTTCTCTCTCTCTCTGGGTCGGTTTTCATTTCTGGTGTTGTTTGTAGGTTTTATTGATTGAATGATATTAAACCGAATAAAAAATCGTTTTTTAGCTTGTATGAGTCCCAGGAAATGATTGAGATTTTTAGTATTGTATCTGCGCGATGATAAACGAGGGATTGAACGTGTTATTGGTATTGATTCCCGTGAACTTGGAAGGTGTATTATAGCTTGTTTCACCATTTCCTGTCATACTTCTCCTTGCCGGAACAGTCTTACATTCTATGATTGCTTCTTTCGTCCAGAAAAAAAATGGACTTTTGTGTTAATTGATCGGATATGAATTGGCCAGTTCTGAGATAGGTCTCCTTGATTTCTAAAGTTTTAATCTTGCGTTTCCATGTACTTCTTCCTTATTGAGAAATGGATGTTTTATCTATATACTTGGTTTGGAGCACTTAAAAAGGCATACTGAGAAACTTTAGATCTGGAATTTGTATCTCGTAAACCAAAATGGCAATCTTAGCTTGGGAGTTTTGTTGTGTTGTAAACATTTCAGTAATACACAGCATCATCATTAAACAGAATTGTTGGATGAATCTCTTGTGTTCCTGCATTATTCTTATTACCTCATGGATTCCGTTTTTATGTGCTTTTGTTCTTCGTTAGAAGTCTGTACATTAACGGTCACATCTTGATAGTTGTTGTAGTATTTTCTGCTGCTTATTGTTGTACAATACTTGATCGAAAAACCGTTTGCTTTGATGTGTGAATATATTATTAATGTTTCATGCTATTTTTTTCAGGTTTCTCTTCTCAAGTCCTTACTCAGGGAAATGAGGTAGGTTTTGGTTCGGAACCGGCGACTGTCGAAGCAGTCAAAACACCCAACTCAAAGATTGTGTATGATGACCATAACCATGAGCGTTACCCACCTGGAGACCCTAGCAAGCGTGCATTCGCCTATTTTGTCTTGTCTGGTGGGAGGTTTGTTTACGCTTCCGTTCTCCGCCTTCTTGTCCTGAAACTCGTTGTGAGCATGTCCGCAAGTAAAGATGTCCTTGCTCTTGCATCCCTCGAGGTTGACCTCGGTAGCATCGAACCAGGAACCACTGTTACAGTCAAGTGGCGTGGAAAGCCCGTCTTCATCAGGCGAAGAACAGAGGACGACATCAAGCTGGCCAATAGTGTGGACCTTGGATCTCTGAGAGACCCGCAAGAAGACTCGGTGAGGGTCAAGAATCCGGAATGGTTAGTCGTGGTTGGAGTCTGCACGCACTTGGGGTGCATCCCCTTGCCTAACGCTGGTGATTACGGCGGTTGGTTTTGCCCGTGCCATGGTTCGCATTACGATATCTCTGGAAGGATTAGGAAAGGTCCTGCACCATACAACCTGGAGGTACCAACCTACAGCTTCTTGGAAGAGAACAAGTTACTCATTGGTTGATGACGAATAAAAAAAGCACAACAGACTCTTTGTTTCTCAATGAAACTTCATCTGTTTTTTTTTTTCCTTAAAAATTAATATTCCGGCATTTTAGAGCAAGATTGTCTTGTTTTTGCTGAATAATAAAAACTTGTCATATTTATTGAGCGTATTATACTTGAGCTTTGTTTTTCCATCGATGGTGAAAGACTCTGTTCATAGTCTGTCTTTATTGTGTATCATGCCCATTTTCCCTTTGTATTATGACACAGAAGCAAACAAAGAAACAGGAAATGTTAGCTTTGATTTGGGGATGTCTTAAAAATAAAGCGGTTGACCTTTTTAATGATTGAATCCGGACCATAGCACCCCTCGATTATACACACTACTCAGGTGTCCTCGTTGCATACACAAAAGGCAAAGCCCGACCCTTGCAATCTAACAACGGCCATTACACTAAGCAACCTCTCATGTTTATCATAAGACACCACTAGCGCTATGGATTATTATTGTTAATATTCTATTTACAATGCTAATAATATCAGACAAGATGTCTTCTTTCTGTTATGTCTAAAGTGTAAACTAAAATTAAACTGAATTTTGAGACGACAATTTTATTGAAATTAACTGATTTTAAAAAATTCAAACATTACACATACTGTTCCGACATGCTCAGATTTATCATCTAGTGCATATATAACAAATAGACATCAAAATTGTTATAGCTTGGCAAAATATTTTTCATGAAGATAATGTAAAATATGACATCATTAGGAGGTGGAAATGGTCAACTTTTAGCATCGTTCTCTCCATCCCCATCATCAAAATTACAAATATAGAATGATTTATTCGTCGTTTGCGTTCCGGACCTAACTCACACACCCCTTTCACCAACCCCATTTTTTCCCCTTTTCTTGTTTTTTATCTTCCGATCAAACCAAAGAAGAGATCTTTCATATTTCACCAGCTGAAAATGGCGTCCATTTCCAATCTCGCTAATCTTACACCTGCCACTTGTGTTCACTCTAGATCTTCATCTTCTTCCTCCTCCTCCTCCGTCTTACCCAGATCCTTCGTCAATCTCCGCAGTTTGAACGCCAAGCTTTCCTCTTCTCAGCTTTCACTTCGTTATAATCAACAATCCAGACCCTCTCTCTTGTAAGTATATCTATCTACCTAGCCATTTATTCTATGTATGTGTTCTGTCTCTGTATAGTCTGTTTCTCGCTGTGTGGTTTCACCTTTAATGATCTGTTTTTTTTTAGCTGGAAACGTACCTCAAATCTCATGCTGATTAATTTTTGTAGACTAATTAAATCGAATGAGAAAAGCAAGTAACTTTTTGATAGGCTGGATTGAAAAAAACAACTTTTTATGTTCCTTTGTTTTTGTATGTTAAAAATCTGATTTTGGTGATGATTGTGTGATGTTTTCATTTGCAGTGTGAGGTGTTCAGCCTCTGGTGGAAACGGAAGTGCTGCAAAGAGAACGACTCTTCACGATCTGTATGAGAAAGAAGGACAGAGTCCTTGGTATGATAATCTATGCCGTCCCGTCACTGATCTTCTCCCCTTTATTGCCCGTGGCGTTCGCGGCGTAACCAGCAACCCTGCGGTAATTTATAACCATCTCTGTGTTGCTTTTGGCTTTCCTTTACTCTGTTTCATTTGTCTTTTATTCCTTCACTGACTCTATAAAACCTTTGCAGATCTTCCAGAAAGCCATATCCACTTCAAATGCTTACAATGATCAGTTCAGGTAACTCTTTTTAACTATATGTATGCATATATCTTTGTGATGCTTTTTGGCAGTATTAGAATCATATCGTATTAGGCTTTGTTTTTGCTGTATTATGTGTAGTGTATTTTTTAGCTGATGCTTCGTTTTGATCCATCTTGATTTTTGGATCGATACGCTATTAGGACACTTGTGGAATCAGGAAAGGACATTGAAAGCGCGTACTGGGAACTCGTGGTGAAGGATATTCAGGACGCATGCAAACTTTTCGAGACAATCTATGACCAGACAGAAGGTGCGGATGGATACGTCTCTGTTGAAGTTTCACCTCAGCTTGCTGATGATACCCAAGGCACCGTTGAAGCTTCCAAATATCTTCACAAGGTTGTGAACCGTCGTAACGTCTACATTAAGATTCCTGCCACTGGTCCATGCATTCCTTCCATCAGGGATGTCATTGCAGCTGGAATAAGTGTCAACGTCACGGTATGTTTTTTTGTCATCATTCATCGAAAGAGAAAAGCAAGTAACTTCAAAGAGCGCACTGATGTTGTGTTTTTCTAAATCTAATTTCTCATCTGGTCTTATATGACATATCCTTGTTCTGTTTCAGCTTATATTCTCAATCGCCAGATATGAAGCAGTGATCGATGCGTATTTGGATGGCCTCGAGGCGTCTGGACTTGATGACCTCTCAAGAGTTACAAGTGTTGCTTCCTTCTTTGTCAGTCGAGTGGACACGCTCATGGACAAGATGCTTGAGCAAATTGGTACCCCAGAAGCCCTAGAACTCCGTGGCAAGGTAAAAGCTTGGCTCATTGCTGAGAATCTCAAACCGCCACTGCGAATCTGAGTATGAGCTTATGATAATGTTGCTCTTGCAGGCGGCTGTGGCTCAAGCTGCATTAGCATACAAGCTATACCAGAAGAAGTTCTCGGGCCCAAGATGGGAAGCTCTCGTAAAGAAAGGTGCCAAGAAGCAGAGGCTTCTGTGGGCGTCGACAAGTGTTAAGAACCCAGCTTACTCCGACACCTTATATGTCGCTCCTCTCATCGGACCCGACACTGTGAGTCATATTTTTATGTTTGTTGTCTCATGTGTTCACTGCCCAATACCAAATAGGATTTGAGATGATTGGTCAATATAGGCTGTGGATTTTGTAAACAAGTGTTTGTGTTTGTGTTTTATTGGGTGCGGTTACAGGTGTCAACCATGCCGGATCAAGCCCTGGAAGCATTCGTAGACCATGGAATCGTGAAGAGGACAATCGATGCGAATGTGTCGGAAGCGGAAGGGATATACAGTGCACTAGAGAAGCTGGGAATAGACTGGAAGAAGGTGGGAGATCAGTTGGAAGAAGAAGGAGTCGACTCGTTCAAGAAGAGTTTCGAGAGTCTGCTTGGTACACTCCAAGACAAGGCCAACACCCTCAAACTAGCCAGCCATTGAAGCAAAAAAGGCTTTTCCTCACGGTTTCACACATCATTCTGTTTTTGGTGGTATTAAAATAAATGAAGAAGCTTTGGCTTTGCTCTTCAACCCTATGCTTTCTAAAGTAGTTGTTTTGTTATATGGCTTTTGCTTCACATTATGAACTCTTTATCTTTGTTTGTTCTTGCATAATGCTTTAAAAGGAGAGTTTTTTTTTTACTTTTTCACCGTAGATGCAGTTTACACTTTCACCAAAATCAATTTGGCGAGTAAAAGTTATGTCTTTTCTCAATTAAGAAAATGTACTACTCTTTGTTTCGAGCTTTAGATTTGTTTGAATGGAATTTAATTGGATTTATATGTAATTTTAACAACATCAAATTGTGGAATTATATATTGGGAATTACACAGAGAGAGAAGCCTAGAAGTCTCTACAAACAAAAAAAAGCTGAGGCACTTAATTTTTCTCTCTCTCTTTCTTCCTCAACGTATACCAAAATTCGGTTTTCCTGCGTCACTCTAATGGCGTCGATTTCAGCCTTTGGCTACCTCCCTCCGTCTCCGCCTCAATCCACAGCGCTCACCGGAGCTTCATCCACCAACGTACGGCGCAGTACCATCTCACTGTTTCTTCATCTTCTTCTTCTTCTTCTTCATTCACTCATTTTCTCAATTTGATTCTCAGAGATGCCGGACGGCTGTGGCTGCTCGATTAGCCGACCAACCAGACGAATTCTCTACTCTTCGCTCTTCTGGTTGGTTTCTGCAATAATGATTTTTTTCCTTTCTCTGTGGATAATGTATGTATGAGCTCCGATGGTCTGTAGATTGGCTCGATAGTGAATTGAAGTATGCATATTTTGTTTTGAAAACAGGTGGGAAGTGTGGGTGTGTTGTTAATTCTGGAGAGTTTGATCGAAGAAAAGTGTTGGTGTCTTCGGTTGGTTTGTTGATTGGAGCATTGGCCTACGACGCTAAAGATGGAGGAGGAGCGGTTGCAGCAGCTTCCCAATTCGCTGACAGTAAGCATTTTCAATCTCTTTTTGACGGCAAAGGTTACATTTTTAAGTATCTCTTTTGGAAGACTATTGGCATTTGTAATTTTTGGATTGCTGTTTGATCTTACTGTGTTGTTATACTGATAAGAGTTTTGGTTGTGAGAGAGATGTTTTCTTGAGGTTGAAATGAATTTATGCGTGCAAACTTTCTTTCGTTTAGCTCTCTCTCTTCATACTGATTGATGATCCACATTCTTCTCGTTACATGCGCAGTGCCAGCGATTAGAGGGAAAGATTACGGAAAAACGAAAATGAAGTATCCAGATTATACAGAAACACCATCCGGTCTTCAGTATAAGGTCTCCCCTTATTATTCCCATATCTTACACCTTCTATAGTTTTTTCTTGTTTTAGACTGTGCGGTGATCTCTTCATCTCCTTAACTTGGAGATTTGATGTGAGTGCAGGATTTGCGAGTAGGAACAGGGCCTATACCCAAGAAGGGACAAAAAGTTGTGGTAAGGAAGTTTTTGCATATCTATCGGTTTATATCATTGGACTCGAGTTCAACTTGAGGCTTGCCATGGTTAGGGAATTTGGAGTTGGTTTATAATGTTTCAAAGACCAATTGATACAAAGATCGATCTGTGTATGTCAGGTTGACTGGGACGGTTACACAATAGGTTACTATGGCCGCATATTCGAAGCGCGCAATAAAACAAAAGGGGGTTCTTTTGAGGTATATATGAACACGTTTCGGTTCTTGTTGGTTTCGTTAGCAACAATGATTCAGTCCTTAATCTGTCTGCCTTTTTTTGTGAATCTGTAGGGGGATGAAAAGGAATTTTTTAAATTCACCTTGGGATCCAATGAGGTGGGTGCAATTCTAACTTCTTCTAGTTGCTATTTGGTTTCACCGGTTTAAAGCATGCATGCACTCTGTTGCTTTTTGGATGCTGAGTGGCTTTGGTGTTCCAGGTGATACCTGCTTTTGAGGAGGCTGTCTCTGGGATGGCTCTTGGCGGTGTCAGAAGGTTCCACATCTTTTTATAATATCTCTCACTCTACACTTACCTCACTGGGTCTTGGTTCTCTACAAGAAGAGATATCAGTCTCACACAAATTGATTTATGGTAGAATGAATCAGTGTGATTAATTAGCTCGGTTTTGCAGGTTGGTCGTACCGCCAGAACTAGGATACCCGGAAAATGACTACAACAAGAGTGCGCCAAGGCCGACAACTTTCTCTGTGAGCCTGCTGTTAGTTTTATACTTTTATGTATGCAATGTATGAAAAAGACGTAATTTTTGATGTTCTATTTGGTTGTTGCGCGCAGGGACAACGTGCATTAGATTTTGTGCTGAGGAACCAAGGGCTCATAGACAAGACCCTTCTCTTTGATGTTGAACTACTCAAAATTGTACCCAATTGATATGTTATAGTATCATATAACAATGACAATCTTCTACACTCACCGTGTATATTCATATTTATGATGTGTATATACTTAACGGCGCAACTGTGTACATTGAACTCACTTTATATGTGATTATTACATCACTGGTCCTTGCAAGCTTTAAGTACTCGTACCCACGTGGTAGCATTCTCTTGGAACAGCTCGCGTGACCCAGTGATATTGTATTGGAACAAAAAACTCTGCCGTTTCTTTATACTATTATTCAAATAAAACGCTTATACAAATTTTAATTCATGTTTGTTTTATTGTTTTTAAAGCTGTCTTTATATATGAAAAACAAGATGATTTTGGTTCTGCTTCGAATAAGAAAATAGTTTAAACTTTTTATTCTAGGCTTTGGATAATATCCCTTAAGTGTGAGATTGATTAATTAAATATGAACACAAACCAATGTTAGCTTCTGTTGTTTGACTTTATTGTATAGCCAATGTCTGTTCGACGTCAGAGTCATCATTAATGATAAATGGAGACTGAATAAAAAAAAACAAAACGAGATGCAGTGAAGAAGCATTGTACAAGCCGTTGAATGAAATTTATGTCTTCCAAGTACCGAACCGAACAGTGGTTTCAATTTGACATCTATATATGTATATATCAAGAAACATGATACCTCTCTTGAACGTTTAAACAATGGACAATATGGGGACTCCACGTGCAATTAATGCAAGTCTTTGTCTACTCTTCTGTTACTACTTACCAGCTAGCTCCGACTATTTAATTCCATCTTTCAATTTTTGGCTACTGCATTTATACATTTCTCTAACCAATCCTCAAACATCAACTTCTTGCTACAGATTTTGTTTGGTTGGATCAATTTATTCCCTTTTTTTATCCCTCCTCCACTCTGTTTAAGCTCTCTTGCGTTTATATCGTCACTGTTAAGAAAAAGATTCCAATATCTCAATGGTTTTATGAGAAAAAAAGATCGAGTATGGGTGTTTCGGAGATTAAATCCCCAGGGAGTGTTCCAGAAACGCCGGGAGGTTGTTCGAGCTCATCAATGCATAGGAAGCAGCTGAGTGTCTTCTTCATAGAATCAGATAACAGACGCCTTGCTCTTGGCCGTGGCTATACCGGAGGAACAACTCCGGTTAACATCCGTGGCAAACCCATTGCCAATCTTTCTAAAACCGGTGGTTGGATCGCAGCTCTCTTCATTTTTGGTAACTTTTTTTTATCTGTTTTATTCTTACAGTGAATAGGAATACAGATACTTCAGCTTCCAGCTTACTTTGTTGGAATGGTTGCAATCTTCTTAGGAAATGAAATGGCAGAGAGGATGGCGTATTTCGGACTGTCGGTGAACATGGTGGCGTTCATGTTTTACGTGATGCATAGGCCTTTCGAGAGTTCTTCAAACGCAGTCAACAACTTCCTCGGCATCTCTCAGGCCTCCTCTGTTCTTGGAGGGTTCTTAGCCGATGCATACTTGGGTCGATACTGGACCATTGCTATCTTCACTACCATGTATCTTGTGGTAAGTATGAGAGAGATGTTCAGTCCAGATTCTTCCTTATTTTGGCGTCTTTTGTTCTATGATCAATGGTTGATATGAGCCTCAAGCAATGTGAAGGTCACGTGCAAATCTTTTACGTTACATATATTTGATGTGTAAACGTTTCAAAAACATAAATGACGATCCTAATGATAATGGATCTTTTAATCTAATCATGGTTTTAATTCTATCGTGTGAGAAGGGGTTGTTAGGAATAACACTGGGGGCAAGTTTGAAGATGTTCCTACCAGACCAGAGCAACTGTGATCAGATATCATTGCTCTTAGGAAATTGCCAACCAGCCAAATCTTGGCAAATGCTATACCTCTACACGGTTCTCTACATAACCGGATTCGGAGCTGCCGGTATAAGGCCATGTGTTTCCTCATTTGGTGCGGACCAGTTTGATGAGAAGAGCAAAGACTACAAGACACATTTGGACCGTTTCTTCAACTTCTTCTATCTATCAGTCACTCTAGGCGCAATCATTGCCTTCACTCTGGTGGTTTATGTTCAGATGGAACATGGTTGGGGTATGGCCTTTGGCACATTGGCCATTGCTATGGCCATTTCTAACGCTTTGTTCTTCGCTGGCACACCGCTTTATCGCCATAGGTTGCCTGGTGGTAGTCCCTTGACAAGGGTCGCTCAGGTCCTAGTCGCTGCTTTCAGAAAACGAAATGTAGCTTTCACAAGCGGCGAGTTCATCGGTCTGTACGAGGTTCCGGGCTTGAAGTCTGCTATTAGTGGCAGTCGTAAAATCCCTCATACCGATGACTTCATGTAAGCCTTTATTGATCTCTGATCGGTTTATGATCCCATAAGGTCTCGCATCATTGACGGTTTTGTGTGTGTGTGTGTGTGTGTGGTGCAGATGGCTAGACAAGGCGGCGCTTCAGCTGAAAGAAGATGGATTGGAGCCATCTCCATGGAAGCTATGCACAGTAACACAAGTGGAGGAAGTGAAGATTCTGATTAGGCTGATTCCAATCCCAGCATGCACTATAATGCTGAGCCTGGTCCTCACAGAGTATCTTACGCTCTCTGTGCAACAAGCTTATACATTGAATACACACATTCAACACCTCAAGCTACCAGTGACATGCATGCCTGTCTTCCCAGGACTCAGCATTTTCCTCATTCTCTCCCTTTATTACTCTGTCTTCGTCCCTATCACCAGAAGAATCACTGGCAATCCCCATGGCGCTTCCCAGCTTCAAAGGGTATTACCTACTCAGTACTCAACTTTTCCACTATGTTCCCATCTTCTTGGCTTTAAACTCTGATCTCCATTTCATCATCACTTATATAAATTGGATTTTGTACAGGTGGGCATAGGGCTAGCAGTTTCGATCATATCAGTAGCTTGGGCTGGACTTTTCGAGAACTACAGGAGGCATTACGCGATACAACATGGTTTCGAGTTCAACTTCTTGAGCCAAATGCCTGATCTAACAGCATACTGGCTATTAATCCAGTACTGTCTCATCGGAATCGCAGAGGTTTTCTGCATCGTAGGGCTACTGGAGTTCCTTTACGAGGAAGCACCTGATGCCATGAAGAGTATTGGCTCGGCTTACGCTGCTCTAGCCGGCGGGTTAGGCTGTTTTGCTGCTACCATTTTGAACAACATCGTCAAGGCTGCGACTAAGAACTCAGACGGGAACTCGTGGTTGTCGCAGAACATAAACACTGGGAGATTCGACTGTTTGTACTGGCTGCTCACGCTTTTGAGCCTTTTAAATTTCTGCGTTTTCCTTTGGTCAGCTCATAGGTACAAGTACAGGGCTGTTGAAACTGAGGAAGACAAGAGCAGTAGAGTATCTCTCTAAAGACACCATTTGTGTGTTATGTTCTGTTCTGTTCTGTCCTGTCTATCTACTATTCTTTTTGGTGGACAACAACCAGTAATTGTAATTGTATCTTCCTATTTTGTTTTCCAATTGTTATTATATTATTGCTTAAAAGTGGACAATCTGGTTTAAGGATTTGTTTGTTTGTAAGAAGACCATAAAGTCACTCCTGTAAACGTATCTTTGCAATTTCCAACGCATCAACTGATAAACAAAGGCCAAACAAAAAAAAAAGTCAACAAAAAAAGCTGGGAAAATGAAAACATTTGTTTCACAAATTCTGTTACACAACAAAAAAGGGCCCAAGACATACTAAATCCTATGACATGTCTAAATATATCTCAGCCCTTTCATATATTGCTGCCTAGACATCACATACTGAGCCGCAGAGTAAACAATCCCTAAAACCCCCAGAATCCGGACCTGAAACACGTCGGTTATTACCACGGCTGCAAAGCTTAGTGGCACGGTCAGCATCGGCGACGCGTCTGAGTGTTTCGTGGTGTAACTCCACACGAACCTGTTGAATATAATGTGACCTGGTGCTGTGAGTATCAGGAGAGCCAGGTTCTTCACTGCGAAGAACCATTCACGCCCTCCAATCTCTACTCCCCAACCTGTGTTTCCACCGAACCAAACTTCTTCCCACACACTGTATAGAGTGGATAACGCCAAGTACGTTGATACGGCTAGTGTAACCGGGAAGTATCTCTGTTTGTCGCCGAATCCGGATAAGAGATCAGAGTCTTGGTTCAGGAGAAGTAAGATAGGAGCCAGGAAGAAGATCGCTTGGCTTGACCCGCCTGAGATGTGGATGTTGAGGATTAAGCATATGGCAAAGCACATGACGGTGGCGACATTTCCAACCGCTGGCATCCAGGCCGCTCCATCTTCTGACATTTTCTCTATTGCAAAGCTATGGATCGAGGTGGCTCGGCGTTGCTGCATCAACCTCATTCGTGTCGGGAACATCCCCCTGGCGCCGCCTTGGGTTTTTGACTGACCACTCCTCTCAGAGACTTTCTCACGCAAAAGCGAAGTGAGCTCGAACTTAATCAGGAGAGCTATAAGCATAAATATCGCTGCGTAGAGACCTAGAATAGATGTTCTTGCACCTTCAATGGCCAGCATGGTTGTGACTTTCTTATCCTCCTCCCTTGTGTCCCAACCCCAGGCAACATTATCGCTGAGATCGTTTTTGATCCTGACCTGCCCTTCTAACAGATACGTCACAGGAAACAGAGCCACGAGAAGAGCAAACACCCAGGGAAGCAGCTTTGTGCTTGAGGCAGATGGAAAATGGGTGAATATGACGAAAACTGAGGCACACACCATCGCTGTGATGATCAGGGCGTGTAGAACAGCAGCTTGTAGAAAGAACTCTGCAGATATGTAAACACCGAGAGCTAAACCCATGGCAACGGAGTAAAATGCTCTCAGTTCTACGACGTATTTGATTGGGATAAGAGAGGTGGCAGCAGCAAGAATCAACAGGAGTGCCACAATTAGCAACCAAGACGGCCAAGTCGGTTTGGATGCCATGAATCCGTAGATGGAGATATCATCAGCTGACTGACGAGCGGCCTTGATCATTTCTGAATGGTAACTCCATGTCATAGGCATCGGTGGCTGCATCAGAATAAACATGCATCCAGTTGCCACTACCAATACCAAGCCTCTCTTAGCTGACTGCAAAAATGAGAAAGTTCTCCTGGTCAGTAAACAGGAACAACTGAAACATCTCATTTTAGTATTTAAACTCTTTAAGATCTAGACCTTAGTTCAAGCACGACTACAACTAGATACATTCAATCTACACTATGGAGTTTAAGTGGAGGATTATAAGACGAATGCTTTCACGAATACAGAAAATATTCTTTTTGTCATGCTTTCATTTAACTCCATGATGTAACCTCTGATAGTAATCGACAAACTCACTCATAACATGTTAAATGAATGACCTCAGAGAACTCTTTCCTAAGTAGCAACAATAAATGGCTTAACCCATAAATGGAAGATCAGAACCTTTTTTAGATAATCAGACAGAAATACATCAAACGAAACATAAGCAAAAGGTATGACTGACATACCAGGACATGGGAAAAGTGGAGGGCAACAATTGGTATACAGGCCAGACCAATTAAAACAATGCAGAAACCAAGAAGCAAGCCATCAGATGGAGGTCTTCCATTCCACCACTGTAGAGCATCAAATATTGTTTCCCGGCAAAACCAAACAGATACAGCAACCACTGCGGCATGAGCATAACCTTGCCATGGTTTCATTTTAGAGGCAGATTTCGACTTCTCCCTGCACGTTCCACCAATGGAGCAAGATAGTCAATTAAAATTTCAAGATGAGACGTTGCTAGTAAAAGTTAAAATGAATAGAACGTACTTGTATAACAGTAAGGGAGGGGAAACAGCCAGCAATAGAGCTGCAGACACCCATACAATTGATTTTGATGATAGGAAGAGCATAGCCAACTTTGCTGAATACAGACAAGTCAAGATCCAAACTGCCTTTTGTCCAACTCGGTGATCAGCAAATAATCTTCTCACTACACCCAATCCTACTAGCGTCGTCAAGATAACCATGTAGCTAGGGTACATCACATCGTCTTCCATTCCATAATAGTATATGCTTGAGTAATTGAAAAAGCGATCCTCAATGTAACACAGCAACAATGCGTGGGCCACCATGCCAGCTTCAGTCAAGAAGTGAAATTTTGATGGGAGAAGAACAAGACCAGGGATGGCCATGGCTATGATGATGTTAGCCACTATAAGCTTACAGAATGATTTGAGGAACATGCCGGCTAACCATATGTTTAAATCCCAGTAATTATGCATTACAAACCATATAACCATTAAGCTTCCAAGAGCAACAAATGCAAAGTAAGAGGCCACGCTTTTCTTTGTAAAAAACCGAGCAAAATAAAGCCCAGCGACTGCAGGAAGCGGAGTAAACTGCAAGATAAACAGAGAATGTGAGATTCTGTAGAGGTAATAATAAATCAAAAACAAGACATAACATATGAGGCAACTAAAAGAATCCAATGTGTCAACTTTCAGAAAGAAAACCTTCATAGATGTTTAAATCTTTTACTTGAAAGCAGTAAACAGTAAAGCAACTACAGCCTTTAAAGCTTATACGGCCGATACAGTCACAAATACAAGAAAAAACAACAACTTCTCCATTCCTACGACCACCTATTATATAACATACGACGGTTAGAGCGAGCAATATGCTAGCCAAAAGAAATGAGATCCATGGGATACCTACTCCTCTAGTGCAACGGAACTAGTTATAAATTACAGAAGAAGTAGGAGCTGTACAATTGGAAGTAAAATACTTACCAGAAGCGGAAATCCTACAACGATAGCTCCTGCAGAACTCACAATCACAGCCAAAGCTGTGAAAAAGGCTGAGCTAAGAGCACCCGAGATCATTCCAAGAACAGAAGCACCAGCGCCAGCAGCACCGCCAAGCAATGTTGTCGTAACCAGAAGGTAGTTCAATGGTGGGGGCACTTGAATGTACTTCCCAAAAGAACGGAAAACAACTCTAATCTCCAAACAGATGACAACTATGACCATGGCAATGGCCCCATTTACGATCCGAATGCTCTGGAGCTGATGGTCATCCTTGGTAACCCACCATAGACCACCTCTTGTCGAGGCGTAGAGCTGGAACAGGAAAGGGATAAAGAACAGAAGCAGCAAATCGCAAATTGAAGCAGCTGATGTGAATATCACAGAGTAATGTGAAGCCACGTGAAAGAGAAGCGGCATAAACATCAAATTCAGTGAAAGGAAACAGCTCTCGAGCGGTCCAAGGATAAAGCTATCATCAGGAATCTCTCCTCCATGATACTTAGCTTCCTGCTTGGTCTTGAACGAAGAAACCCGAGGAATACCGAAAACCCAGTAGAAAACGCAGGCGAACGCGAGGAAATAGTAAGACGAGTTGTTCATCCCGACGGCGGAAATGGTAGCCCATGCGAACAACGAAGAGGCAGTGAAGGGGATGCAGGCGAACAAGAGACGCTCGAGAGCGACAACAATGGAAGGATTTTCCAGCTGAAGCCACTTGAACTGGAGGGAAGTCCAGCATCCGATGAGGAAAGTGGTCTCGGCGCAGAGAAAAGCCGCGAGCAACCCGAGAGGGACGGAATTGAAGGAGGAAAGGAGAGAAGAGGAGAAGAAGAAGGAGATCTGAGCGGCGATCAGCGACATCCATACTCCCAGGAAGGCTCCGAATTTAACGTTGAGAGAGTCGACGATGTAGGAAATGAGGAGGCCGATGGTGAGAGTAGCGACAACCGGAGCGCCGCCGAGGTCGAGGAGGAAGGCGGCACAGGGGACAAGAGCAAGAGCGATCCGTCCGTTGTAGGCGAAGGAAGAGGGAGAAAATCGAGAGTTGTTGGATCTCGAAGTAGCACTAGTTCGATCGATAAAGTTCCTGGTTGAGCCAGGGCTCATGTGAGGAGAGTAATTGGGAGAAGACAAAGTTGGTTCACTGGAGGAAGAAGCTATATGCGGCCGGAACAGCCGCGGCTGCAGCTCCGGTGGCATCATCGTCGCCGGAATTTTCCTTCGAATACAGATTGAAGGCGAAAATCTCCGTTTACTGAAGAGGAAATCCGTGTGTAGATTTCGCGGAAACGGTGACGTGTCCGTAAGAGCAGCAGCCCTTGGATCTTACAAGTGGGGCCCTCCAATCCTCTACCTTTCGTAGGTCCGCACCCACAGAATAGTGTCTCAAGCGCGAGAACGCTGTCGTTTCGTCAAGTACGTAGACAAGTCAAAACTCCGTCTCACTCGCTTATTTTCGTGTCTAATCATATTATGAATCTCGTGTTAGATTGTCAATAACAACATAAAAATCCGATTTATAATAGAAAATGACTCGAAGATAGTGATGGAATTATATTCGATTACAAATTTGTTTATGTGGTTTTTGCCTGATCTTTAATTATTGTATATCCCCTCTCTCGCTCAAGCCTCACACATTAAGTAACGGCGAGTTTATCGGCTGGAATGAAGCTCATGTAGCTCCCAAGACGGAGTTTTCCGGCTAACAAACCTGGAAACAACCGTCGCCTCCAACATCTTCAAGGCTTCTTCATTCATCACGGACCTCGGCGTCTTGTACTGACTCAGGGAAGAGCCTCGAGACACGAAGAAGTTCATGAGCTGGTCGAAAGCGCCACGCCTAACAACCTTAATCTCAAGTGGTCCAATGTTCTTATCATTCTTTCGTCCTTTTCTGTAAACAGAGTCCAGAGACTCCTCAACAGTGAAGCAGCATTCCTCCATAACCTCCGGGTCGGGCTCGAGCTTCGCGTCCTTGACTTTGCTCCCGAGTTCCCAGTAGAGCACGTAGTGTCCTGGAAACGAGGAGGAATCCACGCGGCTAGTGAAGTCGATGAGCATCAGGTCATGTGGCTCGAGGAGGAGCTTCGCGTTCGTCACTGCCTTGAGGAGATCTTCTTCGTAGGTCTTGTCCATGTCGATGCTCAGTACAACTTTTTGTCTCCCCACGAAACGAAACTGTGGCGCGTTGTTGTAGAAACCAGTCACTCGTAAAACATCCCCCACACGGTACCTATACAAACCTGTATAAGTCATATACAGTTAAAATATTATCGGCTTTTAAACAGAGTCTTTTGCAATAGAATCTTTAAAAACGACATTTATTTTGAAAAGGAGACTTACCAGAAAACGTTGTGACAACAGGTTCATAGTCATGGCCAATTTTAACATCGACAAGATCGACGACCACAGGATTCTCTGTGGGATCATGACCAGCTTCTTGATGGTCTTTCTCGACCTCTAAGAACTCGAAGTATGCCATATTTGGCATGATGGTGTACGACACATCACTAGGCTTGCTCAGAGGATTGACATTGATGCCGATGAAACATTCAGAGCTGCCGTAAAATGAAGAAATCAAAGGAAGACCGCCGCCGTAGAATTCTAGCATTGGTACATACTGTGCCATGGAGCCGGTAACGATTGATTCGATGCATTTTGCATTTGGCCATATTCTCCTCACTATTGCCTCCCATGACGTTTTACTGCATTCTTGCTCGATTAGGCTCGCTAGTTCTGGATTTGGAGCTGTGAGGTACTTACCGATCCCTGAAACACATTGATCGTCTGTGATCCAGTCACTGACACGGCCAGTCCTTATGTTGGAGCATAACTCAGTCCAGTGATCTTCCAAGAACTTGATTACTTTGAGGAAGGAAGACGCAAAAGGTGCACCAACGCGAGTTACATTCTCTCGTTGTAGAAGCCCACAAAGCAACTGGCAGTACATGCTCTGAGTAGTGTCTGCACAAGTTGAAATCCCATGCGGGCTTATCTGTGTTCGATCCCTGTAAATCAGATAACAAACACATTTAAAGAGTGACATATGATGTTAATGTGGGAGCAAAAGAGTTTGATTGATGTACCAGAGAAATGAGTTAGTTGGGTTCACGCTTTTCAAAACACAAGTTATCATAGTCCTGACCATCAACCCAGAGGCAGTCTCGCCTTCTCGGCTCACGAAATAAAACAAGAGAGATTTTCCTTCGCTAAGCCCTTCGATGTGTCTGCAAACAGTAACAGCAATGGACATTGTGTTTAACTTATTGTTTATTTTTTTGGTATCAACGAAACAGACAAAACTTGGAGTTTGGAACTCTTTACTTGGAGAGTAGAGGCATATAAAGAGATGAAAACAATAGCCTCTGTTCCAATTCCTCTCTTGTCAAAGGAATCAACTTTGGAACTCCTCCTGATGTACCTGAGCTGCAAGAAATCAATCGGTTCCTTAACTCTTTACATACTTTAATACTTCAAGCTATTGTAGATTATTAAAGATTTAACAAACCCATGTTTCTACAGGTTCTGTAACAAACTGGGTTATGTAAGGCTAGTCTCTTCTGAAATTTTTGTCAACAATTGATTCGAAACTTGCACTTGACTATATAATACCAAAAGCTTTTTGAAATTGTTTTAGCTGTCACAACTTCACATCGCATGTTTCAAAATAAGAAGAACTTTCACATAGCAGAAATACTTTTGCTCTGGAACTGCAGAGATTTTGAGATTCAAAAAAGGTACCTGACCAAGAGAACAATAATGGGTCGATCACAGATGAGATCAAAGGGCTCTCCATTAGCGATACGATCAACATAAGGGCGATAGTCTTCGTAGGTCACAACGGGTAGGTTCTTCTTGAAGCTTTGCTTATCGAGTTGATCCTTGAGGAAGCCTTTAAGATACTCGGTTTGAGAATTACGTGAAAGTATAGCTTCCAACACGGAATCTTGAATCTGCTTTACGTTGGTGGTCGCATCCTCAAGAAGAGACATACAGTCTTTTGGGTTTGTTGGGTCGAACTTTGGCAACATGCTTGCTTGTCTGCAGCAAAGCGAAACACTAATTCTCTCGCTCAGAGGATAAAAGTTAAGTCTTATCACTTGTGGATCACGAAATTGCTTACAAAATTACCTCTGTTCTAGCGAAGTGAATGAGATCTGGCCTCTCTCTCTCTCTCTCTGACAAGACAGAAGGTGTGGCGTGGAGAAATGTAGGCGTGCGGAAAATCTTTGGATGAGTTTCCCGATTGATAACAGAGTTGTTTCATTTACCTTTACGGATTTAAACAACAGATGAGAACGAGAAACCTAGTTATCTACAATGAGCACTACGAGGAGATAAGATGTATCGATTTTGAGTGAAATTAGTGACGTATTGAAAGTACTTTTTGCCCTCGACTGTAACTTTTAATCCCTTTCCCAAACACAGACAAGTTATACGACCGGTCAGAATTCAGAAATCTTGTGGTACAGGGGTTTTAGATTTTGTATATAGTATACAAATTGTGATCCAATTTCTAGATTTCATTTTATTTTCACCAATTAAGATCAGATTAAGCCAGATATTTTGTTATGAGTGTAATTTAAAATTTGGTCCGTCGGCAAATATTTGTTAAGCTTTAAATTAATATAAACTTTCCGTTATATTTTTGTCATTTACTAATATACGCCATATGATTGGAGCAGGCTTTGCTAAACTCCACCATATAATTGGCGGAATAAATTTAAAGGAAATGGCTTCGCATGAGATGGGTAAAAATTACAGAGCCCAACCCAGTATATTTCACATAACCATAACGCTTAAATTGGAAAAGCCCATAATAAGCCCATAATCGAACCATGAATCAAGTAATCAATCTAACCAAGTTTACAGTAGAAGAAGCTGGTCTAGTTCAGCACATCCTTTATAAGAGCAGGTCTCCCATCTGTATAGGAACAGAAAATATTTATTGAACTTACTCGAATATTTTTATGGACTTGTATATTAATTCGATTATGTAATTTTGTCATATATTATTTATTACGGGTTTTTGTTTATCTATAATTATTCTTTCCGCTCATCTCTACCTCAAGTCTCACACATTATGTGACTACGGTTTCATCGGCCAGAGTGCATCTCACGTGGCTCCCACGACGGAGATTTCTGGCTAAGAAACTTGGAAACAACCGTCGCCTCCAACATCTTCAAGGCTTCTTCATTCATCACGGACCTCGGCGTCTTGTACTGACTCAGGGAAGAGCCTCGAGACAAGAAGAAGTTCATGAGCTGGTCGAAAGCGCCACGCCTAACAACCTTAATCTCAAGTGGACCAATGTTCTTATCATACTTTCGTAATTTTCTGTACACAGAGTCTAGAGACTCCTCGACGGTGAAGCAGCATTCCTCCATAACTTCCGGGTCAGGCTCGAGCTTACCGTCCTTGAACTTTCTCCCGAGTTCCCAATAGAGCACGTAGTGTCCTGGGGACGTGGAGGTATCCACGCGGCTAGTGAAATCCATGAGCATCAGGTCATGTGGCTCGAGCAACAGGGTCGCGTTTGTCACTGCCTTGAGGAGGTCTTCTTCGTAGGTCTTGTCCACGTCGATGCTCAGAACAACTTTCTGTCTTCCCACGAAATAAAACTGTGGCGCATTGTTGTAGAAACCAGTCACTCGTAAAACATCCCCCAAACGGTACCTATACAAACCTGTAAATCATACATAGAATCTGTGACACATGTAAAATTGTCTATTACATAACATATGCATCTTTTATTGTTTTCACAAACAAGTCCCTGCAATGTTGTAGTACTACTACTAGTAGTAATTCAAGAGGGTAAATTTGGAATTTTCTGAAATAAAAGTGTCAAAATAAAAAAGACTTACCAGAAAAAGTTGTGATAATGAGTTCATAATCATGACCGATTTTTACATCGACAAGATCGACGACCGCAGGGTTCTTTGCTATATCACGACCAGCTTCTACATGGTTTTTCTCGACCTCTAAGAACTCGAAGTAGCCCATATTTGGAATGATGGTGTAGGAAACATCACAAGGCTTGCTCATAGGATTGACATTGATACCGATGAAACACTCTGAGCTACCGTAAGACGATGAAACCAAAGGAAGACCTCCGCCATAGAACTCCAGCAACGGTATGTACTGCGCCATGGAACCGGTAATAACGGCTTCAATGCATTTTGCATTTGGCCATATTCTCCTCACTATTGCCTCCCATGATGTTTTACTGCATTCTTGCTCTATCAGGCTCGCTAGTTCTGGATTTGGAGCGCTGAGGAACTTACTGACCCCTGAAACACATTGATCCTCTGTGATCCAGTCACTGACACGACCAGTCCTTATGTTGGAGCACAGCTCACTCCAGTGATCTTCCAAGAAATTGATTACTTTGAGGAAAGAAGAAGCAAAAGGTGCACCGACTCGAGCTACGTGTTCTCGTTGTAGAAGCCCACAAAGCAGTTGGCAGTACATCCCCTGAGCTGTGTCTTCACAAGTTGAAATCGCATGCGGGCTTATCTGTACTCGATCCCTGTAGATCATCATATGATATATATATTACAATGAAGAAAGGGTCTGCTAAAAAGAATGAATGTAACGTGTGAGCAAAGGTTTTGATTGATTATTATTACCAGAGGAACGAGTTTGTTGGGTTCACGCTTTTCAAAACACAAGTGAACATAAACCTCACCGTCATCCCAGAGACAGTCTCGCTTTCTCGGGTCACGAAATAAAACATTAGAGATTTTCCTTGGGTTAGTCCTTCGATGTGCCTGAAAACATTTAAAAACAAAGGGTTTTGGTCGTATTTATTCTTCTTTTTTGTTGGTATATAACAAAACAGGACACGTCATAGAGTTTGTAACTCATTACTTGAAAACTAGAGGTGCATAGAGAGATGCAAACATTATCCTCTGTTCCATGTCCTCTGCTGTCAAAGGAATCAACTTTGGAACTCCCCCTGAAGTACCTGTGCTGCAAAAACCAAATTATTTAGAAGAGATTCCCTTAACAGACAGAGTTTAGCTGAGATGTTTTGAGATTCAAGGCAAGGTGTATTGTTTTGATCAAGTACCTGGCCAAGAAAAGACTGATGGGTCGAGCGCAGATGAGACTAAAGGGCTCTCCATTAGCGATGCGATCGATATAAGACCGGTAGTCTTCGTAGGTCACAATGGGTAGGTTCTTCTTGAAGCTTTGCTTATCGAGCTGACCGTTGAGGAAACCACTAATGTACTCGGTTTGAGCATTACTTGAAAGTATTGCTTCCAACACGGAATCTTGAATCTGCTTTACGTTGGTTGTCACATCCTCAAGAAGAGAAAGGCAAGCCTTTGGGTTTGTTGGATCGAACTTTGGCAACATGCTTTGCTGCTTTTTGACTCTCTCAAACAGCAATACCAGAAAAACAAAAACCTCTAACTCTTTCGCTTATAGGTTATAAGCAAAGTCTTATCACTTGAAGTTGCTTCAAAAAGAGTGAAGAGCAAGAAACTATGTTCTGGCGAAGTGGATTAGACCTGTCCCCTATGTTTCTCTCTCTCTTATACGCTTGAAAGCTTTGGAGAAAGCAGATTAAAAGGTGTGGTATGGTGAAATGTTCGTGTGCCGGAAATTCTGAATGAGTTGTGAGTCTCTGTGACCATTTATAATTCAAAATCCGTATTTTATTTCATTGTTATCCTCTAAAAACGGTTCGAAAGCGTAGAATTCATTGTCCTGAAAACTGTCTTTTTAAAAGGAAACCAAATGTTGACAAAAAGGTGTAAATTGAACCGCTAACAAGTCGGTCCAAATTGATGTACCGGTTGGTCTGTCCGAATGGCCCAAAAAAACATTGAACCGATAAAATGTCACAAAAGCTGTGTGGGATCCCCCGTTGACAATCAATTCCGGGTGGGAATGGCTCGTAACGACTCGCGATCTAGGTCGCCGTCTCACCGCCGTCGATACTCTCGCTCGCCTCTCACTCACCGTAGCAGCCGTCGTACCAGGCGCGACCGCAGCCGCGAACCCTATTCATCAAGGTCTGCACCAATCTTTCTTCCTTAAACAACTTTTCAATATGTGGAGAAAGCGATTCTTGAATCTTCTGGTCATGTGGGGGATTTGGGTTTAGGGCTTTACATACTTTAGCGGAGTTTATTTTGTTAGATTTTCGCTCTATTTTATCAATTGTTTCAGGTAGCAAGAAATCGCTACGGAACATATTCTAGAAATTGCCTAACTTTTTTCTTTGTAAACGACATTCGATAGCCATAAATGTTCGATTTCTAGCTTAGCTGCTAATGTAGAAGAAGCTGTTCTAGCAGTTCAACACATCTTCATAAGTGCAAAGTTTCCATTTTTAACAGGCACAGGAAGAGTAGATCTCCTTCACCGAGGCAACACCGAAGGGGTAGAAGTAGCTCGTTGTCTCCTTCCTCCACCGAGCATAAAACTGCGATTGAAGCGAAGAAAGAACATGAAGAGAAGGCAAGGTAATTGGTTTAAATGCTGTTTTGTCTTTCAGATTCTTGTATACTTTCTCAGTTTTGTGTTTCATAGGCAACATAGCATTTTGTTTCCGTGGGAGTAGTTTTCCAGATTAGGGTCTTTTGCACCCAAAACTGCAAATTGTTTAGCGTTGGAGACAGTGAACGGAAGATAATTTATCACGCGTTTGCAAATATTCTGACCTAGAAAAGTTTCTAGTGGCCAGGCTAAGTGTTTTCAGTCTTATCTTTTAACTCTGTTTTCCTACTAAATTAAGATTGCAGCATGAGGCTGAGCTCAAACGACTAGAAGAAGAGACAGCACGGCGGATTGAAGAAGCAGTGAGGAAGAACGTGGAGGAGAGATTGAAAACCGAAGAAGTTAAAGCAGAAGTAGAAAGGCGAACAAAGGAGGCCTATGAAAAGATGTTTCTTGATGTGGAAGTACAGCTGAAGAAAGAAAAGGAGTCTGCTTTAAACGAGGCAAGAAGAAAGGAAGTAAGTCTCGTTTGTTTGTTTGATATTTGCTGCTCTATTTGTTTGGCGTTTCTGGTTTTTGGGATACTTGCTAAAAGTAAAAAAAAAAATGGGAAATTTAATGAAGGAACAAGCTCAGAGAGAAAGAGAAGAGCTGGATAAGATGTTGGAAGAAAATAGTAGGAGGGTTGAAGAATCACAGAGGAGAGAAGCAATGGAGCTTCAACGTAAAGAAGAGGAAAGGTATAGAGAATTGGAGCTGATACAGAGACAGAAAGAAGAGGCTGCAAGGAGGAAAAAACTGGAAGAAGAAGAAGAAGAGATTAGAAATTCCAGCAAGTTATCAGATGGAAACAGATCACGATCCAAGTTACATTTCGGCATGGGTTTATAATTTTTTAGAAAAAAAGAAATTTGATGAAGGCAAAATCTGAAAGAAGCTTTTACTTTGTGTTAGAGCTCATTCCAAGCAAGTATGTACAACCAACAGTATCTAGTCGACACCCTTCTTGGAGTTTGTTGTTTCACTATGTTGATTATGAACAAACAAAATGCATAATCCATGAGGTGAAATGTGGTGTTTCTGCTTCTGTCATTCGGTTTTTTGGTTCAGAATAAACTTATTTTGGGCTTCAATCATAAATAAACTAATCTCATATTGGACTTGGGTTATTAAAATAGACTTTTGTGTATGGTGTGGATAGAGGCTTTTGAGTAAAGGGCTTTGACAGAGTTTTGCATGAGCTTCGGATAAAGGCTTTTGAGTAAAGGAGTAAATGTATTTAGAAAATTCCACTTTTCATTTCTTTGGAAAAAAAATGTATAATAAGCCTTGACAAAGAAAACGTACACACAAATTATACAAAACATTCTTTTGAATCTATGTTTATTAATCATAAACCTAAGAAAGATGAATATATGTATTATTTCTAAAATTATGCAACTCCAAGTCCCATACTTCGGTAATCGTGAGACGGAGAGACTTGGGACCATTCTATAAAGTATAACTCACACTACTCATCACAATTTCTCTTATGTTTGATTGCTACGAGACTACGAACAGACCCCACACCCCAAGGTAAATAACTAAATAACATCAAAAAAACTTTTTAAATTGAGGGTTATTTGTATCAATAAAACAAGTTCCGTCCATTAATAATAAATTTTTTATATTAATTCAAATATAAGTTTTGTAACATGTTTTGTTTTTCCAAATAATTTTCACTCCTTAATCTCGACAACGTTTAACTATAGATTAGTTTTGGATTGATCGATTTTGGTTTGTATGCATACTCTAAATAGCTTTTGAATGGACCAATTCGATTCATCATATCTAAGTATACTTGGCTTAGTATGTTTGTACATATTAAACTAAGTTATTCCCAAGCAGGCACTACAAATTAAAAAGAAAACTCGTTTTACACAGTTTTTATTAATCTAAAACTGCCTACACTACGTTTAGTTAGCAATTAAGAAAGGAAAGTTGAATAAAATATATGAATTCTTGAGATAAGTAGTAATTAAAGATGCACGTAACATGAGAGTATTGTATATTGAAATCTATCCATCCACATAAAAGTTGCAACCTTCTTCATGTGCATGCGATGATCATCATTGTATCTGGGGAAGTTCCACTCCCGACGGAATCAACGCAAAGCAGCCGCAAATTTTGAAATTCCTGAAGCCGAAAGCCTGCTTAAAGTATCTCGTCTTAGATACCGTACGTCCAAGTCAAAATCAAAAAGCTAACTCTTGAAAATAGCTAAGATATAATCAAGATAGATTATGAACTTCATATATTTATATATCCTTTTCGATTTCTCTCGTTGAATCACTTTCTGGGTGTTACGATCCTTTGTTTTTTTAAAATAAAAATGGCTTCTTATTTTCTGAAAGCAATAAATATTCAAAATAAAATTTAGAGACACATTTTCAAACAGTTAATTTTGCAACGAAAAGAAACAAACGAAATAAAATGGTAAAGAGTCACCGTCGTTTATATATGTTTTGTAAAGAAATGATATATGCATATATATAATATATATCTGATAAAGACTACTAATAATCAAAAAGAAAAAGAAAAAAAAACTGACAGAAAAGTTAATCAGGCTGACCACAAAATACAACACCAAACTATAATAACTTCCTCTGTTTTTTAATATAAGATGTTTTAAAAAAAAAATTTGTTTGAGAATATATGATAATTTCAGAAATCAATACAAAATTTACTAATAAATGATTTGTTTTATCCTTAAATTAATTGGTAACCAAACAAACAAATAATAATAAATAGGGTTACAATACATATTTTACAAATTTTCTTAATCCATGTGTCCAACTCTAAAACATCATATATTTAAAAACGAAGGGAATAATTCGGTGCAGTCGTGTAGACACGTATATATCTTGCTTAAATGACAACGTAGTATTGTAAAAATGATACTTGAACATATTTGTAAAGAAAGTAGAGAGTAGAATACGATACTTGTACTCTTTACTACTTTATATATACAAGTATATGATAGGTACGTCATATTAATTTACAACTCTAATATAGTAGAAATATTGTGTGTGAAACTTTAGCATCATATAGGAATCGAGTTAAGAAAAGTGTCCTGTGAATTTTTGTGTGTCGTGTAGTGAAACTTAAAATAGGAAAGATTTATATTGGGATTGACAGATGATTATGACTGGGTCCAGTGATCTGGAAGATGGCCCATCAGAATAATACACTTGACGTAACCAAGTGGGATGTGACCCATTCACATTTGCCTTTGCGCATGCGTAACTCTCAAGAAGCTCTTTAGTGATCTTCCTACATCATCTCATTTTTAATCTCATATATCTCAATTATCAACCCACTCATACTTTAGAATAGACCAACCCAGACATGCTTAGATACGGACCTGCGTTTAAGTGATGTGGAATATGTTCTGAGACGATCACGAGCAAGGCCAATCAAACTCGATCGAGCTAGGTAAAATAATGAAAGATGCACTCTGTGTTTAAAGTACTACTTTATATCCTTGGTAGGCCAAGCTCGATCTAAATCACAAGGCCGAGTTTGTTTGTCCTACTCTCACGTGTATCAATAAATTAAAACATTAAACCTCAAATAGATACAATCGAACGATTCTATGTGTAGATGCATGCATGTACACAAATGCGGTTTTTAAAAAAGACACATGAATATGTGGAAAGATAAGTCTCATTTTTACAGGCGACCACGTTTTTTTATTCTTTAAATGATTAGTGATTGCGATATTTGTAGTGATCATCTATGATTGTTTGAGCACACTCAAACCAAAAAAAAAGAAAATTTGCTTGTCCACACTTGCTCAATGCTTATCTGTCTTTTCTTGAAAGACATAAATCATTTAATGTAATCAAACAGTTGACTTCTCGCGAAACCAAATGTAACATTTCCACTTTCCAGGGAGTAGTCAAGTTTGCAAGATAGACGATACCTGTATAAAAATGCAAGTATGTATGTTTTAACCGATTAGATCATCATATATGAATGAATGTTTTCTTTTATCTATTACATCTTTTATAAAAAAAAGTTTGTAATCTAGTTTCAGTAATTTTATTATTCATGATAAATGAATTCGATTTCATTTATTAACTAAAAGTATGACAAACCTATAATTAATAATTCAGATTAAACTGAAAAATATTGGAAATTCATCAAAAAAATTCCGATAAACTTAAATTCGTCAGAATTTCCTTTGTTTTCTTACAATGTCAGCATAAAGATCACGAGCAACATAGTTCTATATATTTCATATGTGTACTAGCATATTCACGGTGAACGAAATTATTCCTATGCTTCAAAACTATAACAAACGGCTCAACATTATGTTAAATAATGGTTAAAAAAAAAACAATTCCATATATACTGTTCATGTCTGCATGCCGGTATCGTGAAAGTTCCGCTTGAAGCCTAGGTTTGGATGAATTGAAACTCTGGCAGTTCTAAACAATCCTCGTCAGTCACAAAACAAAGTGGTAAGTCAAAGATTTTTGTGTTAAATTACGCATTTGAGAATGATGTATTTGCTTTATAGATTTAGTACTGGATTCGATTAATGGAAGATGTAAGTTGGAAAAACAAAAGTCGCTAATTTGTTTGTTTCATTTATTTTTCGGACTAATCTAATATTTTTATCGTTAAAATGAAGATCTTCCCCTTTTTGTCTTATTTTTCTCTCAAACATGATCATTTTATTATCCAAGTTCAGTAAAAATGATATTATAGGAATATATTCTATAAAATCTACAAAATAGAACTGATCAGACAAAATATCAATGTTTTAGATACCAATCTCTTATATATTCACCCAATTAATACGGCCGGCGAGATGACATGCATGTCTCACAAAATTAAAAACTTCAGTAAATCCAAATTTTACTAACAATCAAGAAAAGGAAAACAAAAGGTACTGACACATGTCTCTCGTTCATTCATATTTTCGGTGCAACCTCCTAGCATTTAGCAACAAAGGTTACGGAAATAAAAACGAAACGAAAACATGGTAGCGCGATTTATAAAACTCATTCGACCAACAGTGATCAAAGCTTATTCTCTCGGGTAGTTATAGTAATGGTAACCATAGCTCTTCTCTTCTTCACGCTGCTGCTGCTGCTGCTGTTGTTGTTGCTGCATCTGTTGGGAAGTTAACGAGGAAGAAGAAGATGAAGAAGGCGTTGAGAAAGGCTGTTGCTGCTGACTAAAGAGACTCGATGTGTAGTACGATAAATCAACTTCATTGTTACTAGTAAGCAACTGAGCGTATTGAAGTATGTCCTGATTATAATTTGTTGGCCACGAAGTTGTAGTAGATGATGGACCAAGCGGAGGAGGAGGTGAGTTCATCAATCCACTACCTCCTCTTGGGGCATGATCATTGCCGGATTGAGTTGCGACATAGGTTGTCGTGGTAGGGCCCTGGACGCGTTCAGGGAAATTGAGCTTAGCCTTGCTGCCTTTGAATTTAAGGGCGGCTCGGTCGTAGGCCAAAGCGGCTTCCTCTGCTGTCTCAAAAGTCCCGAGCCAGACACGAGCTGCTTTCTTCGGGTCACGGATCTCGGCTGCCCATTTGCCCCATGGTCGCTGCCTTACGCCTCTATAATGTCTTCTTCTTGGTTGATCTTGAAGAACATGTATCAAAAAATGAATTATTGCATGTGCTGTTATATATACATGCATGAGAAGAGACTACGTGTGATTTCAATTATTATAGCAAGGGAATAATTTAGTGAAACAAAAAAGGGATGATTTAATGAAAGACGGTGCATAAAGTACTACTTAGGATGCATTAACTATGTCGATTATGGAACTTTGCACAGATATATATACTTTTATTTTAAATGGAATATAAAACATAAATTTGTTGTAATTTACTTCATATTAATACTGAAGTTTGAGTATATATTGGGTCATATCTTTGCTTAATTAATGACTAGACATATATGTTGGAGTGAACCGAAATCAAAGCTTGAATCATGCTACTTTCATATTTAACCATCTGGATATATACAAACAACAGAGTCAATTCAACTGGATATATAGCTCCGATCTCTAATACTGTATCTACTATTTTCGCAGTTATAACTAGCAAATACGTACTCTTCTTCTTCTTCTTTTTTGTCACGCAGCAGAAAAATACTTAAAGAGTGAAACAGCTACGTGCTACATATGGGCATCAAAAATTCACACACACAACAACAAAAACTAATAAAATTGAGCAAAGAATTATTGGTAATCAAATGAGGATTTATTCACGAAAGAATTTGTCATCAACTGAAAATTCTTTGCTCTGGAAAAGATTACCTGGATTTTTGTTACCAAGTGTGATTAATTTCGGCTGTATTTTTGACTTTTTGTACATAAAGGATGAGACATATAAAATATAATTTAGCATTCAAAGAATAAAATGTGATGATGTTGACTATCACTCAATAAAAGTATAAACTAAGACTTGGTTTTTGATAACTACATATTTGGATTTTAATGCACCTAAAAAACAAGTTAATCATGTTGAAAAACTTCAAAATCAATTTATTGATAAAAGGACACAAATACAGTTTATAAAGAATGATCGAAGACCAACTAATTTGAAATGAACAAAGGAACGTGCAAGGTCAAAATTACTCATATTTAGTTAGGTAAGAAGCCATATGTAGGCTATATGTTTGACGAGTTAAAAAAAACCTGCGTTGATAAAATATTATCTAATTTTGTACTTTCAAAAGAAAAAGAAAAGAAATCTAGATGTATTAAAAAAGAATAGACACGTAGTAGTAACCTGATCGGTTGTTCAATTCAAAGACAAGAAGGAAAGTTCTTTACGGAAAGTAAATTAGATGACAGATGCATTGAACTTGAACCTAACCTATACATAAATTCCATTTTCCCCCAAATTTAATTATTAAGAAAATCTGAAAGAGAAGAAGAAGAAGAAGGAATTTGTTTTCCCCCCGAATTTAGCTATTAATAGCAAAGTCTTTAGTTAGTTAGCTTACTTTTAACTAGTTACATCAGCTAGCTAAAACGCGATTAAGCTGTTATTAGTTACATATGATCAAGATATCTATTGTATATAAATAATTACCTTGGTCTTGTTGAAGTTGATCCGATTTATCAAGCTCTTGTTTGACCGGCGGGCCTGAACTTTCGTGTCCGTCGGCTGTCGGATAGTCGATGGCACGGCTGAGAGACGAGATCATGGCGGTGACATCAGACTCGTTCCAAGACGGATTCTCCGTCGCCGACGCTTCCGGTGGAACCAGTCCCTTTCCATACCTCCGATCCACTTTTACAGAAAAAAACTATGTATTCACAAGCATGTAACACACACACACACACAGAGAGAAAGAACAACAAAGCGTGTGTGTATCAAGACTTTGTTTGAAAAGAAGTAAGTTTGATTGAAGATTGAGTAAGGGAATCTAAGGAGTAATAATTAGAACGTGAAGCTTGGCTTGGTGATGAACAACACAGGTTGGGAGCAAATAAGGGTTTTATTTACTCTAGGGGCTATTGATATATTATGAGGAAAGAAGAGGTGGTGAAAAAGGGTTTATAAAGACAAGGATCTACAAGAAAAGAGGATATATTATTTAAATAATTAAAAAAATCTTTGGAATGGTGCGGGGTGGGACCGTTTAATTGAGTTCTTCTTAGTTCTCTTTTTCTTTTTTAATTTTGGGAGTTTTTAGCTTCGCATGTTTGGGCAGCAGTGTTATTATGCATTAGGAGTTAGTGCAACGAATATTGGTATTTTTTTTTTAATATGATAGTTTTTTGTTGTTGTGGTTAAATCAGATATTAGAAAAATGCCACGGTTATTTGTTAAGTTACATAGTGTTAAAAAAAGAAAAAAAAAACAGTATTTGGTTTCCCTGGTGGAGTTAAAGAGTAACATTAACAAAAATAGCAAAAAAATCGAAGGTTGACGCATGCTTAGGGGGATTTATGAACAAAGTAAAAGAGAAATACAAAGGGAAGAAAAATTGAAAATGAACAAAAGCGGCGTGATTCGTGAATCCAAAAAAGGCTAAAAGAAGTAAATTAAACAATATATTTGGGACCCATCCTCGGTCGAGAATCTCAAAATCCGCTTCTCCTTCCTCCACAATTAGAGTCGACGCAAAATTCGTTATTCAAACAAAAATGTTTTCAACCCAAAATCAATTTACTTTTATTAATTTAAAATAGATATAGAAATAACGAAACAGAAACTGCACCAATGACGATTTTAGTATAACCGAACCAACCAATGTTTAAATATACCAAATTTTAATGTTGTTCATGTAATTAATCAAATGGGACGAAAAACCAACCAAAATTACAGTAAAAAAATTGTTTTTTTTAGTATCTCTAAACGAACAAATCCGGAAACCAAAAACACAGAAACGAAAAGGAACTATAAACAGAACTGAACCCTTCGTATTTTGGTAGCCGTGGGGCCGTGGCTCAGGCCCAACGGCTGGTGAAGTGTTAAAGGATGTTGTAGTTTTATTTCAAAACTCTTGGGCCCTTTTTTAAGCCCATAACCCATTTCGAATTTCCATTCTGTTAATGCTCTGTTTTCGCGAGTGAAGAAATTGTGTTCCATAATACAGAGGAAAATGAAATAATTTCTTGCTCAAAATGTTATCAGAAATTCAGAAAGACTAGTACACAGCATATGCACTTGTATACTTTATTACAATCCAGATCTCTAAGATTTCACACCAAGTCACTTGGGACCTATAATAACAATCAAAGAAAGAACAATTTCTTTTTTTTTTTTTTTTTTTTTGGGTCAACTGATTCAAGTACTGAAGAACCTAGCCACCACACATGCCTCGATGAATTCTAAGGCATTTCCTGATTTAATGCATCTAGGGGTCTTGTATTGACCGATGGAAGCACCTTGCGAGATGAAGAAGTCCATTAAAGAATCAAACGTTCCTTGACGCACCACTCTTATCTCCAGAGGCCCGACCGATCCGTCTTTGAACCGACATCTCTTGTAAACATTGTCAAGTGAATCCTCCATCACTAAACAACACTTGGAGAATGCCTCTTCTTCATTGAGCTCCAAAGATGTCTTCTTCTTCTCTCCCTCTTTGGCCTTTGCTTCCAAATAAATAACGTAATGACCCGGAAATGTTGAGGTGTCAGCAAAGCTGGTGAAGTCTACCAGAATGAGATCCGATGAATCGAGAACCAGCTTCGCTTGATTTACCGCCTTGAACAGGTCTTCTTCGTTGGTTTTATCGGTATCAATGCTTAAGACCACGTTCTCTCTTCTTACAAACCTAAACTCAGGTGCGTTGTTGTAGAAACCAGTCACCAATAGAAGATCTCCCACTCTCATTCTATACAACCCTGAAAAAAAAAAGATAATTCACAAAATCTAGTTAAAACCATGTAATAAAAAAAGATTTTAATTCTGTTAAAGTCATGATGTTTTTTTAAAAAAAACTCACCGGAGAAATTTGTGACCACGGGTTCATAAGTGCACCCAAGTTTCACATCTTGAAGGTCGACCACATCTCTACTGTCTCCATCCATAGGTATGAACTCAAAGTAAGACATGTTGGGCATGAAGGCGTAAGAAACATCTTCAGGTTTGCACAGAGGATCGAGATTGATCCCAAAAGTAGTCTCCGAAGAACCGTAAGTTGTTGAAACGAGAGGCAAGTCGCTGCAATAGTAGTTCAACGTGGGAACATACTGACCCATTGAACCGGTAACAACGGTTTCAATATATTTGGTTTTTGGCCAGAGCCTTTTGACTATACCTTTCCATGAGTTTTGGTTGCATATTGTTTCAATCGTGTCTGCTAAGTCAGGACGTGGCCCTCCAAGGACCGAAGACACGGATTTCCGACAACCGAGGTCTGTGATCCACTCGCTGAGATGGCCTGATCGGATGTTTGAACAGAGCTCTTCAAGATAAGTTTCAAGAAACTTGATAGCTCGGACCATGACTGAAGCGAAGATGGAACCCATTCTCACAACCTCGTCTCTTTGGACCAAGCCACAGAGCAAATGGCAGTATAGACTTTGAGTGTTGTTGGAACATAGTATGACTTCATCAGGGCTCGTATACGAGTAATACCAGTTAGATGGACGGTTCTTGAAATAGTCGCTCTTGAAGTAGCTGCTGGTTGCGACTCGAGCAGGCAAGCCAGAAGGAGTAATGGCTTCTTGTTTAGTGAAGAGAAACATCATCCCTTTTCCTCCCTCCATACCTTTCACATCCCTAAAGAAGGAGATTTGTTTTCAACATCATGGGTCTGATCTAAATATTGATATAGATAATGGTTAAAACATACAAGGAGACTTACTTGGTTATAACGTGCATACGAAGATCGTATGCGAATGTTAAATTGTCCAAATACTTGTTGTTCCATGGCATCATCTTTTGTGCTCCTCCCGAAGTTCCCGAACTACAGAGACAATTCAAGAATTTAGTTTATGTTTACAAGGAAAAAACTATGTATTATAGAGAGAGAGAGAGAGAGAGAGAGAGAGAGAGAGGGCTTCTTATATATACCTTAGCAAGAAACCGGTAATAGGGCGGGCCGATATGACATCAGATGACTCTCCATTAACGACACGATCGATATAAGGCTTAAGATCCTCATAGGTCACCACCGGTACGTTCTTCTTGAAGAGCTCTTTATCGAACCTCTCGATGTGAAAACGTTGGAGGTACTCTGTTTTTAGGTTAGGTGTGAGTATCTCTTCCAACAGATTGTCTTGTATCTGCTTCACGTTGAAAGTTAAATCCTTCAGCTTCTCCTCCCATCTTTCGTTGTTATCGGAGATTTGCTTCATATTTGGTTCTCTCTAGTTTGATGTGAAAATTTGAGTGAACACTCAGTTCTATATATAGCAAGTTCGTGAGCCTCGATCGGTCAATGTTTAATTGATATTTTTAACCGTAGAAAAGTATCAAGTGAGGAACATAATTTGATATTTTTAATTAATTATTCGACTCAGACCTTACCGTGTGAACGGTACGGTGTCATGAGATAATACTTCTTGTTTGTATTTCAACAACCGCAAGTAGATCAATATACGTGTAATACATGTGATTAGTAATGATATAGAATAATTAGGAATCTGAGAAGAGAAGAAATAGTTTTTTTTGTCAAAATAGAATGTTGTTTAAGTTTCATGGAAATTACAGTTCTCTTGTCATCTTTTAAGTTTCATGGAAAATACAGTTTTCTTTCCATGAAGCTACGCACTAGATTTCTAGAGAGTATAGATCACATATGGTACATTGATTTTTCATGTTTTAGTTTCACTTATTGTTTGAACAAATTTTTTTTTTACTTGTTGAAATATGATTTCTTTATTCTTTCCCTTCTTTTAATCATTTGCATCATTCATGTTTAAAGAAAACGGGCTGATAAACCCTTCATCTAAATTGGATTCCCAATGGTCAACAAAAATTCCTACAATCAACGTTAAAAGCTGTTTCACATATGTTTTAGTTAACGAATATTTTAAAATGAAATCTATAAGACTTTGAGTTTTATTTTTGTTATATATGTTTTGTGCGACATAGTTTCCGTGCCTGTAAAACGTCGAAAGTGTTTTTATTATATAAAATAACTTTGGACAATTTATTTAGTACTAAGCATTTATCATGTCGCCGATTATTCAACTTCAAAAGTCAACATTCTGCAAGACTAACTATCGGGGGTTTTTTTTTTTTTTGACTAAAACAACTATCAGGTTTTTGTTGGTATATAAAACATGAGGATCAACAAAGTCAGGAAAATGTGAAGAAATTAAAAGGAAATTCAACAAGAAATTTCTGCACGATTTCGTCCAAATTAAGTTGAAACTTTTGCTCAAGAAAAAATATATTGTAATCATACACAAAGACTGACTCTACACTGAGAGTTCAATATATATGTATATACATTTTTTGTTGGTCAACCAATATACAAACTATTTAGTTGCGACTCTTGTGAGTCGTGACGAAAAGTGATGGATACTAGAAATTACTAACGAAGTTTCAGTATAATGCTATTATTTAATCGGAAACCATATAGGATTTGTGATAAAGTATAGTTTTTTCTTTTGTCTTTGTTGGAATAAGTAAAGATAAACTGAAATGAGCACGAAACTGAACGCAACTCACCTGCAGCAGACTTTCCTCTCTTCTCCAGATTTGATTCACTCAATTACAATGGATTCTTTTCTTTCGGAAATTTGTGAGAGTGCACACAAAAAAATTTTAAAAAATAAAAATCAATAATAAAATAGAACAGCACGATACAATGGTAATCATTGATATTATATGGTTCTCCCGTTAGCTCCAATCGTAGTCTTATCCAAACCAACGGTACTATGTTTTTTTTTGCTCTTAACGAAACAACTCAAACATGGTTCAATTATCTTAAAGTTATACAAATACGTTTTTAGCACAACGATGGAAAACAAACAAATTCCTTTCGTTGTCTTGTCTATTTTCCATTATTATGAATTTATAACATTTATTTCACCATTCCACCAACCCTATTCCACTTTTTTCATTTGATATATACGACCGTTTCTTTATTTTGATTATCAGCTAAATTTTGTATTTCTTTTTGCATGTACAAGAGTAATTATTTTAAAATACATCTCTCAATGAAAATATACAAGAGAATGATAAAATATAAAATGCGATATTAATATAATAATAATTTATTGCTTTAACCATAAATACCTACATTCCTTACGAAATGATAATATAGATGATTATTTATTTTGTTGTCAACTAAATAATTTAGAAACTGAGATTTGATGATTTATCCTCAATATGTGATAAATTTTTGATAATAGTCCATATATTTTATAACTTGAACTTTGCAACTTTCAAATTTACGTCTCACGTCAAATTATTTCCGGATTTCGATTGCATTTTAAATTTCCGGACGAGCCAACAATACAAGAAAAACGATGTTGACTTTCTAACTAAAATCTTAAATTTTAGTGGGACTTTTATGTTGTAGGGACCTGGAGGAAAATTGCCCAGAAACACTCTGGAAAAAGAAATTGAAGTTCCAAGTAAGTTTTAGCGTTGAAAGTTATTTCTTAATTTAGCAACAAGGAATTAGATCTTTTCTTAATGACTTTCAGTTTAGTCTGGTGACTTGGGTCTGCTAAAGTCGTCTCCATCTTCTACTCTAATCTAGTTTAATATGCACAACCTGACCCCAAGTCAACCAGACTAAACTAAACAAAACATTCAGTTAAAAAGGACTAAAATATTGGACTTGCGAGAGTCTTCCATGAAATGGTCGTTAATCAAGTTTCAGAAAATGATCCATGTGCTACGATTTATGTTCACATATGTACCGAAAGAAGACAAAGCTTGTGAAAAGCCTTTTGAGGCTCATCAAGAGTTTTTTTGGTAGAGTTCTTAAGCAAAATCTTTGAATTTTTAATCTTTCTCAGCGTCAATGAATTTTCGTTAATAACATCCATCACTTTGAACAGCCAGAGAGTCTGGATATATTCTTTGTCACTTAGGACAAGCGTATTGAGCAACATTTGGTATCACCATTTTGGTAGAGTTTTTAAGTAAAATCTTTGAAGCAAAGAATATTCTATCAAGTATCAAGCAGTCTCAAAGACAATATGCTTCGTGTATTTTCTTACTATTGAATTGGGTAAAAAGCAAGTCAAGGAACTAAAACTATCTTACATATGCTGCTAAAAGATGCTACATGTTCGCATCTCCATGTAAGCATTTTCAACCAACTTGTACGTAGCTCCATCTCATTTATCACATCCAATTTTCCAAGGGCGAGACAGTTAAAGAATGAGATCTAACCAAACCGAATGATCAGACATCTGCTTCATCTACACTTTGCTTGGCGCGGTATTGACGACCGTTCCTTTTGACATTGGTGCAGCTCTCTGATTCTCCTATTTCAGTATCCCCGTCTTCTGCTGCACTTGATCTCTCATCTTCTGACACCTGACCTGCTACAACAGGCTTCGTCTCGATACAGTTACTACCGTCTTCTCTTACGTCCTCAGTCTTCTTCTGCGAGATAAATGATACTTTCTTGAATGATTCTGACTCTGACGTTTCTAGTCCTTCAACAGCCTTGGCAATGTCCATGTGCTCTCGTGTTTGGGGCTTCTCGTTCATTTCGCTAGATGGATCAAAGCTGTAACAAGTGTACTTCGAAGGATTTACCAAGTAATCCGGTACACGAGCACCGCTTTTACTCTGCTGCGATACGATTTTCACGGAGGCAGAAGCTGAACAGGCCACTTCAGGCTTCTTGGATGTTTCCTCAGGCACACCATCAAACCTGACTCGCTTACTCGTCCTTGCTTCTGAATCTGAACTATTCTCCTTCCTTTTGAGTATAGGTTTTGGTGGCACGGCTCTGGATGATTCTTCTGGATGTGGCTCTTTGCTTTTCGAGGGTTGTTCCCCAGAAGTGCTAAGTTTATTGGCCTCGATCTCATCTTCCTTGAGCCTAATTTTTGCAGCAACATGGTTAGCACGAGGATCCCGAATCCGCCCACCAGAAGATTGGCAAAGGACATCTTTCATAGACAAGCTTTCACCGCCATTCTCTTTCCCTAGTGCGACTTTATCATATTCATCTTCCTCTTCCTGCGTTAACAAGTACAATTTTCAAAATGTTTCAATGGAGGTGAAAGAAAATGCCTACCACACAAAGTGCCATTTACCAAAAACAAAACTCCCCAAGTCACAGGGCACATCACAGGCTACTATGTTTGTGCAGTAAAGTGCAATTCTCTTCCATTGATCAGTCTCAGCTCAGACTTATGATTTGAATACATAGGTGTATAGGATCAAAATTGTTCCCTAATTCTAGTTAGCTAATATGAGTAAGGCTTGTCCTTACTTTCCCCAATCGTTAACAAACCAAAAAACACTTTTGATTAAAATTTGAATTTACCTCGTCATCGAGAGTGCGATCAAGTCCCATGGAGGCTCTGATGCTCCATCCATCATCAAATTCCTCGTTAGCACCTTCCCCTTGATCATCCTCGCCATCGAACGGCTTACGAGCAGTGCTCGAGATCCTCTGCTGTCTCAACAGCTCGTCGAACGATGACGCACAAGGAATCTCGTCCCTGTCGTACGAAGCGAGCTGCTCTCGCTTCCACTCCCGCTTCTCCACGTCTGTGTCGGAGAGGGACCACACCGAGGCCGGTTGATTTTGCCGTGACGCCGGAGCAGAAGACGTAGAAGAATTAGAAGACGAGGAGCGAGAGAAGGCGAGAGATCCGAAGATCCTCTCAACGCGAGACTGGAAATCTTCGTCGGCCGATCCAGACGACGCCATCGGGAGCAATCGAGGAACTGAGAAAACACACACACAAAATCGATCGGCGAGCAACGAAGAAAGTAAACCGCCTTGCGCGTGATCCCTTTCAATTAATTTATTTTAGAAGTTACAATACATTTAAAAAACTTTTAAATGGGCATTTTTATGAATTGGGCCTGATGTAATGGACTTTCCTGCTTTTGAACCCATTATCGGTCTAGTTCAGATTTCACATAGTGGTCACTGATTTTTTTTTTTATTTGTTTGTTTAGCCTTTTATCGGATGTCCTCGGAGTAAAATTTTTTGGTTTGTAATATTTTAAAACTGAAAGAAAAGAACAGAGTTTACGACCCGTGGGCCTCTTTCAGGTCTAAGGAAATGAAAGAAGGGACAGCTAAAAAGGAAAAGAGATATCTAAGTCATAGTATTAGATTAGTAGATCGGAAATCATATGAGAGAGAAACTTTCGATATATGTATATGATGTGAGAATCTGATTAGAAAGACCAGAATCTGATAGAATAAATTGGGACAAGTAGAAACTATTAAGAAGATGTTAATTACTTCGAAAACGATATACTATAATGTTTCGTTATCATAAATTTAGTTTTCACAACACTAGTTGCACTTCTTCTTCTTTTTTTTTTTCTGTTTTGTCAGAGTTACCTTCACTATTTACCGGATCGAACAAGGCTGCGAACTATATTTAACACGATTTTAGCCAAAAGAAATGATCGGTAATGATGAAACAATTTTTCTAGCAGCTGGACACTAGAGATCATACATTTGATTAAACAAATGGGATTTTGAATCTGAAATGCGACTGTAAAGTCTGCACAAAAATGAAAAGTAAAGATCTTGGTGTCCATTTTTTTCCAAATTATCCCCCTTTTTCTTTTTGCTTTACAAATTATTTCCACCCTAAGAATTTTTTTTTAATTTGTTTTATGAAAATAAAAAATAAATCATTAAAATCATTTATACCCCACTGACCTCTCTGTCTCTCCGGAACAAAAGGTAATGGAGAAGCAACCAGAGAACGGGACCCACCACCCCTTCTCTAATAATCCCCCGATAAGCATCGCGTTCAATACACGCGCCTCGTTATTTTCGTCTTTATCAATACGACACGCGCTTTAAAGCGCGTGAGATACCGGATTTGATCCCAAGTCCTTGTTTTCTCAGATGACCACTGTTACAGAGAAAGCACAGTCAGTCCTCTCCTCCTTTCCCTCTTTCTTTTAATCTTAACTAAAGAGAAGCCACCCTGAAACGACGCCGTATCCTACCAACCTTCTCGATCTCCGGCGGTAATTAAACGCCATAGTTTCGCCGCCTTTCCGGTAAAAAAATTAACCAAGACGGTGAAGTTTTTTTGTTCTCTCTCTCTCTCTCTCTTTTTTCTTTTGTCTCTCTTCTCCCAAGACACTTCCATCTAAAAAAAACCCCACACTGTTTTTCTTGATTTTCTCTCTCGATTTCACTGAGGGTTTCGTGAGCAAAACCAGCTCGAATTACCTACGCTCGAGACTTGGGAAGATCATCCGGTTTTGTTTTTTGAACATTTCGGGAAGCTTAGGTGGAGAGGAAGAGGATCTCACCTTTTTTGTTTTCCATTGTGTCTGTGCTTTGTTGATGGAGTCGGTTTGAGAAATAGTGGTCTTAGCTACTTTTTTTTCCGTGTGATGTTAATTGCTGTTTGGTTCGAAGAAGAGGAGGAAGTAACCATTTGCTCAGAATGCATTTCGCCAAGCTTGATGACTCTCCCATGTTCCGCAAACAGGTTTGTTTCTACATATCTTGGTTCCGTCTACGTTTGTCCTCATCTGTCGAGTCTTTTAGCGTCTTAGGTTTAAATTTTGTGGTCATATTAGGCAAGATTTATTCTTCAAGTTGTGAACATATACACATTTTGGAGCCATTAGGAAGCTGTAATGTCTGGATTTTTGGGTGTTCACCGACATTTATACCCCCAAAACTCAAGTGGAACACTGAGAAATTGGTTTAACTTTTAGTTACCTGGACGTGTCTATTCGCGCTTTAACTTGTTAGTAGTAGTAACTCGTGTAGCTCATATTTATGTCCAAAACCTGTCTGTTTCCTGTAGTTGAAGAATCCTCTATGGATTGCCTAAATCACTTAATTTTTCTGTGTGTTTCCATAGTTACATTGTCTTCAAGCATATGATTGTGTCTTTGCTGTTTTCTTCGTGTTATTTTCCAGTTGTGTGCTTATTTTTTAACATTTTTGTTCTAAAACAGTTGCAAAGCATGGAGGAGAGTGCGGAAATATTAAGGGAAAGAAGTCTCAAGTTTTACAAAGGATGCCGGAAATACACGTATGCTCTAATTTTTTCACAAATTCTCAGGATTGTAGCTGTACATTAAGAGTTTTCTTCTGGCTCAGAGAGAAATGAGAACATATATCTTCTAACAGATGGATTGTCCTTTACTTTTTCCAGTGAAGGGTTAGGCGAGGCATATGATGGAGACATTGCTTTCGCAAGTGCTCTTGAAACATTTGGTGGAGGCCATAATGATCCGATCAGTGTTGCTTTTGGAGGTATGGCTGACTCTGTCACTAAGGTCGTGGAAATATTACAGTTGAAAGTTGGAAAATGAAACTAGTTTTTTCATCAAAGGTGCTAATAGTCTCTACCTTGCTGTGCCAGGACCTGTAATGACGAAATTTACAATTGCGTTGAGAGAAATTGGGACTTATAAGGAAGTTCTTCGGTCACAGGTATGCTAGTTTTGTTTTGCGTCTGCAGAAGTCGTGTCTATATTGATTGCTTCACCTTAAGACATTATATAGAGTTCCAGATTAGATCAAGTCTTATTAGTTCAGGTTTTCGTTTTGATGAGTTCTCATTGTCAGGTGGAACACATACTGAATGACAGATTACTTCAATTTGCCAATATGGACTTGCATGAGGTTAAGGTACGAGCTGATTGCTTTCTTCTTGGCTTTATATTCAATTTTTTTGTAAAACCGTACTGGCCATAAATCCTAGTGCATCACTTGGGTAGTAGTACCGAGTAGAATATAATGAAAGAGCATGAGTGGAAAAGACACGAAGCCTGAGGTTCGCAGAGATGCATCATTTTATTTAATGTGGATCAGTGAATTAGGTTTAATTCTTCTGGTTTGATTATCCGGTTGCGGCACTAGAAACCAAAAAGGTTGAATATTTATAACTTCGGGAGTCAACCTTCCCCAAACGAAAAGTATTTAGAAATATTCTCTGAGGTCATTGACGTAGAGACGGTCTGATGAATGCAAAAAGTCTGGTTAAGTTTATTCGATAATGTAATCCCGAGAGATCATTTTTGCCACAGGAAGCCCGGAAGCGTTTTGACAAGGCTAGCCTTACTTACGACCAGGTATCCCTTTGTTCAGGGTTATTTTTCGTATCTGTTTCTTAGAAATTTTGTTCAGGCTTACCTGGAAAGATTAACTAATCAACTTCCTATCGTGGTCTAGGCCCGTGAGAAGTTTCTATCTCTGAGGAAAGGTACAAAAAGTGATGTTGCTGCTGCTTTAGAACAGGTATGGTGCATGATTCTAGTAAAGCTAGTTGTTTCTAAATTTTTAAATACCATGTATTTTCCTTCTTCTATGTTTCTCTGTCAAAACTGATATACTTGACACTGTCAGGAACTTCACACTTCGAGGTCTATGTTTGAGCAAGCTCGGTTCAACCTTGTAATTTTCTTTTCCTTGATCGATATAACCTTCTGTCACATTCATGCTACTGCTGGAGTGACCTTTTGTTTTCTTTGGTGTCCCTATTTTATGCTCAGGTGACTGCACTCTCAAATGTTGAAGCTAAGAAAAGGTTTGAATTTTTGGAAGCAGTCAGTGGAACGATGGATGCACATCTTCGTTACTTCAAACAGGTAAATATGTTTGTTTCTTCAGAATTTTGGAATAGTTTGAAAAGGGTTGTGTAAAATCTGAACGTGGCTGCTTTCAGGGTTACGAATTACTGCATCAGATGGAACCATATATCAATCAGGTCAGTTTAATTTCAGAATTATCTTCTAAGACCATATATGAGTCTTCACTTGTCACTCAGTGTGTAGAGAACGCTTAGATAGTTGCATTTAGGAAACTATTTATACCTCAATTCTTTGTTTGCAGGTCTTGACCTATGCACAACAATCTAGAGAAAGATCAAACTATGAACAAGCAGCACTTAATGAAAAGATGCAGGAGTACAAAAGACAGGTTGATCGAGAGAGTAGGTATGGTTCCAATGGTTCTAATGGATCCCCAAATGGAGATGGCATACAAGCTATTGGTAGAAGCTCGCACAAAATGATAGACGCCGTAATGCAATCTGCTGCAAGGGGAAAGGTTGATCAATGTTCTTGTAAACATATGAGTGAGACGTATTCGAAAGAAAGCTATTAACATTTTTTTCTGCTTTAGGTGCAAACAATACGACAAGGCTATCTCTCTAAACGGTCTTCAAACCTGAGAGGAGACTGGAAAAGACGGTTTTTTGTTCTTGACAGCCGGGGAATGCTGTATTATTACCGGAAACAATGTAGCAAACCATCTGTGAGTTTTATATTTATATAATGCCAAAACAGAACAATGCAAACAGGATTGGTGTTCATATATTAAATTATCTTCTTGAATTATTCTTTGCACACTCTGACTTACTTGATTTGATGTTTAGGGGTCTGGCAGTCAGCTTTCTGGACAGAGAAATAGCTCCGAGCTTGGGTCTGGACTTCTTAGCAGATGGCTTTCTTCGAATAGTCATGGTGGAGTACACGATGAGAAGTCTGTAGCTCGTCATACAGTGAACTTGCTTACCTCAACAATTAAAGTGGACGCTGATCAATCAGATCTGAGGTTTTGCTTTAGGATCATTTCACCTACAAAAAACTACACATTGCAGGTTTGTTTCAGAGTATTTGTTGCTGTCTTAGATCTTCAATGTTTGCAAGTTTGCCCAACTTTTAATAGTTTTCACTCAGTGTTTACTTATGTTCGTCAGTGCAGGCTGAGAGTGCGCTCGATCAAATGGATTGGATAGAAAAGATCACTGGGGTTATTGCGTCACTACTTAGTTCTCAGGTCCCGGAACGGGTAAGTATCATTTATCATTCCTTTGTATTATCGGTCTCATGTTAATTGTCAATGCTAATTTGGTGATTGTCTTTTGGCTGCATTTCAGTGTCTTCCTGGTAGTCCCATGGGAAGTGGTCACCATCGTTCTGCAAGTGAAAGTAGCTCATACGAAAGCTCCGAATATGATCATCCTACTACTGAAGAATTTGTATGTGAGAGGAGCTTTTTGGGGTACCATGAAAGGCCATCAAGAAATTTTCAGCCGCAACGGTCCATTAGAAAGGGTGAGAAGCCCATTGATGCTCTGCGAAAAGTCTTGGGGAATGACAAATGTGCGGATTGTGGAGCTCCAGAACCAGACTGGGCTTCTTTAAATCTTGGGGTTCTTGTCTGTATCGAGTGTTCTGGTGTTCACCGTAATCTTGGTGTGCATATATCTAAGGTAAATCGCGAGAACTCATAATTCTTTGCAGAGTACATATAGGTTCTATAATAAGAACTAACACATGGATATCGAAGTAAAGAATTACATCAAAATCTTGAAGTTACACTTGGCTTGATGTTTCCTTAGCGATTCGAATTGTTAGAGCATGGTCTGGTTGTTTTTAGGATATAAGGATATGATAGAATCTGAACTTAGATGCCTCGACCTTCAGTTTGAAATCAGTCTAAATCAATCTGAACTTGGCCGGTTGCTACAGGTTAGGTCACTCACTCTCGACGTGAAAATCTGGGAGCCATCCGTTATAACTTTGTTCCAAGCTCTTGGAAATACTTTCGCAAACACAGTCTGGGAGGAATTGCTTCATTCAAGGAGCGCCTTCCATGTTGACCCAGGCTTAACAGGGTAAAAACTCCATTTACGCTTGAAATGTTTACCTTTTCATCTAAAGCTATAACAACTTTAATCACCTAAACATGACAATTGGTGCAGGTCTGATAAATCCAGGGTGCTGGTCACTGGAAAACCCAGCTATGCGGATATGATATCTATCAAGGAGAAGTATATACAAGCTAAGGTTTTTAAGCTTCTACCTTTTATTTGATTCCTTATGTCGGAGAGAACTAAAGCTATTTTTCTTCTCCAGTGAGTGCTCATAGGCAATGTACAGCATAGTTCATCCAAACTTTTTTTTTTTTTGTTGTCATTTCACAGTATGCTGAGAAGCTATTTGTTCGGAGATCGAGAGACTGCGATTTCCCGCAATCAGTTGCGCAACAAATGTGGGATGCAGTGTGTGGCAATGATAAAAAGGCTGTTTACCGGCTTATTGTAAATGGTGAAGCAGATGTGAATTCAGTGTATGACCAATCATCTTCGAGCTCTTCGTTAACACTTTCCAGAGTGATGTTGATACCAGAGAGGACAAAGCGTGAGGACGTCCTACTCAGATTAAGAAATGAGTTACTTGATAGAAACTCCTTAGGTACTTCTTCAAATATTCCTCCTGAGGAAACCAGAGGTTGCTCTCTGCTTCACTGCGCTTGTGAGAAGGCAGACATTGGGATGGTTGAGCTTTTGCTACAGTACGGTGCAAATGTAAACGCCACAGATTCAAATGGTCAAACGCCGCTGCACTATTGTATTCTCAGAGGCAAAGCGGTAGTAGCAAGACTACTACTCACGAGGTAACTTGGTTTTTTCTTTGAGCCGCTTCTCCAAAAAAACCCCCTAAATTCTTTTAGAAAATATTTTGTTCTTAACACAATGTGGGTGAATTTTGCAGGGGAGCAGATCCGGAAGCTCTTAATGGAGAAGGCAAAACCGCTCTTGATATCGCTGCAGAGTCGAAATTTTCTGATACAGAAGTGCTGGCTATCCTTTCAGACGCAAACGGGTACAATCACAGACAGTGCTGATAAAGATGGAGAAGAGGACGGACAGAGAACTTTCGGAGCTATGTTTCCTTCATTGCTTTCAGGGTTCTAAGAGCAAATCAACACCTAAAGAAGGGCCTCTAATGGTCCTCATCTACACTGGCCTCTAGCAAGCTTTGCCCCTAAAGTTATGTTATGTATTGATGTTTCGTGATGGATATAGGCTCTGCTTATTGGGAAATTATAGTGTATTGTGTTGTGTCGTGTTGTGTGTATTTGATGTGGGACATCCTCAGCTTGTCATGTAATGGGTTGTAACATGTAACTAGTGAGCAACTTACGGCTTGTTCATTTCTGCAAAAGTGTTAACCATAATTTTTCATTAGCTAATGTAATTTGTGGGTTGGTTTTATGGTATTCAAACTTGATACCTCAAGATTTCGCAGAGACTATCCTTTAGAATTTGGATGGTCAGCTAGTACGCCAAGTGTGTGTCTAAAAGACATTCGGGTCTTATTATTCTCGTCTCTTATATTAATAGTTTTGAGTCTTTTGATTATCTCAATTATGTTTACCGAGACGTCGGGCCCAAGATATATATTTTTAAAAAATATGTTCAAATCTGAAAACAAGACCTCACTTAATCACTTTGAATCAAAGGCATAAAAAGCTTTTTCCTTTAGCAAAAAAAATATAATATTTTTTGCAAGGAAAGGAGAGGAAAAAAAAAGGACAGTGAAGAGAGAAAGCAAATTATTCTCAGACAAACAAAGGGGTTACCACTTTTGTGTAGTAATAATCTCACACGCTAAGACAAAGTGCACAAATTCCCGAGCCTCCCCTATCTAACGGTCCATATCTATCTTAGCTTATCTGAATCAACGTTTGAGATCTCATTTCGCTTAGCCTCTCCTCACGGTACTCGATGTTTTGCTTTCGGCCACTCATGACAGCAACGAGAGCTGCCTTTCATCCGCCTACGTGGCGGTAGGACCCATCCTTACCACGACCATCTGACATATGGGTCCCACCCTAAGGCGGGAACCCAGTTTTCCTCCTTTTACATTTTTTGGCTGTAACGGATTCGGTCATGCTTTTTGTGAGGAGAGAGAGATAGAGTCACAATCTCGCAGATACTGTGTCTTGGAAAGAGAGTCTAGAGAGAGAGAAAGATTGTGTTTGTGTTTTGTGTTTTGTGTGTGTGTCTTGTTTGGTTGCTGGATTAATGAGCTGAAACAGCTTGGATAGTTTTGTTTGTTTGTTTCATCTTCCAACCACAGATATACTAAAATTGTGGAAACGAAGTAAGAAAATAAAACTCTCATTGAAGTTTGTTCTTTGATTTTTGGGATATTTTGAGACATACAAAGTTTGATACTTTTCTGTCCCCTCCCCCTCTTATTATAGAAATTTTGGGCTTTTTCTAAGCTTCTTGGAATTTCGATTTTTAATTTTGGAGGAAAAGAGAGAGAATTTCAGATAAGAATCTACGAGCCAATGATTCCATTCATCTTCTTTGTGAAGATTTTTAGTTGAATACCATTTTCTTTTTTCCTTGGGGGGCTTCTCATTGGTTTTCTCAAGAATATATGTGGTTTGGGTGAAGAGGATAGGAGCTTCACTGTAGCTTAAAAAAAAAAAGACTCTTAACTTTTTCCTGGTTATTTTAGCTTTGAACAGCTTCTTCAGCTTTCTGGGTTTCTCAGATTTGTGTGGAATCTTGAAGAAAAACCAAATGCTTTTTTTCTTCGATGGTTTCGATTTCATGTTTCTCGTGAACGCAGCAATGGAGCAGAGAAGAAGGCGAGGAAGAATAAACGGATACAACAACAATATCTATCTGCTCTTGTTCTTCTTCTTAGTCTTCGCTTCAAGAACCGGCACAAGCGCAAGTTGTCGGCGAAGAACTGTGAAACACTTATCCACGACTCCAGCTTCATCAACACCACTCGAGTCTAGAATCACTTCCAAGGTTATCGTTATTAGCATCGTATCAGGGATTTTAACCGGGTTGGTCTCGGCCTTAGTGTTGGCTTTCTTGGTCCGTTGCATTGTCAAATACATGAAACAGACGCCGATTCTCAAAGGTCCTGTGGTGTTTTCCCCAAAGATTACACCTAAATCTCTCCACGCCGCTCTCGGCAATGGTATCCAGTTGCTTGGCTCAGATCCTAACGGGAAATACTACAAGATGGTGCTAGATAACGGTCTAGTGGTTGCAGTCAAGAGGCTAGGCTCGCTTGAAGGAAATGGCTCACCAGAAGCAACTAGTAGTAGCAAGTCGGTTAAGAGAAGGTTGCAGAAGGAGCTTGAGCTTCTTGCTGGGTTAAGGCATAGGAACCTTATGAGTTTAAGAGCTTACGTTCGCGAATCAGATGAGTTCTCTCTTGTCTATGATTACATGCCGAATGGTAGTCTCGAGGATGTGATGAGTAAGGTTAGAGCGAAAGAGGTAGAGCTTGGATGGGAGATTAGGCTTAGAGTTGCAGTTGGAATTGTGAAAGGGCTTCAGTATCTTCATTTCAGCTGTGAGCAACAGATTCTTCATTACAACTTGAAACCTACAAATGTGATGTTGGATTCTGAGTTTGAGCCTCGCCTTGCTGATTGCGGATTGGCTAAGATCATGCCTAGTTCAAACACAGGGGTGTCTTGCTACTCTGCTCCTGAGTCTTCTCAAAGCAACAGGTGCTTAAAAATTCAAACACCATCATCACCTTTGAGTTAACTCCTAATTCTTGTCTTTTACTAACACTGGTTTTTCAAATTCCTTTGTGACAGATACACAGACAAAAGCGACATATTCAGCTTTGGGATGATACTAGGTGTTCTTTTAACCGGAAAAGACCCGACCCATCCTTTATGTGGAGAGGCTGCAGGCGGAGGCAGCTTAGGACAGTGGCTGAAGCACTTGCAGCAATCCGGGGAAGCACGAGAAGCATTAGATAAGAGTATTCTTGGAGAGGAAGTGGAGGAAGACGAGATGTTAATGGCTCTACGAATCACCATTATCTGCCTTTCTGATTTCCCGGCAGACCGGCCTTCTAGTGATGAGCTTGTCCACATGCTTACACAACTGCACAGTTTTTAGCCTAATGTTCTTGTACCAAAACCTATCTGTGAACCCAATCTATAAAATCCAAACATCTGTAGTTACAACAATAGATATCTTTTTCTCTTACTGATTAAACTTCGATCACGAAAATGGTCTTACACCAGCCAAAATAGAAGGCAAGCACCTCCCTTGCCTAAACGTAAAACGACAAGCAGTTTTTGATAAACGTGCGTATAACTAAGCAATACAATGAAAAATGCAGATCAAGCGACAAGTCAGTTTTCTACTTGCATTGTCTTAACAGGTGACCCGTTGCCAAATCTGGGTTGTACCAATAACTCTGAGAGGTCGCCGCTCTCAAAGAAGGATTTGTGAAGAGCCTCGACGCATCCTTCAGCTTCAGCATCGTTTACTATAAGGGAAATGTTTACCTGCAAGATTTTACCATTAGAACGAGATTTGTCAAGTGCGTACGGACTACGACAATAGACTTTTGTGATAAGCAGTGTGTTTACCTTGGATGCTCCTTGTGATATCATCTGGACATTGATACCTTTGGTCCAAAGAACATGAAACGCCTGCCCAAAGTTAAAGAAAGAAAAACATTTAGGTAAAAAGCGGAAAAGAAATATATCTTTCTTTGTGAGAACCTTCAAGGAGGTAAGATCTAACCCTCTCTAAAATCAGGGAGGAATGTTGAACATTCCCAATTAAAGAGATTATCGCTCTTCCTTTTGAAAGATTCACAACTGCAATTTTCTCCAGTTCTTCAACTACATGATCAAGCTCCTGTTACAAGGAAATTGAGAAAGAACAGGCCTTTGTAAAGCACGCATATATAGATTGGAAGATAAAGTCCTGGGGATTCTACAAGAACTTGCCTGTTGAATCAGTTCCCTACTCCAAAGCTTTGAAGGGTCCAGTGTCAGAGATAGACTGACTTCACTAGTGGCAACAACATCTACGGATATCTCAAGATCCTCGAATATCGAAAATACCTGGCCAAAAGAGCGAGGTTTTCAGGCAATGTTGATTATTAATAGTAGCTGAATGATTATAGAATGGAGCAGACTACAATTCGGACATTGCACCACTAAATGAACTTCTAAAACTTTAGCCATATAAATGCGGTGAAAATATACGTTCTTACCTTTGCAAGAAAGCCAACTTGACCAAGCATTCGGGTGCTTGCTATATCCAGCATGGTCACATTGCGTTTCAGAACAATGCTGGTTAAAACTGTCTGTCATAGGAAAAAGCAATAAATTTGGTTTTCTATGAAGATTCTCACATGAGCTTGCATTTAAAAAAAAACAAATTTGGAGACTCTATACCTTGGTCATGTCTCTTGTTTTCGTGATGATAGTTCCAGGAGCCTTAGGGTTATAAGAATTTTTAACCCTAACAGGAATCCCACCCTCTCTTGCTGGTCTCATTGACTGTGGGTGCAAGACCTGCAGCGACGATTACATTTCTTTATCTCAATCACTCAAACATTGCTATTGTACAAATGTTTCATATGGTAAATGTTAATAACTGGACTTTAGCAATATTGCATACAAAGTACCTGTGCACCAAAATAAGCAAGCTCGGCTGCTTCATCGAATGTTAGATATGGTACTGGTGTAGCTCGTTTATAAATAGTAGGGTCACATGTTAGAACACCATCAACATCTTTCCACACCTACGAATAAAAAGAAACAAACTCTCAAGCTGAACAGAGATGTATGCAACGATTTTAAAAGAAAACTGTTAAAACTTTGAGGCTGTAGAAGAACCTGAATCTCTTGCAAACCCAATGCTTTACCAATTGTGGTTGCCGTCAAATCACTGCCACCCCTCCCCAAGGTAGTGACCGCACCAGTTTTCCAACCCTATTAGTGAATGAAACAATTACGCAAACCGCATGAGCATGAACGTAAATATTGGTTATCTGTAGATTGTAAACTTTTTAGCAGTACCTTCCCAAGGAAACCCGTTACGATAGGAACAGCAGGATCATGCGACCAGTCATCATATAACCTCTTGGCAACGGCTGGATAAGTTGCTTCCAAGATATCACCATTTGTGAAATCATCCGTTGTGATGAAACCAATTTCAAATGCATCGTACTGCAAAATAATCGTTGATAAATCTACTTAGCCATGTTTGGGAGCTGGAACACAAAGTGAACATCTCGACAGTATGTCAACTAGAGTAGTTAAAGTGCATAGTTATGCGCAAGGGATCTAAAAATGAAATCTCAAACCAAGTACACCATACTGTGTTACTTGACAACCGGAACTAAGCTAATTCAAAAGTTTGACCATTTCAGAATATATACACATCCAACTTGGTTATCATACTTTCTAAACCAAAACAACCACATCTGAACCGAAACTGGAGTCTGGATTGAACATGTCTAGCATAAACTACGAAGATATTGATTTTAGTAATTAGTCAACCAACTGAAACATAGAACATTTTTTAAAGAATAATAAACCAATACAAAAACATGATGATGGACATACTTGGCGTGCCTTGACTCCGATTTTATTAAGATAAGCTGCGAAAATCCTTGTGGACAAGCACTCTCCAAAGGAGACTAAGTAGTCTCTGGTTCGAAGTGTCAGCTCCTTCATCATGGCTATACCTTTCAGAAGTTGCTCTAGTTCTTCTAAAAAGGCTGCAAAATGTATTTTACAAAAATTCAGAGGAAAAAAGCTGAATATTACAAAACTCATCACAACTGAAACATTCATGACCCTACTCAGCATAGCAAGTACGAAGCTCTAAGTGTTGGAAAGACTACAAAATACACAAAGCAATCTGAACTATGCTTACAGGAAACAATAGAGGGATCGATCTTGAGCTCATTCACTGTCCTGAAACAACAACAGAATGATCACACATTCTTCATCAATAAATACCAACAGCTAGCAGAGAAAAGGATACTCAATGAACCAAAGTAATCATATTTTTAGGAAACCAAAACCTGAGATGCAATTCCTTAATAATGCTCAACTCCTCAATCTCAGATGCATTAGAAACGCCACAGCTCACCGCCTTCTCTCCCGCCTAAACTAAGCAACAAATCAGAGTTCAAAATCACAAATTTAAAAACTTCTAAAATAAAAATAACAAAGAAGAAAGGGGCATTACAAGCAGGAGATTATTGGTAGTTTTCCCCATTGCGGAAAGAACAATGACCGGACTTTCTTCCGGAAATGTCAAGATCAAATCCGCCACTTCCCTCATTCTCTCAGCTGAAGCCACCGAAGATCCGCCAAACTTCATCACACACGTGAATCTCTTCTCTTCCACCACCGTCTCATTCACCGCGTCTGTCTTCTTCTCTTCCAAGACAGCTCGCACAGTGCCTCTGAGGCATGAACCCGAAACCCTCCTTGCGCAGGAGGCATCTCCAATGGATAACAAGAATTTCCTCGACCCCTTCAGTGCAGCGAAATCGACACGATTCGGAGAAATCGGTAGCGTCGGCGAGTTCCGGTGGCCGGTATGCGGCGATCTGGTGAAAGGTCCATTGCTGTGACACCGTACCCTAGCAGCCGCCATCGAATGTTATTGATAGGATTTAAAACAAGAAGTGGAGAGGAGAAATCGTACGGCTCAGTGATGCGACGCCACAGAAGGAAAACGTTGAACCCTCTCCCAAACAGTTTCTGTACTAGAAAAACGCTGTCGTTTTGTTATTACCAGCCGAATGATTTGATTTTGACCCGCAGGTTGTTGTTTGTTGAACTATATAAGCCTGTAATAAAAAAACAGAGCTTTTCTCTTTCATTTGCTCCCAAAAAGTTGTAATTTTTTATTTGTAGAATTTATCATCAACTCAACCATGACGATCCTCACTGTACAGTCCTCGTATACGCCTTCTCGAATTCCGGTTATAAAGCACGCGAATTTCGATCAAATCCCGTCGTGGGTTTCTCTGAAACAGAGCACTTCTTCTTCCGTTAAGATCGAGCATAAGCAAGGGCAAGTCGAGAATCTTCATTTGGTTTCTTTGTCGAAGCATGGGAAGCTCAACGAAGCATTTGAGTTCTTCCAAGAAATGGATAAGGCTGGCGTCTCCGTCAGCCCGTATACTTACCAGTGTCTCTTCGAAGCTTGCAGAGAGCTGAGGTCTTTGTCTCATGGGAGACTCCTTCACCGTCGCATGCGCACGGCTTTCGAGAATCCGTCTGTGACTCTTCAGAACTGTGTGCTTCAGATGTACTGCGAGTGCGGGAGCTTAGACGATGCAGACAAACTGTTCGATGAAATGCCTGAGTCGAACACTGTCTCTCGCGTGACGATGATATCTGCTTACGCCGAACAAGGGCTTTTGGATAAAGCTGTTGGTTTGTTCTCGAGGATGCTTGAGTCAGGAGACAAGCCTAGTTCTTCTCTGTATACCACACTACTGAAATCTTTGGTGAATCCTAGTGCTTTAGGCATTGGTAGACAGGTTCATGCTCATGTTATACGCGCTGGGCTGTGTGGCAACGCGTCTATAGAGACTGGGATCTTGAACATGTATGTGAAATGTGGTTGGTTAGTTGGTGCTAAGCTAGTGTTCGATCAGATGGCTGTGAAGAAACCGGTGGCTTGGACGGGATTGATGTTAGGTTATAATCAAGCTGGAAGAGCTAGAGATGCTCTGAAACTGTTTGTTGATTTGTTAACGGAAGGTGTCGAATGGGACAGCTTTGTGTTCTCGGTTGTTCTTAAAGCGTGCTCTTCCCTTGAAGAGCTTACTCTTGGCAAGCAGATCCATGCCTGCGTCGCTAAGCTTGGACTTGAATCCGAAGTCTCGGTTGGAACTCCGCTCGTTGATTTTTACATCAAATGCTCGAGCTTCGACTCTGCTTGTCGTGCTTTCGAGAAAATCCGTGAACCAAACGATGTTTCCTGGAGCGCAATCATTTCTGGATACTGCCAAATGAGTCAGTTTGATGAAGCTGTTAGAACCTTCAAGTCTTTGAGAAGCACAAATGCAGCGGTTCTGAATTCTTTCACATATACTACCATTTTCCAAGCATGTTCCGTACTTGCGGATTGCAACATTGGTGGTCAAGTCCACGCAGATGCTATAAAAAGGAGTCTGGTTGGATCTCAGTATGGAGAAAGTGCTCTCATTACGATGTATTCAAAATGCGGATGCTTAGATGACGCCAACGAAGTCTTTGAGTCAATGGACAACCCCGATATTGTTGCTTGGACGGCTTTTATATCTGGTCATGCCTACTATGGAAATGCCTCTGAAGCTCTGAGATTGTTTGAGAAAATGGTGAGTTGTGGTATGAAGCCAAACTCGGTTACATTCATTGCGGTTTTAACCGCCTGCAGTCACGCAGGCCTTGTTGCACAGGGCAAGCATTACTTGGACACGATGCTTCGGAAGTACAACGTGGCTCCGACTATTGACCATTATGACTGTATGATCGACATTTATTCCCGTGCGGGACAATTAGACGAAGCTCTCGACTTTATGAAGAGTATGCCTTTTCAACCTGATGCAATGAGCTGGAAGTGCTTTCTAAGTGGGTGTTGGACTCATAAGAATCTTGAATTGGGTGAGATTGCTGGTGAGGAACTTCGCCAGCTTGATCCAGAAGATACAGCTGGGTATGTTCTGCCGTTTAATCTGTACACCATGGCTGGAAAATGGGAAGAAGCTGCTGAAATGATGAAACTGATGAACAAGAGGATGTTAAAGAAGGAACTGAGCTGCAGCTGGATCAGAGAAAAGGGTAAGATTCATCGGTTCATAGTGGGTGATAAACACCATCCGCAAACTCAGGAGATCTACGAGAAGCTTAAGGAGTTTGATGGTTTTATGGAAGGTGATGTGTTTCGTTGTAGTATGACAGAGAGAAGAGAACAGCTTCTTGATCATAGCGAGAGGCTTGCCATTGCATTTGGGCTGATATCGGTGAATGGCAATGCAGGTGCACCTATAAAGGTGTTCAAGAATCTCCGGGCATGCCCAGATTGCCATGAGTTTGCAAAGCATGTGTCTTTGGTTACAGGACGTGAAATCGTCATCCGAGATTCTAGAAGGTTTCACCATTTCAAGGAGGGGAAGTGCTCTTGCAAGGATTACTGGTGAATGGTGATCTTTAGTGTCTGTGTCAGTATTATCAGGACTGTACATACTTTAAATTGGATATTAATCCAAACAAGACTGAGTATGCAAATTGAAGGTAAAGAGTGTGCAAACGTGGATATATTATATGTCAAAAGTAGTGCGTATAATGCAACTCATTAGTTTACAAAACTGGATCAACATTTTCCTGACTGCAAAGTACTCGAAACACAAAGGAAGAAAGCCATACGATATACAATACTGTTAAAGCTGTGGTAACATGACTGCTCTGGAATCCCGAGGTCCTAAGGTCATGACTTACTGGTTGGACCTGGAGGCTTCCCACAATCTACGTTCTATCCGCAGCTTTCTTAGCTCTGTTAGCCCTTGCTCAACTGAAAATTAGAAGTTTAGAACTAACCAATTTAGCGAATGTCTTATGGGTACTATCCTCTTCTGGCTAAAAGGAATTTGGTATGTTAGATTGTACCTTCCATGGCGTCATGTGAAGATGGGGAGTGTGCACTCCTGCTGATCCAGAATCGAAGACGTTCTCGCGCAATGTCCACTTCTATGCCAAGGGACAGGGCTCTTCTCCAGAAGTATGTGAGCCAAGCCTGCCAAAAGTTCCACATGATTTATAGCATTGAGATTAGAGCCAAGATTGAGCTGTCGAGAATATCTCCAATAGTTCCAAAGGATACATCGAAGAACAGAACAAGGAAAAGCCCATGACAGAAAGCTAGAAAGAGGTCGTGGTTCTGTACCTCCTTGAAGAGAACATCTTCTGACTCTTCTGGGCTCAGTTCTGCAAAGGACCACGGGCAAAGGTCAGAATAAACAAGAACTGTTTGCACTCTTTGTTAAAGTAGTTTATGAAGTGTCAACATAAAATACTGACATTCAGTTTATGTATTTAAGAGTCCTAATTTTACTGTCACTGTAACGTTGTTGATTATTCTTTACTCGATATCTTGAATTTCATAACAAGAAGATGTTGACCTAGAAATTCAGTCGTATAAGCTAAATAAACTTACCAAGTGCCTCCATTGACTTAGGACCGCCTGGTGATTTTAACTCTGAAAGAAAACGACCAGGAAAATACATAAATTGCATATAAAAGACGCATAAATAATGCAGTGAGCAACGTGACTTATTGGCAAAATTTTAGTAAAGAAAAGCTTCTACAGAAGCTTACCGGGATCAGATAGTCGAAATGTATTGGCCAACCTTAGCTGGGCTAATGTAATAGTAATCGCAACTTCAACCTTCAAAACAAGGAGCATAGTCCATGAGAAAAAATGAAAGTGGGGTGCATGAACCAAAACGCGAGAGAGAAGATGAGAATAAACCTTTAAAGATGTTAGCTCCTTTAGACCCATTTCCACAGAGAGCATACTTTCAATATTTCCCTCGCCTGTTAGATCATTTATATCCTGAACGAGTTGGCTTCTCTTCTCGTTCTCCTCAGAATCTGGTCAGATGGTTTCATAGCCAATAGATATATATACAGTGATGAGAAGTGAGTCAAAATCATCGAATGTTAGAACAATAGATATCTTAGAAGAAACAGTGGCATGACTGAGTGATTGCTTGCCTTTTTCCCAACTTTCTTCCTTAGCCTTCTGCCCAGCTGATAGCACAATTTCAAAAGGAAGCGGTGCTAGAGATGACCAGTATTCGTACTTGGATGTAGCGATATCCGAACATATGCCTGAGATGCAAATATGCACAGATGTCAGAAAGCAGAGGTAAATGATGGACCAAGAGTTCTACCTATGTTTGTTATATACCAATCTACCCCTTACCATATCTGGCAGCTAAGCCCCAGTACCGAGCTAGCCAGCACCGCTTAAGAACAACTTCCTCCTGAAAAGCATACAAGGGTCTGTTACTTAACCCAGACAATGCTTATGAGTAGACTGCACAAAACGTCAAAACAAACCATCTCTTTTTGGGTCAATATCATTCTGTGAGTCATTGTTCTTAGAGCGTTGACTTCAGATTCTGCTCCTTGAAGCTGTGCTAGTACAGCAGCAGTCTCTTGTTTTGCATTCTGAATCAAAATGAAACATAGAACATATAAGATTTCTACATTTTCATTAATTAGGACCTCACAATAATTGTGATACGCAGACGGAGAAAAATAGCCTACCTCTACTTGAGACCGAAGAGCAGTAGTCTCCTTATTAGTCCCTTCTCTATTCTGTTTTGCATCTTTAAGGGCCGCCTGTCATAGAGTGAGAGCTAGTGAATCTAGAAGCCAGAACAATATTTTTATACTTGGATACAGAACCATCACGTAACAGAAAAATCATGAAGGAGGTCAGATTTTGGAATACCTCTCTTTGACGCAAAGCAGCTTCTTTTCTGCAGCATTGACAATGTACAATCATGTAAGCATTTCAATTCAACAGGACAAAACGAAAACTGGCAATAAATTGTATTGATTTTGGCTACCGGCTCAGAAGTTTAGCTTCCAAGGATACACCTTCTCCCAGGGAAGTTACCTAGAGTTTTTCTCAAGGGTGAGAACAATATTTTTTATTCAGGAAAAACCAAAATAATCATGCATAGATGCAAGTTTTATCATTGCTCCCAATTACCTGTTTTTCAAGCTCTCTCACCCTGGCCTCTGCTTCTTTGCATTTCTCATCCTCAAGCCTAAGCTGTTAATAAACTCAAAACATATAATAATGTCTCTGTGGGGAGGTAGACGGAAACCAAACAGGAAAAGACTTTTTACCTTTTCAAGAATCCTCTCATTCTCCTCTTGCAGCATATCAAGCTGTGACGTAATTAAATCTGTCAGTTTCATTCTAGAAATTCTCCATCAAATATCAAATACATACTAGAAAAAAAGAAAAAGAATTAGCATACCTCATCGCGAAGTGCGGATGCTTCATGCTGATCTTTCGAATCTTTTCCATTAAGATGCCCAATATCAGGTATAGCCCTGCAATGACAAACAGTTTTTCAGTCTTGAACACAAAACTCAACTAGTTGTAATACGAAGATATCTTCAGGAACTCTCTTCACCTCTTTTCAGTCTGCTGATTCTTAGGAGTCCCACCAGGAGTTTGATTCCTTTGAGACAGTTTGCTCGGCGGAACAGGTGGTGGTTGTGATGCTCGAACAGAGACGGCCGGAGAGTTTCGAGACAACTGGTTTTTCACAATCGACAACAATTATCCGATTAGAGAACAATTCGAAACATCCATATAAGTTTCCCATCACTAACTAACATTAATAATCAAGTCTTAATCAATATCCCACATTCCAAAATTAGAAACTAGAAACCAATTCCCTTAAATCTGCGGTTGAAAATGAGCAAATTTGGTAAATTGGGTCAACAGAACGAGAATCACGGATTTGTTCTCTACTCAAGCTAAGAAAAAAAGAGAAGAGAAGACCGAATTTTACCGCAGGGGAGGAAGATCTGCCGATCTTGGGAGGAGGAAGAACAGCAGAAGCAGCAGGTTTAGGTCTAGCAGCAAGCGGATTAGCTGCGGAAGAAGCATTATGTCTCGTGAAGGAGAGAGGAGGAGGAGGAGCGCCATAGCGGAAACCTAGATCATCGCCACCGACATCGTCATCGTCTTCGTCGTCGTCGTCTGTGGTCTGTGAAGCCATGACCTTGGCGAGCCTCTGAGCTGCGGCTTTGGCGGCGACGTTCTGGGCTCGCTTGACGTTAGACATCCCAGTGACGGAAGACGATCGAGCGTGGTGGTGACGCGCCGGAGAAGAAGGAGCGACGGTGGCATTGGTGGTGCCTGACTCGCCGCTCCATTGACGGAAGTAGCTGGGGCTTTCCGTGCGTGCCCGCTCCATCCGGAAGTACGAAATGTGACGTATGCGAGAGCTGAGTCGCGCGAGAAGAGAGAGAGATGGAGAGATGCAGACCTAGATCTTCTTGGTCATGGTGATTAATGGAGTAAGACAAAAGATTACTTTGTTTTTTTTTCTCTAAGAAAGTTTGAACAAACGAAGATCTACTACTACTTGGTACTTTACTAATGGTAAATCTAAAGTTAACAGCTTAAGTACCAAATGTCATTCAATGTGTAATTTACTAATTATAGGAGTAATTGTAAAAACAAGATATTTCGAACTTTTCATTTTACAAATCTACATTAATCTAATTAGTTGCATGTTGATGATGATGATGGCCCTTGGACGATTGTAATGGATACACCACTTTAGTAGAGATGGGCTCAATATACCCCCACTACAATTTGAATGTTTTCTTTTTCATTTTGTCAAGTGTAACGCATGTTTTGTTACAAGCTAAAAAAAATATTATTACTAAAAGGCTCGAGAGTTTAATTGGTGTGTTACAAATTGTTCGTAATATTTTGATAGACAAAACTTGTCAATGCATGTGCATTAGAGCATTGCTTACTCTAAAATGTAACATCAAACTTTGTGAATTGTGATGTCCCATGGCCATTTATAAATTTCAGGCCTTCTGAGAAAGGTTCGAAACTTTTAAGTTCAATACATTTACTCTTGAAAATTGGAAATTGGAAATTGGATCCATTATGGTTAGTGGATATGCTAAAAGTGTCGAACCTTTCCCAGAAGGCCGGACATTTATAAAGGCCAGTTTGACATTGAGTTGGTACGGTGATAGGCCGAAGCAGGCCCATTTTCTCAGACAAAACATTTAAACACACTAAGAAAACAAAGCAGCAGCAACATACTAATTATTAATCACTATGTCAAAAAGAAGTCACTTAGCAATAGTAACAGTAATAACATGAAAAATATAAATATTTAATACATTTTTTCATGGGTTAATGTTACTCGCAACCCCAGAAGATACAACAATAAAAACATCAATCGGGGCATGCAGACTCCTACCGAACTAGATACTCTTTTGTTCTTGATCGATCATTCGACAAAAAAAAAAGCCTTAAGGGAAAATAAATAATCGAACCACCCGCTTAAAAAGAAAAAAAAAAAGAAGAGAGGGAAAAAACAATTGAAGAAGGTGGGCTGTTGAGTTAAAAGATAAAAAGGGTGGGGCAGTTATTTATTTTTATTGATGGTGTTATATAAAAATCAATAAATAAAATAGAGAAGAAAAATAAAAATATAAAATATAAAATTAAGAAAGAGTCCTACCATAATGGAGGACCATGAGATGATCAGAGGAAGATGAGTTTGGAAGCAAAGTAAGGTTTTGTGAATTAGAAGAATTGTCTCTGCTTCCTCTCCAGATTGCATCTCTCACGTGTTGTAGTGTCAACACTGGCTCCAGTTCTTGCCCTCTGCATCTTATCTCTACCTGCTTTTCATTTTATTTTACACCAAAAAAAACACTATTAGTTCTTTGCATAATAATAGCACCCATTAAGTCATTAACATGCTAATCACAATATGTGACCTACATTAAAATGATTTTCTAGGTGCATTTGTATTGCTATTTGATGTGGGGATATGTGAATGTAACAAAAAAAATGGAATAAATTAATGAGATCATTGCTTCGTAGGGGTGACGGAGAGAGAGAGTGACGGAAAATGCCACGTGTCACGGTGGCTACGCAATGCCGTAATTATGTTATCTCTACTTTACTTCTAAGAGATTCCTGATTTTCTAACACGATGCTTTTTCAAGAACGAGCAACGCCACCAATGACTCCACCACTTATTTCACATATATAATAAGCTAAAGAAAAACTATGCAACACACATATTCACAGTATAATTTAACTTGATAATAATTTTGAAATTTTAATGGTACCCACGATGTCCAAATTCTTAATCATTTCGTGGCCCACCCTTTTTTTCATACCCGTAATGTATTTTTCATTGACTCCCTCCAAATATACTTTTATGTTTGTATACAAGAGTTCACAAGAGCCATTTTAGGTCAAATTTTAGAACTGACTTGTATAATCAAGTGAGCAAAATTAAACATTAGAAAACTAAGTTTATCGTTACTTTTAAAATGTGTTTCTAATCGTGCCAAACCATCCCAAGGAATTTCTCCTACCTATATTTTATCATTTTTCTCCTACTCGTATTTTGGTAATCTATGTTCCAAAAGAAAAAGTTACTGTATTTAAACTGAATGATATTTATATATATATATATATATAAGGATATGCTGTTCATAAAAAAAATGGATATGATGTCGACAAAAATAAGAGTTTTTCTAAACGGAGGAAACTCAATGGAGACACTACCCCATGAAAACTTCACCATCATCTCATGCACGTCTTCTCTTTACGTTTTTTTATGACTAAGGTTTGCGACCCAAAAAAGCATATTGAGTCACAAATTTTATGTTTTTTACTTAGTGGGAATAAACTAATTTTATTATAATGTAGTTGATGCTGTTAGATACGTTCTATTAAATACCTACAAACATGCATACCAAATGGAATAGTGTCTATCGTTGCTATAAATTATCGATATTATGTGGTTTGCGTCATAGAATAATTAGCATATGAAAGTGGTGTTCTATCTCACATATCAACATCTTAATATATATATTTTATTATTATAGGACCCACATACATAAATAAAAAAAGTAATGTAAAATTTAATATAAAATAGGAACCATAAAAGTCGTAGTCGGATATGCATATATATTAAAATGTTTTGCATGCATCGCATCACTAACTTAAAAGGATATCATGTTCTTGGCTCCTATCTGCCCTTTAGTGCCATTTGTTACTTTTTAAAAATGCAATTTTGAAATGATTCTGTTGTTGAGGGGGACTTCATGCATTGCTTTTCCCCGACGTAAAATACATTATTTATCAGTTTAAGTCTATATATAATTTGCATACCAGCTTATTAGGTTAATAACATTTACTAGTCTACAAAACAAAAAACACAATGGCCTCTATATATTTTATATTAACATATAGTACCTAGATTTCGAATAACTAAGCGATTTTAAGAGACGTGCCTTTAGTTTTTTTTTCTATATATACATGGTCAGATTTGTTTTAACATGAATGTAATAAAAATAGTACTAGTGGAAGTGTGATATAATAGTTCAAACTCAAAACAAAACTCAAAGTCACCCATGGACCAAAAATTATACGGAAATCCACCTACAAAAATTGGTTGGATCATCACATCCAGGCTTCAGCTCATAAATTTACGAGTAGTCGGTTCAAAGTTTTCAATACCAATGTATTAATGAAGAAAATATACTGGATAAGTTAATTAAACAGAAGCCTTGTTTATAAAGACACGATGTGTGATTCGAAACAAAAGGAAAGCATCTAAAATTTAGATAGATAGAAGTGGATGGGATGATAAGGAAATATTCAAGAAAGTGCAGCACTTAAAGAGGATATGAGTATGATTGATGGGGAAAAGGGTTTTCAAGCACCAAATTTATTAAGGGTTTTTGTGAAGAAAGGGTCCTACACGAGACACTAACAAAGAATTAGCTAAACCAAGGCGAGAGAAATATATTTTTGGTGTTGATGAGCCTCTTCTAGCATAAGCATGACGGTTTCGCTAAGCCCTCAGTCTATTATATGCTTCTCAGTATAATTGTATGTGGAAAAAAACCCCCAAAAAAAGAAAGCTTAATCGTATACCCATCTGCTACCAAAAAAATTAGAATATTAAATGACCGTCAAAAGCTTTTTTCTTTCGGGATGTTTTCTCTACATCAAATGTATAGTATAGAAAGGCTAGAACTATATAGTCTACATATGCGGAACATATCATTAAAACGTAACAAGTATTTCTAACTCCAAAAAACTGTCAAGGCTAATCATGAGAACAATCCGATCTAATTTTTGGAATACTATAAGTATATATGATTATTATTTATCTATGATGAATTTTTTTTTGGAACTTTTAAATGAATTACGATAAAGTTTCTAATAATATAATAAGTGGCAAGATATATATGTATATATTAGTTATTTAATTCTTCGAAAATTTTAAAGAAGTGAGAAACAAGTGTTTCAGGTTCTTAAATAAATTGCTGAAATATGTTTTTAGATTATTTAATTACGACAAAGTACATAAGATAAAAATTAATTGTCATTATAGATTTTTTTTTATTTATCTTATGGATGGAGGAGCGAGTTGCACCAAAAAAAAAAAAAAAAAAAAAGAGGAGCGAGTTGACAGGAGAAGGAAAAAATCATGGGGCGCAAAAGAAAATTTGAAATCTATGAAATACTTTTAGCTTTTAAACCCTTTTGTTTTCTTACGTCTAAAAAGTCAAATGAAGCTTAAAAAGAGGAAGAAAGACAAAAATGGAAGAACAATGCCTCCACGAAGTCAGATTATGGCTGCCTAATCATTACATCCCTATTTATTACTCACTCTTGATATCTATGCCCTACCCAAATCTATTATTCACACACATTCACATCATTATAGTATTAATTGAAGTTTAATTAATGATCGTCTAATAAACAGATCGTCAATGAAAATTTAATTATTTGATCAAGATATGGACATCTCACATATCTAATGTGTATTAGAGTACCAAGATATGCATACCCCCATACAATTTTATATTGGTTGCCTCGTCTCATTTGTCATATATACTTCATGGCATGGTTTATTTGCAACAAAACAGAAAAAAACTTAGTGATTTGAGTAAATTTAAACATTGAGTTGACCTAAATATTATAGTTTAATTTATCTGCGTCCCTGATTAATTAAGTAATAAACCTCTAAGCGTATAAGGAATTGTTCAGGAAAACATGCGTACAACAATCAGACGTATTTTTATACTCTAAACAATCGAGATCATCTCTATTGAATTTGTCTTCTTCTCCTTTTAAGGATTTTGTTTTTATCTTACATAAATGAGTATAGAATGTGCATGGATCAAAGCAATCTAGAAAATGCTTCACAAAAATAAACAACGTATATATAATAGATTTTTAAAAACAATATTTGAAAGTCTCATGCAATTATGTTCAAAACAAAAAAATCTCATGCAATTTCGTACGACGTCGAAAATATTCATTTGTGTCAGGCTTTCAAATATGTTTGAAAATATTTGAATTAAATTTGTCTTCTTCTCCTTTAAAGTATGTAATGTGCATGGATCAAAACAAGCTAGCAAATGCTTAAAAAATAAACACAACACACGTATATATAATAGAGTCTCGTTTGAAAGTCTCATGCAATTTCGTACGACGTTCAAAAGATTCATTTATGTGTGGCTTTCAAATATGTTTGAAAATATTAGAAAGAAAAGAAGATAAATAAAGAGAAAAAGGGCTCACGTATTAAAAGCATTTGTTTTTATTGTGCAAGAAAGCTTTCTTTTTTTTTGCTAAAAATTAAAAGCAATTTGTCATCGTTTGCTAATTATCAAAGCACACCAATAATGACGTTCCATGCATATTATTTTAACTAAAATATTTAATGATCCCTTTGCATTGAAAAGAAGTCTCAAAAAATTTTGTTGTGATTTCGTTGGCAATAAAAACTGTAATTATGAATTCAGAGATCATAAAAGTTACAGCGTATTATGGGCAAGCGAGCGCATAAATGCACAGATATCAATGATTAAAATTTGCACGAGAAGCATTGTACGTAATTTTAGGGATTTTTTTCATCAAAAAAATAAATGGAAAGGGCACTTTTTGGCTCATGAGTTCGACTCGTAAGATTTTAAATAAGTCAGCATGCATATGATAAGAGATTACTTTATTGTATTCATCATTTGAGATAATAACTAGCTCTAGAAGAAGCGTGCGATATAGCTATTGTAAGTAGTAACAGACTAACAGTTGTACGTGTATATATATATGTGTGTAATGTTCATGTACGTATATAAGACATGTATACAATTGGTTTCTGTGAACTGAGTTTTTCTAACTATATGACATTATTATTTTGGTTTTACAATCTCTCAAATTAGAAAACAACAGTATCAAAAAAGCAAACTTATAAAAAGCTTCTATATAGGTCACCTATAGGTCATATATATATATCCGAAAACAGTAAACTCATGCATAAAGTTTTGCAGATGTGGCTTGTCGCGGTATCCGAAAATCCTAAGGAAGCACATTATTTATTTATTTTCACAATTGGCTCTTTAAAAAACTATAGAAAAAGGCGAAACTTAAATTTTCATTCCAATTGTTTACCGGTAACACGTTCTCCTTCTTGGACGTTTGCGTTTAATTCTAGTTTCCAAAAATTGATTGATAGAAAAAACTATACTGTTGTTTTAAATGTACTCATATATGACTTATTAAAACGTAAACACAAATGTATTATTCATTAAAGGAATTGGTTTATAAAATTCAATCTTTGTGTATAAGTAGGTTGGTAGGTGGATTGCAATATGTATAATGTATAAAAGAGAAAAACTAAAGGGTACACTCATCTCTAATGAAAATTTGATCATACGAGGCACTAATTAATAGCTCGACCGTTAATAAATTATCCCTAAACTATAAAAAAAAAGGAGCAAGTAAGACAAACTCGAAAAAGGTTGAAAATCAATTTATGGATAATTAGCATATAAAAACAAAGAAAGAACAAAACGGCTTACACCTAGCAACGACATCTACTTGTGACCTAATTAACATGGAGACACTTTTGTGGCAATTTAGTTCCGATGTTGTTGTCATGTTCCTCAGCACACCAACCCCCATGAATATACCCTTTCCACGTTTTCTTCTTTTCTTTTACTGCTATGTTTCTGTTTTTATCTTACTATTCTCATCATCTTTTATGCTTAAAAAAGTATTTATGTAACGTTATAGAATTTTTTTATTAAAAAAAAAACTAAGGAGATTGTAGTTACGGCAAGCAACGTGTACATGGAATCTAGAGCAATAAAAGTTAAAGAAAGGGAAATTAAAAGGAGATGTGATGAGATAAAATAAAAACCTGGGATTCGTGCTCCAATCGCAACTTATTCACCAAATATTTCATCAATAGTCGAACAGTCATCTTCCCGTCCCTACCAAATCCAAGATCACCAAAATTATTTAGCCATAATCTTTTGATACAATTAACGTCGTTTTATCTGTCAGTTCTTATTAATTAGCTAGCTGATAAAAAAAACAATGAGAATTCTAAATCTAAATAAACGACGAATGCTTACTTGATTCTCAAGTAGCTCTTGGGTATCTGAGGCAAAAATGGTTCTCTTGTCCTAAAACATTCACCAAGAACTTCAGTATCTTTTTAAAATATATGATCTTGAATTATGATATAAAACCAAATTAAGAATCTTGAAAATCCGATTAACTTGTTAATAATTTTGCATATTTTTTTCATAATCAAGAAATTACGGACTTCACATATATAACAGTGTCTCTAGGACGTACGTTAAACTTTAGCACTTACTGGTTTTGAGAAGCTTGAAGGAGAAACCAAATGCCGGAATGGGGTCGTCTGGGAGGATCAATGACTCGAAAACTCGAGCTTGGACCAGCCACCACATCCGGACTATTATTATTATTATTATTATTCCCTAATAACTGCTGCTGCTGAAAGTTGGAGCGACCAAAGTATGGTCCCATAAATGGCATCATCAAAGAAGCAGATGATGATGATTGGACTAGGTTTTGAGTGACAAAAGGCGTTCTAAACGCAGCCGCGGCAGCAGCAGCAGCCGCCCAAGAACCAATCATCTCCTGGTCAGGCCTGGTAGGGAACATCAATGGATTAATCATCATCCCACCGGGTTGATGCTGATGATGAAAGAGTGATGATAACGGAAGACCAGGTTCTTCTTCTCTGCTTGAACCGCCGGAGAAAAGGTTGAGCTCTAGAAAAGAGTCTCTCCTAGCCGGTGGATCGGTTTGATGTTGTTGCCGATGATGGTCGAGATCCGGTTTAATATCCTCCTCTTGGCCTAGGCTTAACCGGAGCCACCCTTCTTGTCTCATCTCGTGATCTTGGGCGTCATTGTTCTTATTATTATTGCTACTGCTGTTGTTGTTGTCGTTGTCTTCGTCCTTGGAGCTTAACCTAGAAGTAGTACTCCTCGGCTCTTCTTGGTCGGCCATGGAACTACAATCTCTCCTAAAAACGTGGTGATGATTATCTTTTACTTGATGGTCAGATCCTAAGCGAATGTCGTCTTTGTTGTTGTCGTCGTCTTCCACAGAGACGGCAGAGAAATTATGAGCTTTTTGTAATAACCTCATATAAGCAAAACTATTGGAAAACCCACATGGAAGATGAAGCGTTGAGGAGGATGATTCAGCAGCAGGAACCATGGCAGAATCCGGTGACCAGAAAGGCCAAAGAAAGCCGAAGAGGAGCGAGACGAAACGTTATTGATGATCTCAACATGAGGAGAGACGGAGGAGAGAAGAATATTTAGGTTTCTTAATTAGATGGGAACCAGAGATCGAGAACTCGAAGAATGGTCGGAGACCGGAGTAGCCATGGAGCTAAGGAGAGAGATAGAGAGAGTATGTGTCTTGATGATAGGAGAGGACAAGAGGAAGGATTGAATAAATTTTGCAAATCTCTCTTTCTAACAATTCTCTTTGTTTGGAATCTTGTGGAAATTAGATTGTTGCAGAGAAAGAGAGGGAGAGAGAGAGAGAAAGGTCAATCTTGCAATTATACAGAGTAATGGGCACTAGTTATATGAAAAGCTTTGTATGCGGTCAATCTCGGTACATATATATATTGTAGTATTATTTATTTACACACACAAAACGTTTTTTTTTTTTCCCTGCACCACAATTTAGCTTCTCAGTTTTTTTTTTTTTTTCTTAAACTCAAGATAAGTTATTGGAAATCAAATACTTTTATCATCATTTAAAACGTATAAGTATAACTATGATTAAAATCGTATACAATGATTTAAATTTTGAACAACATCTTACGATCCACACGATGAATCCTAAAGTATCTTAGTCATGACTTATTACTTTTGTTTTGTCATCTGTGTGCAACATCAACAATATGCTAATCTACTACTTTAATCGTTTAATTTTTATTGGAAGTCCACAAAAAGACTATTTATATCCCTCAAATCTTAATTGAGACACAGAATGATTTTTTTTAGTGAGAGTTAGTGATTTTTTTACATGAAATTTGTATATGTAATCTTAACCTTATAAACATTCACAGACAGATATAATTAGATATATAAAAAGCCTTCCATAAAAGCTTACTATAATTTCTGTAGTTAAAAAATCTAAAATTGTGACATCGCATGTAAAATGACTCTTTTGTTAATATAGTTCTAATGAGTTAAGTTTCTTTTTAATTAAATCAAGTTATAAAAGCCTATAATCATTTTATAGATTTATAAATTATTATTTTATTTGAAAGGTATTATTAAAATAGTTTAATGATGCACAGAAGAATTTTGTATAGATAATTCTCTTTTTGTATATAGAGGCAATTCAACACTTTTGATCTATAATATGTTAATAAAAATCTATGCTATCTCGAGTCTTAATACAAAATGCTCAACACAGTGTACTCATATACGACAAACTTATCACGATAATGTGAAACCAAATTCACTAGTTTAGAAAAATAAAACAATTTTGTTGTGGTCAGCGACGAAAATATGTTTTCAGTTTTTTGATGTTATTTTTTTAGAAACGGATAATTTGTATTTTTTTTTTTTGTATACGAGTATGTATCTTCTAAGATTCTAGATTTTCTAGAGAATTATTCATGTTAAATCGCTCCAATTTTCTTCATTATAGAAGTATTCCAAGAAGGCAAGAACATGATCATAAATCGCCTCAATTCCCTATTCTTTTTGTAACAAAGACCTACAAACATGTACATAGATAATTGTTTTACCGAACCAATCTACCTGCATTTGCATGGAGGACTCAGTCGAAAATGATTTTAAATAAAACAGCATGCGTCATCAAGCCAACAAAAGTTTTGATATATTTCGCACACCTATTCAACGTCCATAAGATATATATACTACGAGAGACTATTGTAGTATTCCTCAATGTATCTTATCATTACAACTAATATCCTTTTATCTAACATATATATATATATATATCATGCGAGACACGAAATACAACTTATATCACGTACATACAACAGATTACATATGTGCACTCACTCATGCATACATACTCGATACCATTTTATAATTTCGAATTTCTTTCTATTGGCTGTCCCAAAAAAAAACTATTCTGTTCAAACTTTGTCTTATTTGACGTACATGGTCCAGCAGATGCAAACCCATCTTTCTCGATCGATGTGGCATAATCTAATATTTCTTCGTTTATGCAGATTGAACAAATCACAAAACCAAATAAAACTCTAATAGAAATATATAAAACACCTCCTATATATTATATTTTTCACCAAGAAAATAGAATACCTTTTAATTTTAATTATATAAAATGTAATCATAGTTAAAATTCTAAATAAAAATACAACTACTACAAGTTATAAAACTACGTACAGCTTGTATATTCACAATCAAGATCGTATGAACTTCAACTTCTAACTAAAGACACACCAATCACTACTGTACCTTACGAATAGAATAGGTGGCATGTACAAATATTTTAGTTACGAAAATATTCAACCAGTTGACCGAGTCAAATTATAATTAGCATATTACGTAAATTTGTTTTTGTTTTCGATTGTGTGTGTTGTCTTTACTCTTTAAATACTAGATAAAGAAGTTGCCCTTTTTAAATATGTTTTTGGTATATTTGGGGTTAAATAAAAGCTGGGATTTTCAGTAAAGCCAGAAAAACGAGACGAGTGGAGTGCGAGGCATGATGACATTAGACCTGTCAAATTTCAATTATTTAGGTATGAAGTGTTTTAATAATCCCAAGAATAATAGTTAATTATTCCTAATGAAAACTATGAATATTTAAGTCAGTGATTAAAAATACAAAAAAAACGGTGAGGGGAATTTGGCATGCACCGAAAATGATGATGTTTTCGGTTAAAAGCTCATTTCCCCAGATCATACAGCAAAACATACAGACCCTGTGATGCTTTGAATGACATTGTTTCTCATCGAATTGTACTAGTATTAAGAACCATGTGCTCCCCAACAATTTTATGTTGGTACGTTTTTCTAATTAATAGATTAACTACAAAAATAAGTTGATCCCAATTTACTCAAAGGTACCTCTTGTTGATGCTGCTATATTGTTGAAATAAGTGGCTAAAAAAATCCTATGTTAGATATGTGCAAGTGTTTCGAATTCTCAAGAAAAAAAGATGTCTCTAATCTGTCGTAGTTATTACAAAAGTGAAGAGAAGAGTTCAGCTCATTCTGAAGATCTCAAGTACTACAAGATATCTTATAATTTATGTGGCTATGGCTGGAGCTTGAGATCTGACGGTAAAAGAAGCAGTTCGTAAGAGGTGGAGTCGTGGAGATGTCGAGGGACTTGATAAGCAAGGAGCACCGTCACATGACTGTTTTGGTGTATCATCTAAAATGTGTTAAAATTGTCCGCTTAGGTTCGTTCTCGAATATCTACAGCTATGAATTTAGAAAGGTCTCATATGCATATCGGGTCTCTTGATTTGATTGATTCTCCCATTCTGATATTGATGATTAACTCAAATGGACTTCCATGTATATGGATTTTAGGGATAAATGGACGATCTTAATCTTTTCTAGTACACTGTGGTTTCTATCCCATTCACATTAATTTTAGTCGAGAAGAATTGTACCAAAGCATAGTGAAAGTGCAAAACCCAATAACAAAAAAATATATACGAAAATTTAAAGATTCGTATAAAAATCCATCAAAACCAATAGGGGTCATAATCAATATGCAACCGTAACCCATATAAGACAGTAGTTTACTTACACCTCAAAGTAAAAACAAATAAAGATTAAAAGAAAAGAAATAACCATAATCAAAAACAGGGAAGAGAACGAATTTGATCGAAAATGTCACGTTATCACACTAAGTCTCTAAGCAATGTTTTAGTATCTTCGCCTCTTCACTCCACTCCCTCTAGCTAAAAAATCTATACAAATTAGGATAGAAAAATGTTCTATTGGTTATAAGCGTTCTCCCAGTTATAGATCTCAAAAAGATTTGTTGAATAGAAAGTTTAAGTTAAGAATAGTGATTTTTGCGAACCTAGGCTGAGTAGCGTAGCTTTGCCAAGATGATTTTTCCGGAGTGGAGAGACAAGGTCAAAATTAATTTTCTAAATGGTGAAAATTGTGGGTTCATCTAGAAAAGATATACACTAAATGCAAACATAGAAAATGAAGTAAATATAATTTTATGGACTTAACAATATTCTCCCCCTCATTTAATTTTGAATGTTTCCATTGTTGCCAGTATGCACATTCCAGCATGCTATTTATTAGAAGTCATGTTACACAGTTATGTTCAAACATAATTCATGTTAAGAAACTTTTTTAAAAATTTAAAAAAAGTTCAAGCACTATTGGATGTCAACATTAGTGCATGGTCAGTAAAAAAGTGTATTACATCAAGAGGACATATACATACATGCATAGAGGGAGATAGTCAGCTTTTGGTGGAAAAGAGGAAGTGAAAAGGTTCAGAGGCGTGGCCTCTTGTGACATTGCATGGGGCATGAAATGACTTAGCCTTTGAATCAAACCACAAAAAAGTTGTATCCCTTTTGTCTTTGAAATTAAACAAAATGAAAATATAAATTATAATATGGAAGTCTTCCTACTATAAAGGAACGAGACACCAAAAATAGAATTATGTAAAATGTTTGAGCTTGCACAAACAATAACTCTTTGCTTCCATTTTAACTTTTGTATGGGTTGTTCAGTTTGTTGTTGTCAACGTGCCTGTGCCATCTAAATTTTCTTTTTACGTATATATCAGAGTGTATCTAACTTTGTAATATGGTAAATTAGCTAATTCGGCAGACTTTATCTATATTCCAATAGACTTTTGAGCTTAGGATGTGTATATATAAATGAGAATTACGTAATCTAATATATCACAGCGCGAGTATGCGTGTGTACTAAGAAATAATTTTCATGGGACCAACTAATGGTAAAGACAAAATCTCAGATACAAGACTAGCGTTGGACGGAAGAAGATAACCGGAGGACACGAAGACCTGATTAGAGAGAAAGGAGCTCTCGAATTGATGATATCTTTAAGTACTTCCATTAACTCTGTTTTTACTGTTAATCATTATAGAAGACATTTTTTCTACTTCTGAAGTCTAAAAAAGTGGATTGGTTACATCACCCGATTGGTTATATGTTGTACTAATTTTTTTTTGTGAAATGTTGATATTTAGTCATAATATTTTGTTAACATATTGGTAAATCATTTTTAAATATAAAATTTCATCACTACACACATATTTTCTACTTTTAAAAGTGGATTCAAGATTCATATTTTATAGGATATATATATATATATATAAAAAAACAAAGTTCATGATGGTATATGTATATCGGAAAAGAAAGGATATACAATTGTTGAATTTCTTGTATATGTCGTATATAAATTGTAGTCCATACATGAAAAAGACGTATAGAACCCGTACACGTAACAATGTCGCTTTGATCACTCTAATGTTTATGCGAATATTTTGTTGTTTAATGTATGAATATGGACATGCATATTGGAAAGAAAGGTGCCTTTAGGCAGGCTTATTGGGACA